AAGAATACTTCACGATTTATTTTTTAACTCATATGTTTCGTTATACCATATAAAATTACTTACTGCATGCAATGGATATTTCATTTGCGGGTAACTTTCACTTCTGTTTGGAAGTCCAATTACGCTGGGAAGAAAAGCTATTGAAAATGGCGCCGGAGTATCATACTTCAAAATGTACCATTTCTTGTTTAAGTTTCTAATGGCACGATATAGTGACACGATAATATTTACACATGGTTTCAGCATAACTATGAAGGTATAAATGAGATGTTGATGTATTTGGTCTTTTTAATTCTTTTATAAAAAATAATGTTTGATTTTTTTTGTCCGCTGTAACGGAGCAGTTGCAAATGTGAACTGTGAAAATGCTCCGTCACAGCGGACAAAAAATATTAATATTATTTTTTATAAAAACATTAAAAAGACCCAATGCATTAATATCTCATTAATAAATTCAGACTTATGGTGAAAACATATGTTAATATTATCGTATCACTATATCATGCCGTTAAAAAGTTAAAAAAGAAATGGGACATTTTAGAGTTTGATACTCTGGCGCCGTTTTCAATAGATTTTACTCCTAGCGTTATTGGACTTCAAACAGAAGTGAAGGTTACACGCAAATGATATTTTGTTCTAAGGGGTCTCCAAGGGACCCCTGATGATAAAAATGCATGATTTATCAATTTATTTAATCCTGAAGTCTGTACAAACATTTTAAAAAAAAGTTCATGACTTTTCGTTAAGTATTTACAAAGTTACAGTGATCCGAAGCTGGTGAGCGCGCGAAAAATTGCGAAAACGATAAAATCCCAGTGTTAAATCGCCATAGGGATTTTCCGAGAATTTGCAGTCTCGAAGCTCTAAAAAATTTATTTGTAGGAGTTATGTCATGGTATAAATACCACTGAAATCAGCATTAGAAGATCTATAATTCTGCGTTTCCAGATTTTAAAATTGAAGTCTCAATAAAAAATTAAATGCTAAAATAATTATATTTTGAAAAAAATCCAACTGCGCCATCTTGAATTATGACGTCACAATGACACTATCTCATTTGCATATTCACATTTTTTTCATATTACAAAATCACAAAAAGTGAAATATCTTTTCTTGTATTGGACAGATAACATTTTCGTTACTGGACATATTCTAATTTGCATAACTGTTAGATACACAAGGGTGATATGATAAATGAACCACTACTGAAAACAGATGTAATTTAAGTTAAAGGGAACTTCGAGTATACCCGCCATGTTATCTGACCTGAACGAGCCACTTGGTGATGAAACTGGTAACTACCTACTCGCATCTACTGTCATAGATACCCATCATTGTCATTGTCACATTGCACAAAATTTGTCCAATATTTCACTGCGCATGCGCAGAACCATTACTTCCGGTTTTCCAAAGCCTATGGGATTTATAATGGAGACATTTTTCGAACGCTTACTGTGCGAATGATATTGATTTGCCACCTTAGTCATCTCAGGTTTCTATAACTAGACATCAACCTTTACTGATTTAACATGTTTTAAGCAATGTACACATGCACACTTTTCGGCCAATTTGTTTTGAAAAAATCATGAGGAATTCATGCATGACTCCATTGAAATCCATTAGAAATGGCGTCAAAATGGTGAAATGAGGATATTCAACGGTCTGGTAGAGGTACTTAAAATCATATGGTATCTTAGTCATCTCAGGTTTCTGTAACTTTGAAGGTAGATCTGTTTGATTCCGTTGAGATTAGAATCCTCATACCTTTAACTTTTCGGCCAATTTCAAACAAAATATGATAACTTTTGGTGATATAACTGGTTCATTACATTGGAATGACGTCAAAATAAAATAAGACAATCTCAGTTTCTATGGCACTGACGTCATGACGTCAGATTTATCTTAAGATCTCAAATATGACGTCATGTTTAATCAATGAATGACATCTATCGGCTATTCGACCAATTCTGTGCAATGATTTGCTTCCATTCTTGAAAGCCACTTATTTTCCTCTCTGTTGAAAATTTGGAAATGCGATGCTCTTTTAAACAAATCTGTTTTCATAATTGCGGAGCCGGTATGCAAGGTTTCTGCAACATTCTGTGCAATAAGCCTATCACAGTCGATGCTCATGACGTCTTTAGCAAAACCAAAGTGATTGTTTCCCGTGTTTGTGAGTAGGGACGAGAATCTAAACAAGAATATTTTGATTTGAAAATGTTGTGCCACTCGGACCATCTGTTGATATCAGATCGCAAATTGTAACCAACTAAATCAGAGCATACTGGTTGAAGACAGAAAGATGTGATGAGTATCAGAATGCATAATATTTGGTAGTTTGTGTACGTGTTGAGTTGTTTTCAGTACATCAGAGGATCATTTTAGTGCTACAAATGGACAGCTAGCCACATTGTTTTTCTGAAATGTGGGGAAAACAACAGTTTTTGATTTTCCCACATTTTCTTTTTATGTCCACCGTGGGAAGCATTTTATTTTTTATAAAAAACACTAAGAAAACTTCACAAATTATCTTTTAACGCATGCGTTTCGTTATGCCAAAGAAAAATACTTTCATATACACACAGTGAAACAGTTCAATAAGTATTGCTAATTTTGCTATAACTTTTGTTTTCTTGAATTCTTCCGATGAAACTTTCACAACGTAAGAAACATTATATCTGACCTTATTCTCTAAAAAAAGTATCTGCCAATCAACTCAGTATTGACAAAGTTATGGTTACTATGCAGGGGCGTAGCCAGCTTTCAGTCAGGGGGGCACTTCTTAAGTGCTTGGTTCAAAGTTGTGGAACGTGAATGCTCCCCCCCCCTTGACAAAAGCTGGCTATGGGCCTGACTTCATGAGGTGCTCAAAGAAGGCACCATTAGCATCAATGGACAGATGATGCCTGACGACCCACCCATGGTACACATTCTTGAAGCATGTGGCTAGGCTGCAGACATCAGGTGATTGGGATTCGGGTTGGCAGAGACATATAAAACATATGTCTCTGGGGTTGGATATCCTCAGTTAAACCATGGACGAATTATCATGTAATAAATACAGAATATCACATCATTTTGAGTGATATCATTTTTATCGCCGAGTTGATATCAAATACTGTAAAACGGGTAATTTTGACACCGGGAAATTTTAGCGATTTTTCAATTTTAGGGGGTTTTAGCGCGGGAAATTTTAGCGAAATGAAGATTAATCTTTAAAAAATCAAATTAGCGAAATGCATTAGAAATGTTATCATTTATGGCAGAAGAATGAATAACGGACATGACAGAGGAATTATCAAAATGTAAGACTTCTAACGCACATGGTATTGGTCCAAATTGGATGGATGGCTATTTATCCTTCAGATATTGAAAGAAACATACGATTTAAATTACCTTTTTCAAATTACAAACCGGAAGTCGAGCACTGAACGAAAAGCTCCTTATATACTAGTATTCATGTAGTTTCCCGGGAATTTGCACATTTTAGCGCCCGGTTTATTTTAACCCTGGTTTATTTTAGCGAATTGAATTTTTAGCGAAACTATAGCGATCGCTAACAATCGCTAACAATTACCCCTCGCTAACAATACCCGTTTTACAGTATCAACATCACTCGTGTTGATAGTTCATATCTACGAGGCGATAAAATGATATCACGAGAAATTATGTGATATTGGGTTTATCCCATGATTACAATCACCTTGTGATGTTCTGATCCAATTTCCAGAACATTGGCAGACTAGAACTTAGAATATCAATTGAATATTTGAAACACTTTATTTTAACAATTAAAAGTAAATAAAATGAACATGTAAACATTGTTTTTTGTCAGTTTTATGTCAGCTTATATTGGGTTTATCCTATGATGTTCTGATCCAATTTCCAGAATATTGGCAGACGGACTTATTTTCTCAAAAGAGAATAAATTATCTGACCTAACAATATTGTGGCGCGAAATGCATATGTGATATCACACGGATATGCGTGAGATAAACGATATCACACACATATGAGTTTGATAAACGATTTTTTGGAAAATATCACACGAATTTCAATAATATCAGAAATATCAATAGCTGTTATTGTACAGATAACACATTAATCGTGGGATAAATCCCGATATACAGATATGAAATAAGTTTCCAAACGTTACTGACATAAAAATTAATCGAAAAAAATGAACGGAAGGGGTGAACGGAGGGGAGTAATATGTCTTTTATTGAGTTGACAACTAAGGCCAGAATTGTAGGCCTTTTATTTTGAAGCTTCGAGAGAATTTAGTATTGAGTCACCTGCTGTGTATTTTGCTTATTTATATGTCATATACTACTGTCAGTATACTAAATTCTTAAAATGGAGCTGTATTATCAAGGTAACCGTTATTTTTCGCAAAACCATGCCGCGACAAATCGTTTTTCTATCATGTGTAGGTAAGGTTTGTAGATGTTACCCCAAATAATTGTAAACGTATTGAAATATTTAAATATAATTAAAAAATTTGTGTGGATAAGTAGCTTTTGATTAGCAAACCTTGAAACCTGAATTAAAAATACATGACCCCGACGTGATTTGAACACGCAACCTTCTGATCTGGAGTCAGACGCGCTACCGTTGCGCCACAGGGCCATCGCTGAATCATATTTGACAAGCTTAGTTCATAAATATGAACCAGTAATATTGGAAGTGGAATCGCCTACACACACTTTCCCACGTTGCAAATTTTAGGGGTGATAGCTTGTTTAATTACTTCTAAAATTGTTCAATGATGCTACACTACATTTATTTGGGTAAGTTGATGAGATGGACGAAGGATATGCCGATTTTTTGTTAGAAATCCAACGACTTTATAAGAATATTTTAAAATTTGTTATTTTCCACTGTGTATTTTAAGCCTTTCACCCTTTAACGTTGAGTTCAAGTTCAACCATATTGAAATACAAAGTAAAAACGTTTTTAGTATTTTTCTATTATTTCACAAATATCTAAGAAAATAACCTTTGGATTTTCGATAAATAGCCACATATCGATAATGGAGACCATTCTTGAGCAACAGAGGCGGTATCACGAGGAAAGAGAGCGGCTTATGGATGTTATGACCAAAGAGATGTTGCACCCAAAAAAGACAGTGAGACAAACATTGATTTTTTTTCTTCATTTTAAATGATTTTTCATCAATTGCATGATTGCTGCATGCCATGCATAACGTTAATTTGAGCGGTATGAGAGGAAGTCATGTAATTCGCGTGGGTATTGCAAGTTACTTGGGCATAATGTAGGGTATTTTTGAAGAAATAAGATGGGCGATAATATAGTGAAATTGTATCTGCAAATCACATTTATTTGGATTACAAATAACATCAGAGAGGAAATAACCCCAGAGTTTAAGATGACATACGCTTATAATGAAAACCTGTATTGAGGTGATATAAATCACTTTCGGGGAAGAAACTGACAAAGAAATGACAAGTCATCAATGGCGGCTTCAAAATTTTCGAAATACGCTTAGCAGTTAGAATAATATTATGTTATTTTCTGTCATTTTGACCAATATCATATCTTCTTATTTCACATCAAGATAAAAAAAGTGTATAGAATATGGACCAAGTCTTTGGGTCGTTCTTGAACTCAGAGGGTAGAACTAGTATGTATCCAACAGACCGAATATAACATTCGGTCTGTTATGATTGATATATTTCCTGTGGAAATCGCGGTGATATTTTTTGCACATAAATTTCTCGTTTATTACAAGAATGTTCACCTTGAAAATTGGTGAATATGTTGAAGAGATGTTCATCTTAAACTAGAAGCAAAAATATTTGTATAAGGCGGGTACAAGTTGATATAAAATAATGAAATGTTCAGACTCACCAAAATTTCAGGATGTGTTCATAAGTAGATCGCGAAATCAATGTCAAGGACGTTTGAGTTCACAAGATCCAAACGAGATATGCAAATTTTTGAACTTTGACAACACATGACCACTTGATTACCTCGGCCTTCTTCATGAATATTTCCGCTCTATTTACTATAAATGTCGAAAATTAATCGGGATAATGATAATAAATGACTAGATCTAATAAATTCCCACACAAATGGAATTTATCAATACGCCTCCGTAATGTTGCTCCGTCCGCTCCACGTGTTATTTGTTTACAAATAGACTGACGTCACTGGCTAAATCTCGTTTATCGTGAGAATTGGCATTGCCAAAATGGCTTGACCTAATCAGTGGCTTCGCTACAAGAAGCGTCTGTACATTTTATGAATATCTTCAGTAAGAGGACAATATATGAAAAAATAATATTGTAAGTTCTTTATAAGGTAATCATTTTATCATTAAACAAACTTATTTGTAACATTTATACAACACCACATTTTACAATAGGTGACTTACAGTCTGAATTTATTCAGACGAAGGATACAGTCTAGGGTAGAACTCCCTCTTCCCAACTTTTCTGGGGGGGTTTCCCAATCGAGAGATGAATCTTATCTCCCCTTTTTTTGATGATTATACCCATTAGATTACTAATAATGTCCAGAAAGGTCTCCTGTAAAATAATTCACCTTTATTTCATTGTATGCAGCTTCATTATTAAGACATGCAGGGGAAATTATATTTGGCAACGGTTTTGATTTTTTCCACACATCTTATTGTCAAAATTAACAATTTGAATTTTTAAACTTCTTTCAAGTTGACTAAAAACATTTCTAAATCATCTAAAAGTTCTAAGGAGTTCAAATCTGACAAAAAGTGGAATCAAATTGATTTTTGGGGATTCAAGCTTATAAGCCTAAAACATGAAATTTTCAAGGTCAAAGGTCAACATTATCAAACTAGGTCACAAACAATATTATCTAAGTTTCTCAAAGTTTAAGGTCAGGGTGCATGTTCAGAATTTTGCTGCAACCCTCAGTAAGGTCACATGTTATTTTTCAATTTTGAACCACTCCTTCCCTACAATGTCTACATCTGTCACTTTTGCACAACGAGTGCACTAATGTACCCAGAAAAGATTGTAGAGAAGAATGTTTTGATAAAATGTGTGAAAAACAAGAAAATTCAGTGAAAAAAATTAGAAAATTTTCAGAATTTTTTTTCACTGAATTCTCTCGTTTTTTATACATTTTACAAAACAAATCTTCTCACCAGTCTTTTCTAGGCACATAAGTGTACTCTTTGTGCAAAACTGGAAGATGGAGAAAATGTGGGGATGGAGTGATTCCTGTTTGAAAAATAACATGTGACTCAATTGGGGAATGCAGCAAAATTCTGAACATGCACCCTGGGCTTAATCCCTGTGGTCCCTTGGGATATGCACATATTTTCCTTGGGATAATGTATCCAAAACCTCCCAGTACATAACCCTTGTATGCTCTATGTCCCCCTGCCTATATTTTGCTATATGTGTCTAAATGTCTGTTTTTGTTTTTCAGAATCGTGAACAAATTAATTCAGATCAGAGATTAAGGACAGTCCTTGATGTAAGTAGATTCTCCTGCATCATTCAAGTTCTTTAAATTGGCTGAGACAAACTCCGAAATTCACCCTTGGTATACGCAGCTAACGAAAATTGACCGGTACGGGTCAAAAGCTGGACCGGTACGGGTTAACGGTTTTATTTGAATTTAAAACAGCCATAACTTGCTAAATATTGACTTCCTCGTGTCTAATTTGAAATATATGATGCCTCCCGATGCTTTTAAGTACCCCAATTTTTTACAGATTTTTTAATGGACCAAAACTCTCTAAATGCGCATTTATGCTATTTTCTCTCGAGAACGACTGTCTCATTTTCACGATAACTTTTATTTAGTACTTCTAACATATAAGATCTATTTTTCCCCATCAAGGTATGATGTAAATGACATGCTATTTACATCTTGTGAGTTTCAATGACGCGCGTTTGATTTTATAAAAAATGCCAAACTTTGTGACAAATAATTTCATCCTGCTTGCAGCGAGATTGCGAGAAGACGGACCGGTTCGGGGCAATCTGCTTGCAACGAGAAGACGGACCGGTTTGGGGCAATAGCTGATGAAATTCTTTGTCACAAAGTTTGGCATTTTTTATAAAATCAAACGCGCGTCATTGAAACTCACAAGATGTAAATAGCATGTCATTTACATCATACCTTGATGGGGAAAAATAGATCTTATATGTTAGAAGTACTAAATAAAAGTTATCTTGAAAATGAGACAGTCGTTCTCGAGAGAAAAGAGCATAAATGCGCATTTAGAGAGTTTTGGTCCGTTTAAAAATCTGTAAAAAATTGGGGTACTTAAAAGCATCGGGAGGCATCATATATTTCAAATTAGACACGAGGAAGTCAATATTGAGCAAGTTATGGCTATTTTAAATTCAAATAAAACCGTTTACCCGTACCGGTCCAGCTTTTGACCCGTACCGGTCAATTTTCGTTAGCTGCGTATACCAAGGGTGAAATTATTACAAAACAAGTGTTTCATGTTTCAGTTTTTCAAACTTTTCTTTATTTGCTAACTGATTCACAATCGAGTCAAATTAATTTGGCAACTGAAAAATAAACGAATCATAGTAAGTGCTAAATTAACTAGTGCTAAAAACTACTAAGGGCAACAGTTGGTTATTATACCCGCCATGCTATCTGTCCCGAATAAGCCACCTGGTGGTGATGAAACAGAAAGTTATTACATAGTCTTATGTTGCCTATGTACAAATGTGTTTATTTTTACTTCCTTACAAAAGTTTTCACTTTTGCCTGTTTCCAAAATTACATTTTTGACTATGAACCTACATATTTTCAGAGATACATAGAATGTTCCAATGAGCTCCAGGGGCTTTATGAAGATAAAGATGGCTCCAGAAAGGAGGAGGTTGCAGGCCTCTCTGGGCCTAATGAATTTGCAGAGTTCTATACACGGTTAAAAGCAATAAAGGATTTCCACAGAAAGCATCCAAATGAGGTGAGCAAATATGAAATAAATGACTGAAATGTGGACATGAAAGCAGATTCAGGAAAAATAAACACCTGATTTCGTAAAGATACTTTTTTTCTCTGTTTCTTTGACATTTCACAGATCTGCATTTCTTTTATAAGTTAAAGATCAACTTTCCTTGTCAGAGTTTCTTTGTATTCTGTTTCAGATCAGCATTTCTTTGTATTCCGTTTCAGATCAGCATTTCTTTGTATTCTGTTTCAGATCAGCATTTCTTTGTATTCTGTTTCAGATCAGCATTTCTTTGTATTCTGTTTCAGATCAGTTTTTCTTTGGACTCTGTTTCAGATAAGCATTGCTTTGTCTTCTGCTTCAGATCAGCATTGCTTTGTATTCTGTTTCAGATCAGCATTTCCTTGTATTCTGTTTCATATCAGCATTTCTTTGTATTCTGTTTCAGATCAGTTTTTCTTTGGACTCTGTTTCAGATCAGCATTGCTTTGTATTCTGTTTCAGATCAGTTTTTCTTTGGACTCTGTTTCAGATCAGTTTTTCTTTGGACTCTGTTTCAGATCAGCATTGCTTTGTATTCTGTTTCAGATCAGCATTTCTTTGTATTCTGTTTCAGATCAGTTTTTCTTTGGACTCTGTTTCAGATCAGCATTGCTTTGTATTCTGTTTCAGATCAGCATTTCCTTGAATTCTGTTTCATATCAGCATTTCTTTGTATTCTGTTTCAGATCAGCATTTCTTTGGATTCTGGATTCTGTTTCAGATCAGCATTTCTTTGTATTCTGTTTTAGATCCGCATTGCTTTGTATTCTGTTTCAGATCAGCATTTCTTTGTATTCTGTTTCAGATCAGCATTTCTTTGGACTCTGCTTCAGATCAGCATTTCTTTGTATTCTGTTTCAGATCAGCATTTCTGTGTATTCTGCTTCAGATCAGCATTTCTTTGGACTCTGTTTCTGATCAGCATTGCTTTGTATTCTGTTTCAGATCAGCATTTCTTTGTATTCTGTTTCATATCAGCATTTCTTTGTATTCTGTTTCATATCAGCATTTCTTTGGACTCTGCTTCAGATCAGCATTTCTTTGTATTCTGTTTCAGATCAGCATTTCTGTGTATTCTGTTTCAGATCAGCATTTCTTTGGACTCTGTTTCTGATCAGCATTGCTTTGTATTCTGTTTCAGATCACCTTTCTTTGTATTCTGTTTCATATCAGCATTTCTTTGTATTCTGTTTCAGATCAGTTTTTCTTTGGACTCTGTTTCAGATCAGCATTGCTTTGTATTCTGTTTCAGATAAGCATTGCTTTGTATTCTGCTTCAGATCAGCATTGCTTTGTATTCTGTTTCAGATCAGTCTTTCTTTGGACTCTGTTTCAGATCAGTTTTTCTTTGGACTCTGTTTCAGATCAGCATTGCTTTGTATTCTGTTTCAGATCAGCATTTCTTTGTATTCTGTTTCAGATCAGTTTTTCTTTGGACTCTGTTTCAGATCAGCATTGCTTTGTATTCTGTTTCAGATCAGCATTTCCTTGAATTCTGTTTCATATCAGCATTTCTTTGTATTCTGTTTCAGATCAGCATTTCTTTGGATTCTGGATTCTGTTTCAGATCAGCATTTCTTTGTATTCTGTTTTAGATCCGCATTGCTTTGTATTCTGTTTCAGATCAGCATTTCTTTGTATTCTGTTTCAGATCAGCATTTCTTTGGACTCTGCTTCAGATCAGCATTTCTTTGTATTCTGTTTCAGATCAGCATTTCTGTGTATTCTGTTTCAGATCAGCATTTCTTTGGACTCTGTTTCTGATCAGCATTGCTTTGTATTCTGTTTCAGATCAGCATTTCTTTGTATTCTGTTTCATATCAGCATTTCTTTGTATTCTGTTTCATATCAGCATTTCTTTGTATTCTGTTTCAGATCAGCATTCCTATGTCTGTTGAATTTGAAGAGTTGACTAAAGCCAGAGAGAATCCATCTGAAGATATGCAAAGTAAGTACTTGAACTGAGTATTTTATTATATTACTTAGTACACAAATAACATAACATTAGTATTAAAAAGTGTTTTTTGATGTTTTTGTGAAAAGTGGATCACTTTCCAAGCATTGTCCTGCATAGGTGATAAAAATCTTGGGATATAATTCCTTACACCCTCAGAACCCTTAGGTTCACATGACAATTTGCTGTACAAATGGCTTGTTTATTTCAGATATGGTTGAATTCACAGATGAAGAGGGTTATGGCAAATACTTGGATCTTCATGAATGTTATGAAAAATATATAAACCTGAAGGGAGTTGAGGTAAGAGAATGAAGAGGGTGCAGTGTGGGTCTTATGATTTTTTTGTCACTCGACAGGTGGCAATTGACTTGTGTTTTTACACTCGCCAATGAAAAATTACACTTGCCAGTGTTGCCACTGATGATAAATTATATGTATAATCACAGTTTTCTTGTGAAAAAATTGACTTTGTTCTATAATATTCAACAATGGTGAACTTCATGTTAGACAATGTGGCAAGGCAGCTCAATTTTACACTCGACTTTAAATATTTACATCCACCTGTGGCTACTGTCAAGAAGATATGAGTCACACTGGGGTGGTTCATTGGAAATTCTCATATGGCCACCATAGTTATTAGACACAGATACTAGTTTTTCTGCATGAGAAAATGTAAATTCTGCACAGAAATTCTACATGAAAAAGTCAAATTTTGCACCAATTCTGTGATAAATTCTGGAAGCAACGGTTTCATCTGAACTATCACGCAATTGCAGAGAATTCAACATTTTGTAACCTATTAGATGTAATCTTAATTCAAAAGGCCGTAGTTTGAGAATACACATTTTTTCTTGGAAATCCTCACAATACCAGTTTCTAATGCATGACAAATGACTGTCAAGGTGAGTGACAAATACAAGATGTGATGAGGGGGTTCACTGGAAAAATCAAGCTTTCTGCGAAATTCTGTGCAAAAAGATCAAATTCTGCAAAAATTTTGAAAACCAAATTTCTGTGGTTTTTCTGTGGTGACGCAGAATCTCAGAATTCTAGTATGTGTGATTAGACAAACGGAAGCCATGCAGTTGTGCAAACTGACTGCATAGCCACATGTCTGTACAGTCACCGTAGCAAATGTGTTACAGCATCAAAGACGTTTCATATTTGAATATATTCAAACTGAACTGATTTCATTAAGTTCATTATTTCTTATGAATTTATTTTCAGAAAGTTGACTACATCACATATCTCACTGTTTTTGATCAGTTGTTTGACATCCCAAAAGAGAGAAAGAACGCCTCATACAGAGAGTAAGTAAACACTGAATATTTTGTTCTCATATTTGATTCGTAATTTATATTTTGTTTGTATTTTTTATTGAAAGTTGAGGGAACAATTCATTTTTTCTCATTCTTACAATTTAGTTTTTATCTGGGCATACGTACATTAGGCCATTCAAAGTGAATCATTTGTGTAACATCCTGTGTAGAGGCCAAATCTTAGGAGGGTGGGAGATGAAAAACAGCAACTGAAAAAACAAAGATAAGAAACAAAACCTTCACTTATTGTATTTCTCTTTGTGTTTTATATGATTCAGTAGTAAAAATACCAATGTACATCCAAAGAGAGCGACTGATAAAATGACACAAATAAGTTTGCGTGAACTTAGTTATGACAACGCTGATGCTGGAATACACATAGTTTTTAATCCGTGAACTCCTTTCATTAAAATATGATCTTTGATGACGATTTTTAAGATTTAATTCACATGTGGGTATATGGGCACATACTTCTTCATTTTCTAGAAAATTGTCTTAACAAAGAAGAGATGTGACACTGAACACAAGTTTAACCTTCGATGGCTTTTTTTATTTTATTTTATTTCATTGAAAATATACTTTCCTAGCCTAAATTTTATTGAGTGGTTGCTTTTTCATTAGACCACATTTAAGTGTATGTTCAGAAAATATTTATTTTTATTTTCAGTTCATAATGCTTCTCTTTGGTATCAAATGAAAAGTAATGAATAAATTTAACGACTTTTGAATTATTGTATTTCATGTTCTGTTGTTATTTTGTAGCTACCTGTTACAGCTTTTGGAATACTTAGATGGGTATACATCCAGAGTGAAGCCACTGCTAGATACGCAAGAGGTAAGCTCTAAAGAGGCTCATGTCAAATACAAGAGGGCAAATACCCCAGAATTAATATCTTTGTACATAGATAAACATTAGAAGTTCAACTTTACATTGAAATTTGAATCAATACTGAATTCTTGGGAATTTCACTTTGTTATGAAATACAAAATATGTAGTCATGATGATGATTTTTAAAGCCAATGCAATAACAGTAGGAATGCAATTAAAACTAATTCAAACATGACCGTGCTCTGATTGAATTTCTCAACCAATCAGAATGCAGAATAGCCAATATAGAGCGTCCTCTATTTCTCCATAGATGACCGACCGTGCTCTATTCAATCTGCTTCCAGGAATCTATGTACATGTATTGTGTTGTATTATCACGTTACATGTGGAAACGGCTAAAAAGCTGCAAGTTTGGTTATTTCATTGACCTCAATTCCTAATTCTCTGGACAAACTTTTCATTTTCTATGTTTGAATCGGAATAAATAATGATGGGCCATTCAATATGGTGAAATTCTACACTCATTGGACAGAATATCAGTACAAATGCACTCTCTTGGTTTGTGCTTTGTACAACATTCTGTCCAACTCGTGCTGAATTTCACCATATTGTGTGGCCTATCATTATTTATTCCTTAAATAAAATTCTGAACAGAAATTTGATATTGTTGACAGCAGCAGTTTGTTCTCTACAGTTCATGAAACTTTATTTGCTAATATTTAGTAAACTTGCATAACAAAAGACACAGAATGAGACATTTTCAAATGTTTGCCATGTTACCATGGTTTCATTTAGATTAATCACAACAAGAAAAAGAAGTGAATACAACAGGCAAAAATTATTGGAAATTCTAGCTACCACAAAGTCACAGTTCAATATTCGCCAAAATACAACAGGCAATTTTGCTTTAAACAACTGTAGAAAATCAACTGTTTTCTGCCACTTATGAACACCTGTGTATTAGTGTGTAATGTATTTGGATATTTTAGGAAATGGATGTAATTGGGACAGACTTTGAAAGACAGTGGACGGATGGTGCATTCCCAGGATGGCCGGTAATATAAACTTCTTAAGTAGTAGGATAGTATGATATATTTTATTTCTAATTCAGAGACTTAACACAAGAGGAAGTAATAAATTCATATGTTTCAATTTGAAATCACACACAGGAGACAAAAACAATAATATGATGTTTAAAACTAATCTAAAACATTATTATTACAAACCCAAAATGACTTTTTGAAAAACTTCCAGAACTGTACAATATTCTTTGCTTTACTTGATTTCCATAATCTAGGGTTATGAATTTAGTGGTGAATGTTTCTCTTTCACCTAATAAGGCAATAGCTTAACATTAATAGTGGTGTATTTTAGAAAGAGACAAGTGGCGCCCTCACCCACTCAGGAGCCCATTTAGATCTGTCTGCATTCTCTTCGGCTGAAGAATTGGCATCGCTTGGACTGGACAGGTTGAAGTCTGCATTGATGGCTCTGGGCCTGAAGTGTGGAGGGTAGGCTATATTATAATATATACATGATTGCAGTCAGAATATTAAATAGATTATTCAAAGATTAAAGACATCACTTCTATGATTAATGGTTGAATATATGACCGAAGATTTCATTCAGTTCATTGTTAAAAGGTCTTTGGCAATGGCCAGAAGGAAATCCGAGGTCATATATTTGCCATAAATCATAGAATCGAGGTATTCTAAAATGATAAAACCAACCTTTATTCTTAAGTTGCTTCTGATTTGAATTTTTTCAACCTGTAAGCTTCTCAGTGTTTTGGACATTCTATTTACTGGACTCCCCAAGATAAATACTATGTAGTATCTTAATGGGTTTACATCAAGTATCGATAATGACACTGACGTCACAGTCTTGATCATTCTGATTTGACACCTTCTTAAATCTCCATGGAAATGTTGTCTTTGTTTACCTTCACTCGTCTAATGAAATTAACAGGTCTACATACTCCAGCGTTGACCATGGTATTTTCACATGACATATTGTGCTAGAATTATATGTATGGAAATCTAAGTCATCAATTATTGTTTGATTCTGACAATACTTAATAAGATATTTGTTTTATAGAACATTAGAGGAGAGAGCACAGAGGTTGTTCAGCACCAAAGGCAAAAGACTCACAGATTTAGATCCTGCATTATTTGCCAAGTCAAAACCAGGAAAGCAGGGCAGGAACAGGTAATTAGGGCATAATTTGCATGCATATGTTACATACTCACTTTCCTGACCTCATATTGCTGCACATTCTGAATTCATGTCCATGTCCATCTGTCTCTCCGTCCATCAGTCAGTCCGTCCGTCCGTCCATAAAATTCAAAATGACTGCCTTAATTAGGGCATAATTTGCATGCATATGTTACATACTAACTTTCCTGACCTCATATTGTCACATATTATGACCTCATATTGCTACACACTCTGACCTCATATTGCTACACATTCTGACCTCATATTGCTACACATTCTGACCTCATATTGCTACACATTCTACAATACCAATCGATGCAATCAAATGTGACCTGCTTTTTTATATCATGCTGTGTGTGTTTTTCACTTCCTTGTTGCATCAAGGTGGCTTATTAATTCAAACAGTTCATTGCTTCTGCAGGCCTCGTCCACTCTTGTTTATTCCTCAATGTAAACATTATGACAAGAGGGACAGTTTAGTGATAAAATTAGAGTGGGCAAGGCACTGTAAAAGTGAAGTTGAAAAAAGTATAGCACATGATTAGGGCAGCCATTTTGGATGTTGACTCCTAGTGCTGTATAGATTCAAAATGGATTATGAATTTACCTATTGAATAATGACTAAAGGGCATTTGTTAACCTGCCTAGATGTCAAAATATGGGTGTTCCCAGGGATAGAAGGAGCATTACCCCCAGCTCATTTGAAATTTTGAATAATTGACTTAACTCAAGGATATCATGAAATTGATATATGATGATATCTCCATGTTAAATCAATGGACCCAAATAAAGAATAAAAACAAAAATTGTGAAATTTGAAAGTTTGAAAGTTTGACCTACTTTCGAAAGTTCAAAGGTTAAGGTCAAAACATTCTTTATCATATTTTCACATTTTAGATTTTATAAATGATGATTTTGCACACAGGAATGTTTGATTTGCAGATATGCACTGACTTGACCTTTACAAGGTCACGATGACCTCAATAACACTTAGGATGTAACTGAACACTATGTCATAATTGACTCCTTAATAAATACAATACTATATGTCATAATGGTTATGAATGCTCTGGGGGCACTTTTTGTATACTTATAGTGACGGATTCTTTATCATTATGAAAAGAATATGCAATATAAATATATATTTTGTGCTGCGCCACAAAAGAAGATGCTAGGGAGACCTGGGGAGATCATAGGAGATATTTAAACAGTTATGAATAATTCAATTTTGACCAGGGACTATGAAAGGCAGAAGGAGGTTGCCAACCTTGAAGCACAGGTGTAATATAAATTATAAATAAAGTTATAAATGTTTCAATTTCAATCAGTGACTATAAAAGGCAGAAGGAGATTGCCAACCTTGAAGCACAGGTGTAATATAAATTATATATAAAGTTATAAATGTTTCCATTTCAACCAGGGACTATGAAAGGCAGAAGGAGATTGCCAACCTTGAAGCACAGGTGTACAGGTTTGCTGAGATTCTTGGGGAACAGAGGGCAGCTACAAGGGATAATGTGCAGAGAAAGCAGGCGAGAACTGGTGAGGAAAGAGACGAATCAGATGAGGAACACTTCAGTGAGGAGGACAGTGATGATGATGATAATGACATACCTTATAATCCAAAGAATCTACCACTTGGTTGGGATGGAAAGGTATGGAGCTATCTTTATGCCTGAGTAGTAACATTTGCCCTATTTTATGTCACAGCCAATCTCAAGACAGTATTATACGGTACTGTTTTGGCTATGGTACTGTACAGTGCCCTGAAATATGGTACCATACGGTACAGTAGACTAAAAGTTCTGTATGGTACTGTGAACACTGTATGGCATTATACTCCAATGGTACCGTACAGTACCATACTCTAATGTACCATACAGCACCATACTCTTTATGTACCGTATGGTACTATGCTCTTAATGCTCTTACAGTGCCATACTCTTGATGTACCATACGGTACCATGCTCTTTATGTACCGTATGGTACTATGCTCTTACAGTACCATACTCCTAATGTACCATACGGTACCATACTCTTAATATACTGTATGGTACCATACTCTTGATGTACCGTACAGTACCATACTCTTAATGTACCGTACAGTTCCATACTCTTAATGTACCATACAGTACCATGCTCTTTATGTACCGTATGGTACTATGCTCTTAATGCTCTTACAGTACCATACTCTTAATGTACCATATGGTCCCATACTCTTAATATACCCTATGGTACCATACTCTTGATGTACCATACAGTACCATACTCTTAATATACCGTACAGTACCATACTCTTAATGTACCGGATGGTACCATACTATTAATGTACCATACGGTGCCATACTCTTAATGTACTGTATGGTAGTGCCTTACGGTAATGCCGGATTGTCGGCAGCGGCAGTAGATACTCTCAATTGCCGGTAATAAAATCCATTGCCGATAATCGCCATGCTGCTGCAACGTGATTGGCATTGCGATCCATTGTCAAATTTACGAAACAATGTTCGTTTAAGAATATTTTATCAATCATGTATATTTCAATCTCCACATTTGAAGAGCTAATCTGTCAATCAACTGCAAATCATTCGTAAAAGGCGGGAGGATAAGCAAAACCCCGCCCACTTCTGTCAATCATCTCCCATGCCGCGAGATTAACAAATCACGTGACGTGATATTTCGGTGAAGTAAAAACAAACACAAATAATTTGATCAATTTTGATCGAATTCACTCTATATTATCATTCAAAGACTTCCTAACAATACACAATCACACACGAGATACACGATGATACAATATATCCACTGTAGTTGATGTGAGCGGGAAATCAAGCTGAGAAATCGGCTTCGTTAAGGATTTTTCCAAATATTTTAGTTTCACTTTCAGATTTTTCCCCGGGATTTTAGGAACATTATCAGTATCAACGATTATCGGTAACGGTAAGGTAATGGAGGTGAAATTTACCGGCAGTGAGATCCATTACCGTTGCAAGCACTACTGTATGGTACCATACTCTTAATGTACCATACGGTACCATACTCATAATGTGCCGCATGGTACCATACTCTTAATGTACCGTACAGTACCATAATTTTAGAGTGTGGATTGGGGATGTACAGCAGCTGTAGTCCCCTGATATTGAGAAATACCTCCGTTCTGTGGTTAACTCAAGGTTGCCCAAAGGCCTTGTTTATATAACTAATTTATATGGCCGACAGAAACTGATAGGGAAAATTATATTGTACAGTGCTCACAATAAATAAATGACACCTGGATTTGCTGAAGTGAGGAAGAGAATTTTCAAGAGGCTATACATCAGTGGATGAGAGTATACAAAATGTAAAATATACAAAACTTAAGGGATGTGTATCTAGACATTATTGAAAAGTATGAAGTCTCAAATCACCATGGTCTGGAAATGGTGATAGAAAATCCAGGTGATTTATTTATGGTGAGCACTTAATATTATTAAAATAAAATGCTAAAAAGAAAGTATCTGTTTGCAGTTTTTGAATACATTTGAATTTAATCATAAAGGGCAGAGGTAAAACATTAATTTGTAAAATGTCTTGTAAATCATCCTTATTTTAACCTCATCAACTCATTCTACTTAGCCTTGTGTACTTCACATACATGTATTTTATATTCCATGCATTGTATACTTCACACCTTGTATATTTCATGCATTGTATACTTCACACCTTGTATATTTCATGCATTGTATACTTTAAATATTGTACATAACATATATTGTCTATTTTACATATTGTTTACTTCATGTATTGTATATTTAAAACATTGTATATTTCAGCCTATACCATACTGGTTGTACAAACTACATGGTCTTTGTATATTTCAGCCTATACCATACTGGTTGTACAAACTACATGGTCTTTGTGTATTTCAGCCTATACCATACTGGTTGTACAAACTACATGGTCTTTGTATATTTCAGCCTATACCATACTGGTTGTACAAACTACATGGTCTTTGTATATTTCAGCCTATACCATACTGGTTGTACAAACTACATGGTCTTTGTGTATTTCAGCCTATACCATACTGGTTGTACAAACTACATGGTCTTTGTGTATTTCAGCCTATACCATACTGGTTGTACAAACTACATGGTCTTTGTATATTTCAGCCTATACCATACTGGTTGTACAAACTACATGGTCTTTGTATATTTCAGCCTATACCATACTGGTTGTACAAACTACATGGTCTTTGTGTATTTCAGCCTATACCATACTGGTTGTACAAACTACATGGTCTTTGTATATTTCAGCCTATACCATACTGGTTGTACAAACTACATGGTCTTTGTATATTTCACCCTATACCATACTGGTTGTACAAACTACATGGTCTTTGTATATTTCAGCCTATACCATACTGGTTGTACAAACTACATGGTCTTTGTATATTTCAGCCTATACCGTACTGGTTGTACAAACTACATGGTCTTTGTATATTTCAGCCTATACCATACTGGTTGTACAAACTACATGGTCTCAATATAAACTACAACTGTGAAATATGTGGAAACTACACATACAGAGGTCCAAAGGCTTTTCAAAGACATTTTGCTGTAAGTTTAAAAAACATTTTTTACAAAATAAATTCAATGAATTAATTCTCATTTCAGTGGACATCAATCATTCTTGAAATCTGCCAGGAGCACCTGGTTGTTTTGAATAATTGATTATTTATAAAAAAAATGTACTTTTGCATTTTTTGTAAAATTATAACACTTATTTATTGGGGTATTAAATGTGTATTGAATGGATGCACCAAAAACTTATCATTGATGTCCAAAGTTTGTATTGATGCATTAAAAATAGACATTCATTTTTACTTATCAAATCCCTCCATCTTTGATTACATCTTTATCAGATGTAAAAGTTCTTTCTTTATAAACTGACACTCATTCATTAGATTTTTATTTATATCATTTGGCAGGTAATTTTAAACATTCTAACATGACTGTCAAAGCACTTTTGTATCTGATATTTTTTATAAACAATTATGGACGTCAAATGTTTAAGGATCATGTTTTGATGATGAAAATTTCAATTTGTGAAATTTGTATGATTGTATCAAAGGGAATGATTAATATTTCATTTGATTATATTTGAAAAAGCAATTTGTACACAGCCAGGCATATTGAGATTTTAGCATTGCTAGCAATCCTTTGTTATGTTGAAAACACATTTCTCATTAATTTTTTAGTTATTATTTTAAAAGGAGCAGTTAGGCTTAGTGCATATGCACTCAGTATGGTTTCTAGACAACTCATCTCAAGACAACTCATCCCAAGACAAGTCATCCCTAAGACAACTCATCCCAAGACAAGTCATCCCTAAGACAACTCATCCCAAGACATCTCATCCCAAGACAACTCATCCCAAGACATCTCATCCCAAGACAACTCATCCCACTAGTATAATTGATAAATTATCTAATTTGTCCTCTATATTATATATTTCCCTTTTTCATTTTTAAGATTACAAAGTGATATTTGATTATACACTCAATCTTAATATTGATAATTTTCAGCATTTTGAAATGGCACTTCAAAGTTATGTTCTATTTTTACGTACCGGTATTTTTATAAATTCTGTGTTATTCTGAAATTATCAATATATTTGAGAATATAGAATTGAAGATAAAAGTCAAAGACATAATTTCCAAATTCAATCATCATGATTCTGAAAGTTTGAAATTGGAAATCTTATTTAAGAATAAGCCAAATATGACATATTGGAATTAAGCAAAATATCTTAAAACAAAGACTGAATTAATCTGGGGGAATTTTTCTGATAAAACCCGGATAATACATTCTTATTGTGTTAATCCTAATCTGACACCCTTGATGATCTTTGATTTAATAATCAAAGTATATATTAATATGAACATGTTTATCTTTATCCCAATCAATCAACAAAAATTAACTAAAACAAGACTAAACTAACTACAAAATACAAAATGGCACACAGTGTGCTTACTGCTAAAATCTCTAAACATGTTTCAAATATACTTTGAAAAGTTGAAATTGATTGTATAAAATTATGTTATATTTCAAGTTGGGAAGAGTTGTCTTGGGGATGAGTTGTCTTGGGATGAGATGTCTTGGGATGAGATGTCTTGGGATGAGTTGTCTTGGGATGAGATGTCTTGGGATGAGATGTCTTGGGATGAGTTGTCTTGGGATGAGATGTCTTGGGGATGAGTTGTCTTGGGGATGAGTTGTCTTGGGATGAGTTGTCTTGGGATGAGATGTCCTGTTACCACTCAGGGTTATAATGTCAAAATAAAGCAGATATCATAAAACCATTGACCTCTCTCTGACCAATTAGAATCTAGAATAAAAGTACAAACTTCATTTAAAATAAACACGTTGACAATTACAATAAACAGGCTTGGTAAGACAAATTCCCCTTCTTTGATCTTCCCCCAGCCATAGAGATCACGTGTTTTGTTTTATTTTTTAGGAATGGCATGAGATTTCTAGGAATTCCAAACACAGCTCATTTTGCAAATGTGACCCTTTGACAAATGAACTGTGAACAGATTTTGTTCTCCCAAGCTATTGAATTTATATGTTTTGTTATACTTATTTTAGGAATGGCGGCACGCTCATGGCATGAGATGTCTCGGGATCCCAAACACTGCTCACTTTGCAAATGTGACCCTCATTGAGGATGCCGTAGCACGTGAGTTGTTATTATATTTGGAAACAATTGTTTTATTGCTCATTTGGTAATCATTGAGATGGCATACATACTTGATTATTTATAAGATGTGTTATCAATTCTGTAAGCAGAAAAGGTGTTTCAGAACATTACACTGGATCATCCTGGTTACATAATAGCAAGTTCAAATTGTTCTCAATTTCTAACCATAATTGATTGACAAACAATCTATAACAAATTCTTACTACTTCCAATAACTTAATAAAGACTGACTTCAATTTTTTTCTAAATCATCTACAAGTTCTCAGAAGCTCAAATCTGACTAAGATTTGAGATTTGACCTCCAATGACCTTCTGAAGGTCAAAAAAGGTTGAAAAGGTCTTTTTTCAACCTGCTTCAAATTGACCAATTTTTTTCACAATCATCTACAAGTTCTCAGAATGGCGGTTGGTAGTTAGAGGGTGGCAATTGGCGGGCGGTGTAAGATTTGACCTTCAGTGACCTTCTCAAGGTCGATAAAGGTCAAAAAGGTATTTTTATTTGAGATTTGACCTTCTGAAGGTAAAAAAGGTTGAAAAGTTGTTTTTTCGACTTTCAAAATTATCATCAAGTTCTCAGGTATTCAAATCTGATTTTTAGATTTTTAGACTTGACCTTCAATGACCAAACTCGCCTCAAATTGACCAATTTTTTAAATCATCTACAAGTTCTCAGAAATTCAAATTTGACTTAAGTGGTGACATTTTGTCATATTAATGTATGTCGATTTCTGATTTCAGTTTGGGCGAAGATCAAGTCCAGCAAAGACATGGAACGCTGGAGACCTGACACTGAAGAGGAATATGAAGACTCCGCTGGAAATGTTGTCTCTAAGAAAACATTTGATGACTTAAAAAGACAAGGACTTTTATAGAACAGTGTTTTATTTTATACAACTTCTACTTGATCCTCTTCTATACAATTGTAATAAAGAAATAAATATTTAGGTAAAAATCAAGATTGCTTTATTTGTGTTTGCTTTAAGTGTAATGAAGTTTACGTGCAGAGAAGTATATGTGCAGGGAAGTACAAGTGTAGAGAAGTATAAGTACAGTGAAGTATAAGTGTGAAGTACAAATGCAGGGAAGTACAAGTGCAGAGAAGTATAAGTGTGGAGAAGTACAAATGCAGGGAAGTACAAGTGTAGAGAAGTATAAGTACAGTGAAGTATAAGTGTGGAGAAGTACAAGTGCAGGGAAGTATAAGCGTGGAGAAGTACAAATGCAGGGAAGTACAAGTGCAGAGAAGTATAAGCGTGGAGAAGTACAAATGCAGGAAAGTACAAGTGTAGAGAAGTATAAGTACAGTGAAGTATAAGTGTGGTGAAGTACAAAGGCCGATCCAGAAGTTATGATAAAAATGCTTTTTTTCTTAATAAAGGTAATCCCTTGACATTTTTACACTGTGTATATAATTTATATGCTTATACAGGGACTATATGAAAAGTTGATGACATGAATTTCTGTAATCACACTTTTCCTACCCCATGGTAGAAACACTTGGTCCAGAACTTGACGTCATTAATTAAGTGAAAATCTGGAAAAACTAGGAAGTTCTGGTGCAGGGACGTATTAACCATTAATGTCAAATTGTGGATATAAGTTTAATTTTACTCCCCTCTTAAAATGTTATATACAATCTTATACAATTTGACGCAAAGCGTATATTGTAGATCTAGGATCAAAAGTCAATATTTGTAAATACAATTATTTTAATGGTGTGCATGAATGCAGAAAAAATGAGATGGTAGAGTCTGCTAGAGTTACATATAATAAATTAATAAGTTGATACAATATGCTGTTTAAGTGCTGCCTTGAATATAACTGTACTGACACTGTGCTTAATTTCATCAGGTACAGGGTGTAGATTATTATAATATGATGTTCCAATGTATTTAAGTGAGTCCCACCTTAGGTTGGACTAAAAGGTGTCTCTTGTGTCATGGCCATGTTGGGCAATTTTTGGGCACTTTTATTGCAAATTTCAGGTATTTATAAGTGTTTGTGGTATAAAATATAATCCACAGACATAAATGAACATCCAAACTACATATTTTATTACGTTTTGGAGCCTTTTTTGCTTTTAAAATGACATCTTTAAGATAATCTTTAAAAATGTATATATGAAAGCCAGTTGGTTTGTTTAAGCTTCTATATAAAAATATAGCAACATTTAAATGATAAATATCAAAATTGTCAAAATGATTTCTCTTGAATAAAGAAGCAGCGTGCTCTCTAAAATGTAAATTTGTAATTAATCTGATACATTTCTTTTGAATAAGATGTATTGGTGTAAGTATGTTCTTTTTTACATGACCCCAAATAATATTGCAACAGTTAATTTGAGAAAGAATTAATGAATGGTATACTTTTAGAATGTCTTTTACTGTTTTTCTTGATATCTTTTTTATTTAATTAGTAATATGCTGAATGTGCTTTTTACAATTGAACTTTTCATCAATAAATACTCCAAGGATATTAACACTATTTTCTCTTTTTATCAGCACATTGTCAATATGTATATTTATGTCATGGATTAACTGTTGCCTAGAGTAAGAATTATGAAATTAGTTTTATCTAAGTTAATAGATAGTTTGTTAGATTTAACCCATTGATTAGATGTTTGCAGATCTTTGTTTAAAAGTCTAACTAGTTGATCGACACTATGATGAGATATACGTAAATTAGTATCATCTGCATATAGTACAAATTTGATAAGATTAGAGGTTGAAGTTATGTCATTAATATATATTAAAAACAAGGTCAGTCCAAGTATAGATCCTTGAGGTACACCATATTTAATAATATCTTGAATTGAATAAGCAAATGATCTGTTTTCCAAGTAGGAAGTGAATCAATTTTTAACATTACCTCTTAACCAATAAAAATCCATGTTTCAAGTAGAATTTCGTGATCAATGGTGTCAAATGCTTTTGATTAGTCAAGAAACAGTTCTATGTTAAAGTTTTTATCATCGAGAGATGTTCTGAGGTTTTCAAGAAAAGTTAAGATTGCCATATAAGTTGATTTGTTTGGTAAAAACCCAAACTGACTTGAGCTCAGTATTTTCTGTTTGGCCTTCTGTTTTATCATGAAATCTGTGAGTCTTTTATGCATGAGTTCCTCTAGCACTTTTGAAAAGATGCTAAGAAGAGAAATAGGCCTGTAGTTTGAGAATAGAGAGGTTTTAAGTTTAAGTTGTTTTGAAAATGTATACATAAACTTAAACTTTATTGCAAGCTGTCATAATAATTCATTCAATGTATATTAAAAGACCAGCAACGCTCACAACTTCACTCATAACAAACATGAACAAATAATTTATCTACTTTCTTATATGTATTAATTCACAATTAATGTACAATTGTAACTCTCTTATATAAGAGGTAAATAAAGAATACAATATGATACTATAGGGTCCTGTCACATTAAAATCAATTTAAAATTGGTTTTCATGAATTGTTCCCAGTTGACATAGTTTCCGTGTTGTAAGCATATTCATAGTGATTGCAAATATAATATCTGCTGCATCGTTGTAATCTGTACATTATCAACCCAATATCTAGCTCTTAGTCTTGTGGCGTGGTCGTCTGCAAACAAGACCCTTTAACGTGGTTCATTACACCAGCGAGTGAATAATTTCATAGTTCTTATAAAAGTTTAAGCTGAGATATAAGCTTGTATTCGCAAATGCAACTAACGCCCGTCGTCTGCTGAATTAACCTACTTTTTCATGACCAACTCATTTAGATATGAATGGAATAGAGGCAGGTACTATTCATATTTAACGAGTTGCCCATAAGATAACATGTTGATCCGGTGCCGACAGGCATAAGTTGCATTTGCGGTGTTTGCTTGGGTAACCGGACAATGGGAAACTTGGACCATTTTTTAAAATGATGATTTTTATTATAATAATATGGAGTTTAAATTTTTTGTTTTATGTTTGGTGTGACATCTATTATACATTTATATTGGCCACTCATATATTGTGTTAATTTGATGAAAATGTTTTAATTTGACTTATTTTATGAAAATTAAGTAGAAGATATTGAAGCTAAAAACCCAAGACAACTCGGACCATTTTTTTATCATTATATGGGTTTATTTTTTTGTTTTCTGTTTAGCATGACATATATTATATATTGTGATTTCATATATTGTTTTAGTTTGATGAAATCCGTTTACATTATTAGTTTTTCTTTCGTTTCGGGCTTAGAAAACAGTGTTCAGACATATATCTAAACCTATGAGGAAGAAACTGGTCTTTGACTTTTTTGAGGAGTATATGTCATACTAAATATAATATAAAACAAAAATTTGAAAACACCATATAATGATAAAAAGTTTGAAATTATTATTTAGTTCACATGGTGAGCTATTGCAATCACTCACTTCCCCGTCTGTCTGTCTGTCCGTCTCTCTGTCAATAGGATTCCCTTTTAAGTTAATTTTTGTTCAACATCAATATAGACCCCCCCCCCCCCCCTATGACTCCTGGTGCAAAAGCTTACCTATTTTCAAAATTGCCGCCATTTTTGTCTCGCGAAATTCACTTTTGGCCGATTTCCTAGCTTTACAAACAATTTAAGGTGTCCTACATTGTAAAAAGCCATGTCACTGTAAAGAGCAGTTGTTGCAAAAATATCGGCAAAAAATTTTATCCGTTTTTTTTAATTTCAGCCATTTTAGGTAACATTGATTTGTCCATCTATCTCACGAAATCCACCTTGAGACCATTTGTCTTAAAACCTCTGTAGATAGTATTCCCCTTTTAAGTTATTTTTGTTCAACATCAATGTAGAAAACTCCTCTATGACTCCTGGTTCAAAAGCTGTCCCGCAGAATTCACTTTTGGCCCATTCCCTAGTTTAACAAATAATTCCAGGTGTCCTGCATTGTAAAAACTCATGTCACTGCAAAGAGTTGTATGCAATAATTCTGTTTCAAAAAAATCGGAAAAAAGTTATATCCGTTTTTTTATTTTCAACCATTTTAGTTAACATTGATTCGTCCATCTGTCTCGCGAAATCCACTTAAAATGGTCGCCATTTTTGTCTTGCGAAATTCACATGTGGCCCATTTCCTAGCTTTACAAATAATTTCAGGTGTCCTGCATTGTAAGAAGCCATGTCACTGTAAAGAGTAGTTGTATGAAATTCTTAAATTTTATCAAATAAGTTAATTTAAAACGATTTCATCAATTTAACACAATATATGAAATCAAAATATATAACACATGACAAACTTAACATATGTAGCGACCCTTGGGCACGTCCGTCGGGGAGGTGACGTGTAGTGTACCGTCAGAGACTCGAAAGAGAGTTTGCTAAATTCGATGCCCCTGACCTTCCGCTCTCTAGTACTCAGACGCTCTACACCTGAGCCATAAAAGCTAGCAACTACAGCTGAGACTGTAGTATCGACTTTGCTATCGAAGGTCATAAAGCCACATACAATGATAAAAATCATCATTTCATAAAGTGGTCCGAGTGGTCCGAGGGTCCGGTCGGTGGGGCGGTCTTTTTCGTAAACCCCACTTGCTAAGCTCAATAAACCTGTTTTCAAGGAGGATTGGAAGCCATTATTCAAACTAATACTCCGTTGCCTGGCGTGGGACAATTTAGTGAAAATATTTCTATAAGGCTCTCTTTGGGCCAAGTATCATTGGAAGATGGGCATTGCGAATGTCATGGTAATATTCAAGCTTCCTTAGCAGTTCTAGTTTTCAGAATATGAGTAGTATTGTTACCAAATTGGTCTTCGTCAGGCAAAGCAGTATTGAGTTTGTGCAACGTCTTCCAATCCTCCTTGGTTATTTTAGTGCTTTAATCCTTCACTATTATACAAATTAAAAGTCGATGACGTCACTTCTTGTAGGCTCATCTAAGGATCATCTAAGATTCCAAAAAGTAGTACACTAAAAAGGTCAAAAACCAAACCCACATTTTTATTTAGCTTAGTATAGTTTATAATTTCATAACTTTCATATAATATTAAGAAAAATTGACAATTTAAAGAATTTTAAATACAATAATTAACATCTACTGGCTACACTGATGCCGGGGGGCCACCCATTGTCTTTACCGGAAATTTTCAAATATCCAGATGGCTGTATTTTGTAAGCAAGTCCATATTATATTTTACAGGGTGTTCAAAAAAATGCAACCCAAAGAAATTGCTATATCTTGAAAAATAATTGTTCAATTATGTTAATTTTTTCAGGAAAGAAAGAAGAGACTGTGTATGTATAGCTCCTGTAGTTGGTTAGTTGTAAATAATGATGCATTCGACTCCTGCTCAAAAGACAATTGTACGAGGAAAATACGAAAAACCCAGTCAGGGCTGACTGCAACCACAAAAAAACTAAATAACTTCTTAGCCATAGTGTTTTGGCTCTTCAAATTTGGCACAAATCATCTTCATTCACTGTATGGTAAATCTCTAAAGTGAAATTAAAATCACTTCAGGGACTTTACAGTTATGGTCAAAATGCTTTCAAATCTCAGTCAAACGCCCTGGTTCCGGCAGACTTCAGAAGGCATTTTGACCATAACTGTAAAGTTCCTGAAGTGATTTTGGTGAAACTCCACAAATTTACCACACATTGAATGAGGATAATTTGTTCTAAATCTGAAGTGCCAAAACACTATGGTTAGAAAGTTGTGAGGTTTTATTGCTGTGGCAGTCACCTCTGACTGCGTTTTTCGTATTTTCCTAGAACAACTGTTTTTGGGCAGGTGTCCAATGCATCATGTTTTACAACTAACGAACAACAGGAGCTATACATACACAATATCTTCTTTCTTTTCTTGAAAAAATGAACATAATTGAATTAGTATTTTCAAAGATATAGTGATTTTCCATTCGCGTTTTTCATATTTTCCATGTACGATTGCCTTTTGAGCAGGTGCACAAAACATCATGTTTTACAACTAACTAACAAAAGGAGCTATACATACACAGTCTCTTCTTTCTTTCCTGAAAATATGAACACAATTGGATAAGAATTCTCCAAGATATAGCGATTTCTTTGGGTTGCATTTTTTTGAACACCCTGTACTATTAGCCCATTGTTATTTTAGAAATCTTGAGCGTTCCCTTATCAATCAAAAATTAAGTATCTTTTGAACTTGGTGTTATTTTTCAATGTTTTCCTAACATTGTTTTTTGTTTGTTTCATTAGTCCCTATGCTATTGCCTAATCTAATAGGATTGCTCCAGTCCGATCGTTTCTGATCATGTCAATATGACCAACTTAGTGGTTTTTGCCTTTTCATGAACATAAATGAAGTCAGTGGTCTCTTATAATACAAAGTTTTGATTGCATCCACTTAACGTGTAATTAGTTTAGTTCCCGGCATTCATGAGTCAAGGGATGCGATTACCATTGGTATCTGTGTTTATTTAGGGATCGTCATCTTTGCACATTGCCGTTATAAGTGGACAAATATCCAAATTTGGATTTTCTCGGCATTTTTTGCAAGCCAATTCTATATCTGGACTAGCCTTCATTCGTTTCACTCGGTTGTGAACGTGTGTGTCGGAAATCGGCAGGGCGCTCGTTTCATCCATGGACAACACGACGAACACTATCACCATACTTGACACTACCAAGAATTTCAACATTTTGTTAGCTTTCGAATTCTCTGTTGACTGAAAGAGACAAAAGCAAAATTCACTCAAAATAAACAAGTACAGATTGGCCCATTCAAAATTAGAACATCTTTGAATCCAAACTCTTTTTATACAGCATAATGGGCTCATGTATGATATACCAAAGGTTTTTATTTTATTGAAATGTGTTACTATAATGTAATCGTATTATCGAGATGATTCTTTTTTAAATGTCATTCATGTCATGTACATGTATGTGTTCTAAACCGATCCAATGATTATATATTGTTAAAGAGTTCGTCACCTATTATTCAAATGATATAGGATCGGATTTTCTGTGGCGTTTTCGAACATTCTCTCATCTTACAGTTACAACGATTCAACTCATATTTAAGGGCACCCTGTAATTACGTCATCTTCCCAACTAAACGTTTCCAAATATTGCAACGACGATGATATTTAAGAACACTAATGCAAAACAATAAATTAGCTTGACATTTTGAACAAACCTTCCGTTTCCTCTGTGTTCTTATTAGGGCGACTGTTATTTCGATAAGTAACGTCGTTCTCCTTAGCCTGCCTTTTAACTTCTGAATGTTTATCAATAGCACAGCTCTCACGACGTAAAGCAATAGATTTGATGGTAATATGAAATGACGTGTTTTTGTATGAAGTATAGTGTATTTTATCAAAAGTATATGCTGCTTCGTTGGTTTCATAAAGACTTAAATTCCGTTTTGAGAACGTTGACAGTGGTATATTTAAATGAACCATTGTGTAATGGACGGGTAAACTGATATATTTCGATACAAAATGCTATCTTTAAAAATTGTAAACAAAATATATTTATTTGGACTCATCTTACCGTGTGATTTCGTATTATAAGCCTATTGCCAAAGGGCATCACTTAATTTAAATACCTAGAGAGCAAACTTTAGAAAAATAGTATATTATTTTTTGCAGAATGTACATAATACACTGGGTGACTCGATAAACAGGACCGACCAAATTGAAATTATTTCTTCAATATGTATGCAATGAACCTTATATGTATTCAGCTACAATCCATTCATCATGTCATCTAAGAATGTGCCAGCTTTTAAAAAAACTGATATCGAAAGAAACGATTGAAAAATCCAAGTGATTTCAAAGTCACTTCTTAAAATATTAGTCAAAAATAAACAACAGAACAACCGAATACAATTATTTTTCACATCCTTGATTGATAGAAATGGCATCTCAAACTACAAGCCCTTTTGACCCCCCCCCCTACTGTTGTGTTGGTAAAGTAGATAAGGGTCCACAATTTGGAGCAAGAGACTAAACACTGTTTAATAAGCTCCAAAGAGATCACATACTGACAGGCATTGTTATCATGAACATTGTTATCATGAGCATTGTCATCATGAGCATTGTTATCATTTCATAGCATAGTTATCATGAGCATTGTCATCATTAGCATTGTTATCATGAGCATAGTTATCATGAGCATAGTTATCATGAGCATACAGGCTGTAGTTATCATGAACATTGTTATCATGAACACAGTTATCATGAGCATAGTTATCATGAGCATTGTTATCATGAGCATACAGGCTGTAGTTATCATGAGCATTGTTATCATGAACATAGTTATCATGAGCATAGTTATAATGAGCATAGTTATCATGAGCATAGTTATCATGAGCATTGTCATCATGAGCATAGTTATCATGAGCATTGTTATCATGAGCATAGTTATCATGAGCATTGTTATCATTAGCATAGTTATCATGAGCATTGTCATCATTAGCATTGTTATCATGAGCATTGTTATCATGAGCATAGTTATAATGAGCATAGTTATCATGAGCATTGTTATCATGAGCATAGTTATCATGAGAATCGTCATCATGAGCATAGTTATCATGAGCATTGTCATCATGAGCATAGTTATCATGAGCATTGTTATCATGAGCATTGTTATCATGGGCATAGTTATCATTAGCATTGTTATCATGACCATAGTTATCGTAAGCATAGTTATCGTGAGCATAGTTATCATGAGCATTTTTATCATGAGCTTAGTTATCATGATCATTGTTATCATGACCATAGTTATTGTGAAATTCAGAAAAAATATTTTGAAATGTTTATGAAATATAAAAACATAAATATTTTCGTTTCTGTACACTACTCTTCACCGCCCTACCCTCACCCCTCCCCTTTTTAAAGCCATAAATCAAACATTCCAAGTCTCAATGAGAGAGGTGCAATGACGTAGGTATTCTATTTTACATGAATTAACCTACTTAACGTACAGTTTAATGATGATACGATTCATTTTTCAGAATGATGTTTACAGCTTATCTGTGACACATTCAATCAATTTATAATAGAAAATACGGCTGTTGAGAAAACATTTGAATGCATTATAGGCAAACGCAAACAATGTACGTACAGTATCGACCCTTGTCAGACAATGACGTGCAAACAAGACTTGTATGTGCTTGTAAGGTTGAAGGCTTTATTAAAAACAATATGTTATCCTGATAAAATTTGAATATCATCGATTCAGTTTTACAACTAGTGATCATATCTTAGAGTGATATATCGTTATTCTGTAAAATCTGACATCTCCAACCAACCATTCAGTATAAGCTGAGATTAGCATACACTTGTACATGTACAATATTTCAAGGTGTTAATCGCTATATTTTGAAAAATACTAAACCAATTGCGTTCATTTTTCCAAGAAAGAACGAAGAGATACTGAGCTCCTTTAGTTAGTACCCCGGACAGGTTGAATGATGCAGTCGTGTTTTTACTCTACATTTCCAATGGAACAACCATTCTTATTGAAATTTTCAAGAGTTATTCTAGAGACTATTTCTAACATGGAAAATAAAAATTTTAATTATCAAATGATTTTGGCAGACTTTTTCAAAAACACTTCACTGTCAATGAAATACAGGTTTTTGCTTGAACAATTGAACTTTTAATGCATTTCAAAGATTGTCTGGCTATTGAATTTTCGGCCGCCTAATATATATTTGTTGCCATATTAACAATTATGGCTGATTATTGTTATTCACTTTAGTCATATTCAATATTATTCAATAATATTATTAGTTTTTCATTGGCCTAATGTATAGTAATAATCATATTGAATATGACAAAAATGAATAACAATAATCAGCCATAATTAAAATGGCATCAAATACACCTAGAAGACTTCAGGCGGCCAAAAATTCAAAAGCTGGACAATTTTTGAAATGACGTTAAAAGTTCAATTGTTCAAGCAAAAACCTGTATTTTATTGACAGTGGAATTTTGTTTGAAAAAAACCTATCAAAATCATAAAATTAGGAATTTTGTTAAAATATTTTTTCCATGTTGAAAGTTGTCTCCAGAATAAAACATGAAAATTTCAATAAGAATTGTTGTTTTTATGCAAATATAGAGTAAAGACACGACTGCATCATTCAACCTGTCCGGGGTACTAGTTAGTTGAAAAACATAATTTTGGACACCTGCTCAAAAGACATTTGAACTTCAAAACGCAGTCAAAGGTGACTGCAACCGCAATATGTTTTCTAATTACGAAGGTCTTTCGAGCAGGTGTCCAAGGCATAATGTTTTTCAACTAACTAACTACAGGAGATATATGCATTCAAGGTCTCTTCTTTCTTTCCTGAAAAAAATTAACGCAATAGACTACATGTAGATGCGAGTAGAAATAATATCTATTTACATTATGTACGTGAATAAAAATTCAAAATTCAGTCAAACTGATGTCATATTTGAAATAAACATGTGAAATTGAATCTAAAAATGTGGTTTTAAAAAGGGTTGATCAACTCTGAAAATTTAATTTTCTTTGAAAATCTCGGGGAGATTCCCAATAGACCACATGTTATAAAATCACAAAATGTGAAATATCTTTTCTTGTGTTGAACAGATAATATTTTCTTTTCCCATCAGATACTTAATGATAATATGAAAACTGAACCACTAAAACTGATGATTATTCAAGTTTAAGGGAACTCTCTATACACCTGCCATGTTATTTCCCCCGAATTAGTGGTGAACCTGGTGATGAAACTGGTAACTACCAACTCGCATCTGGGAAATTGATTTAGATATAAGTTATATAGCTATTTCTTTCGGTTGCGTTTATTTTTAACACCTGTACAATAGTAAATTCGTATATTAGATTATTTAAATATATAGATACAAATAATAGTCGATCCAATAGTCGATCGTTCGTGCTAAAGGTATGATAGAACACAAAACATGGTTTTTTTTACGTTATTGCTACATCAACGTTAACTTTCTCGATGACATATAAAAATGTAGATAAGATCTCAATATAGAAATATACATTTACATTTGAATATAAATTTTGATGTTAACATCTTTTACAAAATACAACATACGTTTGAACTACAAACATGGTTACATTGTTTTGCCAAATAAAATATAAATATGATATATGGTTTAAAGTAGCTTACAATGTAAGTTATGATTAGATACGAATCACTCTTTATTAAATGACAATTAATAGTCAATAAATGTCACATCGAGCAGATAAACACTTATTTGCATCTAATTTGGCAAATAGCAATATAAGTTTGCCATTCAATATACTAGGTTTATTTCAAATCCACTTTGTTGTAACTGAGGCATTACATAGAAAATGCAATTTGAAATCATGTACATTGAATATTGGGTCGGTTTACCTCCCCATTCTTTATGAAAGGATATGCATGACAGTGGAATGAAACAGCTTGGTTTTGATAGGACTTATTCGAAGCAGAATCATTTATATTCTGAAAATTTTGATTCATTCATTTGCATTCAATTGTCATTATGTTTTATCAAGAGACTAACAGAAAAAAGCGATACCAAATTATTAATCATCGAGTCTAGTTTTAGTTTTTTATTGTTTTGAATTGTCATCTGAGAGTCTATAAAATAAAAATATAAATAAGATCCTAGAGCACAGTTCTCTTTGAATAATTACAAACAAAATGAAAACAATTTAAAGCATAAATAACTTGTTAACCTACCTACCTTTTAATTTGCTGTTGCGTTCCTAAGGATAGCAAGTAAAAGAATGGATCTGTAAGATAAATATTTCAGATTGGAAATGGCATGCATGAGCTGTCAGTCGTCGTATCATCTTATCATATTTAATGCTTTATTGATTATGTTAAGGTAGCATAGCTTTTACAATGTGTTAAGGTAATTTTGTTCATCATGGTAAGGTAGCTTTGTTCTTGATGTTAAGGTTGCTCTGTTCGTCATTTTAAGGTAGCTTTGTTCATTATGTTAAGGTTGCTTTGTTCATTATTTTAAGGTAGCTTTGTTCTTGATGTTAAGGTTGCTCTGTTCGTCATTTTAAGGTAGCTTTGTTCATTATGTTAAGGTTGCTCTGTTCGTCATTTTAAGGTAGCTTTGTTCATTATGTTAAGGTTGCTTTGTTCATTATTTTAAGGTAGCTTTGTTCATTATGTTAAGGTTGCTTTGTTCATTGTTCTAAGGTAGCTTTGTTCATCGTGTTAAGGTTGCTTTATTCATCAGTTTAAGGTAGATTTGTTCAATATGTTAAGGTTGCTCTGTTCGTCATTTTAAGGTAGTTTTGTTCATTGTGTTAAGGTTGCTTTGTTCATCAGTTTAAGGTAGATTTGTTGATTATGTTAAGGTTGCTTTGTTCATTATTTTAAGGTAGCTTTGTACATTATGTTATGGTAAAAACGATCTTTTTTCCTTCGAGTTTAACGTTAACGTTCAGAATGAAATCAAAAAATTGAACCTCATAGGGTGGATAGAAAAGTCAAAATAAAAATTGTATTCTAAAAACAATAAAATGAATTACACTCCCCTCCGTAAGTTAAGCGAACAGAAGCCCTGTTTGGATTACTTATTAAAGCATATTTATGTTTAATGATTTAAAAAATTGGTATCGATATGGCGAACTCATCCTTCTTCAAAGGACTTCATTTATGCTTAAATTCACTATATACTTGTAAAATACCCTTGCAGCAAGGATGTGGCGAACTGAATTCAACTTTGTTTTTCTCTCAAACCAATTATTGAAAACAATCTTTATAAAAACATCCTTTATGTAATTGTCACTGATTGACAACAATTTAATGCGAAAATTAATGTATATCTTGTATTATTTTTTATGAATTTTTTTTGTTTTTTAGTGCAATTGTTGATTGTTATTTTCTACCAATTCTTGAGAATGAAATAAAAGATCTTTCCGAACCTTTTAAAATAGGACATACAGCATTTTCTTAGACCTCTCAATATTATAGTTATACAAAGTAAAAGTTGATTGATTTAACAAAAAGTATTCATAAAATTAAAACAAAAAACCTCAAAATATATTTAAATTAAAGTAATCCTTTAATTTCATGAACAAGATACTTTTTTAAAATCAACCAAACTTTGTACAATTACGATATTGAGAGACTTAAACACGTTGTGTATATTGCATTTTTCCAATGAAGTTCGGATATATGTTCCATTTCATTCGGAACACAAAAGACGTGTCTGGTGTGTTTTTAAAACTATATATAGAAAAGTATATTTTTTTAAAATTAAATTGTTACCATTAAAAAGCTGATCATTAAATTGACGATATGTGTAAAATTTTCAGAATTTTTTTACGACTAGTTTGAAGAAACATGTATTCAATTCGGTTCGTCATATCGATACCAATTCTTTACTCTGCCCTTGTCAGACTTATGGAGTGTGCATCCGGGTGTATGTCATTTTTGTGAGAAGAATTCCAATCACAATCAATTTCTGTGTATGACAACAGAACAATAACGTCATTTCGAAGGGCAATATAGTGAAATATTGGACAAAGGGGCGAAGGCCCAAGGTCCAATATTTCACTATATTGCCCGTAGAACGACTATTTTCTAAGCGTGGAACAAAAGAAATCCCAATGATAAAGAAAATAAATCTGTATCTTGATTCTACTCCCTATAAAGTCCGCAACTTTTCAATGTTAAATCTCCATTACATTGGGTCAAAATGTGGTGTCAAAATTGATGAATATCATGAAATTTAACATAAATGGCAGATCCCATGTTAAACAAATGGGGAATGGTTGGGTTGCCATAAGTCATATGAGGAACAATCCATCCATCGGATTGCTCTCAAAATTGAAATTGTAAGAGATAATTAAATTTGCTAAATTGTCCACTCGACAAAAATATGATTTAATTGTCCAGGCTTTACAAAAGTTAATGGTTTCAAATTCAATAATTTTTTAATGATCCTCTTATTGAAATAACACAAGTGGTTCAGTGAGGTGGTCAAAATTACTTTAACGCTCCATATCGCTAATTTTAACAACATAAGCGAGACACTTAGCATGTAAAATGTAAAATCATTCAATTTTCTACTTAAAAAGTATTTTTAATAAATGTTTTACTGAATAGATATTCCAAAATCTGAGTTGCCCCTAAGCCACGACTCTTGAAGGTTGAGCGCAAAGCTTTGCTCTTGTAATTTTTCGTTTATAATATCTAAATCATTTTCTGAGATGTATAATCAAGTTCATCAATATTTACAACAACAAATTAAAGGCTCTTTGAAGTTAAATGACGTTGCACATTACACTGAATAATATTGGCATCACCTACATTTGTACAGGAGTGTATGGGAAGCTCAATTCCACAACAGATCGCAAAATATGTTTACTGCATATATTTCCATAGATGATAAATGCAACGACAAATATTTACAATAATCTAGATAATAAATGGACAACTGGTTATTATTTACACAAACTAGTTTTGCATAAATTGCAATTGTTTACAATAACCAACATGATAAACCATGATACTGTATCTTAAATCTTCTCAGCCCATGTTTCAGGTGAAACAGAAAGAGGCTATGATCTGAGTATCAGAATGACAATAACAGGAAATTGACAAGCCCATTTGTCAGCAAAGAAGAGTTTCATTCCAAATTCTATATCTCATTGGTCTGTATATCCATTATTGTTACAGTATCTCTCCCACAGACAATCTTACTACTTTAACATTGCACCGGTGTGAAAGGGTAGCTCAGTTCAGTTCTGTTCAGTTCAATTATTTTCCTTATTATTTATACACAGTCAGGGCCAGTAAGGGCCGTAAGGAAAGGGGACCATAATTTATTTTACACCGGGTAATGCACAAATATATATTATTGAATACATGTACACTTTTGACAAATATTAATGATTAAGATTCTTACATTCAGTGAAACGTATGCCCTCTTTATGTTAGAAAAATGTTAAACGAATAAAGCATTTATTCTAGGCAAGGACGTCTATCTCGAGATAGACGTCCTTGTTCTAGGTTTGGGATCTCTTAAAGACGTCACAGCTCTAACGCATACCTTCCTAGGGCCAAGATCAACAATACTACAGAGTGGCCAAAAAACGATCATATTTGTCCCACCCTGTATAATACATCGCATATTTTGATGAATTTTCAAAAAAGCTTTTAAATAATTCTCGGATAGTCTAGGATGGGCCATTGAAAACTTCAATGCATTTCTAATAATATCAAGCTACAGAGTATAGATGAAGTGAGTGATAATTAAGTCACTTCTGGTATCTGCCATTGCAATGCCTCTTGATGAGATCATCAATCACAAGAAGTATATTAAAAAAACAATGTGTCAAAAATTGAAAAAAGATTATCCCTATCCAATAGCAGGTATTCTGGCCAGCAAATGTAATAAAGTTGATTCACCAAACATCTGCGTTCCACTAATCCACATGTAAGGTGACAGATACATTTTAAATCTTTAATTGATTTAATTAATGTTATTTTAAATTCCCGCACGTGTTTCTCAAGATTTCTTCAGCTGAAAGTTAAATGATCAGATTGTATCATCAATCATTGGCCTGAATTGCCAAGCATAATCAAAATGGAAAATCAGATTTTAGATTACAGAATTGAACAATGAAGTATAATTAAGATTAAAACTATTGTTCATTTAAAATCAATGAGAATTAATATCCAACTGAATGGCCACAATGACGTATGCAGAAGCTAAGATGTATAAATTGTGTGATTTGATTAATGATTTGTTTGGTCTTGTGTATGAGAAGTGAGCTCTGCACCATGCGGCTCTTTTACATTGGACTCATCTTATGTTTAAGCACTGTTGGTAAGTCGTTTATTAACATCGTAAATTTAATTGTTTTATTTCTCCACCAAAAAGTGGTAACATTTTCTCAAGCCACTTCATGTATTTCTGTGACATTCAAGGATCAGTAGTTGACGATTTGGCATGGCGTTTTGGCATCTCTAATAGAGAGAGAGATAAGCCAAATAGACACTAACCATGTGATGGCATTTTGTATATGGGTACTACCAGTACCAGATAGATGATTTCCTTTGCCTTCTTCCATATATGAGGGGTGATCCAAAAGTCTTGGATGCCCCACTCTAGATAACTTTGCAATTTTTTAATGAAATTACCGGAAACATTCACATAATAAAGATCAACATCTTAACAACTCTGTGTCTAAGTGTCACTAGAAAATAATTTATTTAGTTACTTTTCTAGATATTTTAATGGACCCTGCCACCCGGAACGGTATTTAAAAAAGCAAGTCACGTCACAACTAGTATGGCAAATACTTTAGGTACAGGTGCACAACCTCACACCAGTCATTATATGAAGAATTTTTCGATTTTGCAATCTGAATGTCAACTGCCATCATCATCTTCACATATTTTGGTCTTCTTTTCAACATATGTTCCACGAATTTAGACACATTTTTCGTGCCGACCAGTTTTACCCATGAATAAAAGACATTCATGAAACCGCCCTTGCTAAGGTGATACAAACATACACACTTAAAACACAATTAATTGGTTGCCTTGTGACAAAGGAAGTAAACTAACATTGGTTCAACATTCAAAATTCAAAGAAAGATTGTGGAAAGATAATTTGCCATGTGCGAATACTGTTCCGGGTGGCAGGGTCCCTATATTAAAAACTATATTATACCTAAAAATACAAAAAAAAATTATTTCTCCATGAAATTAATACACAAAGTAGTTATTGGTCTTTATTAGTGGAAAGTTTTCGGTAATTTTATCAAAAACAAACAAAATTAGAACAGGGCATCCAAGACTTTTGGATCACCCCTCGTATGTGATATGCTTTGCCATGTTCGATATACTCAAATGATTTCAGTTAAATCAGAGGACTTTGTTACACCATGTAATGAAGGGATTCCACGAACTTGCACTTGTAAGCTTGCAGATCCCTCGTTACCATGGGAACCTGTGAGTGACACATGTACCAAAGGATGTCTGCACAATGTAAGTTCATTGAGCTAATTTAGGATAATAGTTTGTGTCTCGGCTGTTCCATAATGTTCATGTTGATTTAGGATAACATTTTGTGTCTTGGCTGTTTCATATGTACATGTTTATTGAGGAAAACAGTTTGTGTCTCGGCTGTTTCGTATGTACATATTAATTTAGGATTAGAGTCTGTCTCGACTGTTTCATTTGTGCATGTTAATTTTGGATAACAGTCTGTGTCTCAGATGTTTCATATGTCCATGTAAATTAGGGATAACATTTTTTGTCCATTTTAAGATTGTAAGTCCAAAATAAATCTAGATGATGTCTAGATAATTGTATTTTCTAATGTTTTTCATATGTATGAATGAAATGTTCCATGATCCTTTTGTTTTTGGATTATAATATTGATTCCTGGACGGTTGTTAAATGTGATGTTGTGTATTACAAAACCAACCAACTGATTTTGTAACAAATTTCTCAAGTACATTGGAGTTTTCCAATGTAGTTCAAGTGTTTCATGCATAAAAAATGGCGTACTTTTAAAGATATGGGAGCCAGGGGCGGATCTGGGAACCAACAAGGGGGGGGGGCCCAAACTTGTGGTCCGAGAAAAAACGTCCGCGCTTGCGCGGAAAAACATTTTGGGCCCCAAAAACCCATAAGTGGGCCCAAATTTTGAAATTTTGAGGCCCATTTTCTTCAAAATTTGGCCTAAAATTAAAAAACAAGGCCTTAGAAGGCCAATTTAAGACCTAAAAGGCCTACTTTTTGGGGCCTTAAAGCCTTTTTTGGCCCCTGGGCCCCCCCCCCAGATCCGCCAGTGGCCGAGCAATGACTTTCAGATCTATTCTTTCCATCAATATGTATGCTCTCCTGCCAAAGCATTCGCAAAAAAGCTGTCATCTATGAATATCACCATACACTACAGATTGACTACAGCGAGATAACGTGGCAAGAAGCTATGGACTTTTGCAGAGGTAAAGGCGGCGAGCTGGTAAGATGGAATATTCAACAATGTTACGATGACATTGAAGGATGGCTGAACTGCAAAGGTATTACATGTTTATTAAGTGCATTTATACGAATAAGGATTGCGAAAACCTATAAATATCAATCTAAACAAGGATAAAGGTTCGTGTTCTAAATCACTGAATTGACCATTGACTATCTCAATGTAATTTGACAGTATATTCCTCTTTTCGAGGAAATCCCTAAAACGAGGTGAACAAACGAGTTGGTTATCCTGCGGTTTCCGTTCAAAGCATGGGAGTAATAGGGACGGGAGGTTAACCCAGACATTTTAGAATTTGTACGCGATCATGAAATATTATGACCGCCGGAGAATACTTGTCCCCAAGAAGTCAATAATTATCTGATTGTATATTTTATACACATACGAACATCAGGTTACACAGACAGTAAGAGATTCTGGAGTGCTGGTGGAATTGCGGTTGAACTGGACAAAGTGTCAAAGGGCAAGTCAGATAAGATGAACTGGGCAGCTATTGGTAAGTAGAACTAGAAAAACAGCAACTCCAAGGAGTAGGAACTCCCACCGAACAAGACATATTTTGAAAATTAGTGGCAATTTCTTCTTGAAGAGATATTTAGCCTATAAAATTTGAGCCAAATCCATCCTCTGATATTTGAATTATCATACATTATGTTTCTCAACAAAAAATGGCAGCCATTTTAGATTTTAACCACCTCCTTGAGCAGGTGTTGTTTGCCAACAAAATGAGGCAATGAATCAACTGCAGAATAAATGTTTGGCCTTTACATTTATGAGTATGACACATGCCTTCTGCATACACAGTTATCTTAAGCATTTTCTCATGAGGTAAATCATCACTTTCAGCTGATGGTCAAGTTCAGTACTTTGAAACTGACCCTACTATGGGTGATGTCAACATCACCACTTTGGGCAAGGTCGTCCTACATCGTAAAAGCAACGGTGTCCTTGTGCCTGAGAATCAACCATCACAGGCAAACAAGATGTTTATCTGCCAGACTCAATGTGGTAATGTCTTAATTATTTGCATACACCCCCAATCCGCATCATCATCTTGCAGCGCTGTACAGCGCTGTTTGCAGCGCTGTACAGCGCTGTATTAACAGTACAAAACAGTACAATTTGAGTACCGCGCTGTACAGCGCTGTAGCTCATACAGCGCTGTACAGCGCTGTACTCAAACAGCGCTGTACAGCGCTGTTTTTAATTTTTATAGGCTAGGCCCCTTTAGGAATTTATGTTTTTGGTTTCAGGTTGATTCCCTGGTTTTTATTTAGTTGTATTCATTTCTATTATATATATATATTAATGGGTATCAAATTCAAAATGCTTTGATCCTAATATTGGTGTATTGTAGGCTATATAATTGCATTTACTACTTGGATTTTGTATTTAATGATTATTTTGTTGTCCCCATAAATATACAAAACACTCAATATTAAATACTAATACAAAACCTATATTTTATTTAGAAATATACAAAATATACAAAATATATCAGATACTATAGTGTTACGGAAGTCTGAGCCTATTGTTAAAAATTACAAATGTCCTAATGTCAAAAAGTTCTATTTTAATTTTATAATTCAGTCCTTGTAACGGTTGTGCTTCTATTCGCCGCTCTGGTTGCTTCCTGCTCCCATTTTCGGTTCAGCGTTTCTCTCTCCATTTGTGTGTATCTTAAAACAAGAGGAAATAATAAGTCCATTTGTAGAATAGAGCAACTGATAACGCCCAAACAATTACTAGTTAGTGAGGAAAATATTGAATTGGAAGCATTTTTTATAATGGCATGGTATAGAATAGGCCTATATATATATTTATTTTATAAGATATAGGCCTAAGTAGTATTAAAGTGGACACAATATTTAAATTGTATACAGTAATATTAGTATAATGGATGGATAATTAATAATATAATGGGTACACATTCGATTTGATTTGTGACTTTATTAGACTCCAGATTGAAAATCTGGAGTCTATTGCTTTTGCCAGTTTTCTTATTATTATTATTCTCTCTTGTCACGTTTTCTCAGTAACTAGAAGACTTGGAGTAAATCTACTTACATGGTCAGTTAGGGTATGTGACCTAGTTTCTGGGAAATTAGGTCAAATTTTTATCTAGGTCAAAGGTCAAAATCTAGGTCAAATTATCATTTTGTCAATTATCTTTGTCATTTTTCGATATTTTTTCAAAAATTTTTTTTCAACGTGTAGCCAAGAAAAAGACGATTCGACTGTGAGAATCAATTTTTTGATTACTTTTACCGATTTTGAGATATTGCGTCCGGAAAGTAGGTCAAACGAAAAAGTTCTCCGAATTCAACGTATGAGTTATGAAATAAGTGTAAAATTTCCTCAGGAATTCAAATCTGCAAACCAAATTTCAATCTGACTTCCGGTTCGGAAGCTATAGCGTTTTGAAATTGCTAAATTTGGTGCCCATGTAAAGCCAATGGGAAAAAAGACTTTTTCGAAGTGTAAAATACAAGATATAGACTGAGCACAGCTTAACATAATGAATGTCCATAAAAGAAGGGGACCTCAAAAGCTACCTAGCTTCAAAATTTGGACACCAAAATGCCTAGGTCAAAATCTAGGTCAAATTCATAGTTTTTCCTTATTTTTGCGATTCTGGCACTACACTTTTAGGATTTGCTTCAAAATTTTGTATACAGGTAGCAAAGAGTGTGCTAATAGTGAGAGCCTTTTGCCGTCAGAAAGTATTTTGACCCACTTTTGAGATATGGTGTCCGTAAAGTAGGTCAAAATAAAAATTTCTCATAATTTAACTTATGAGTTATGAATTAAGGGTAGAATTTTCTCAGGAATCCGAATCTGCAAACCAAATTTCAATCCGACTTTTCGTTGGGAAGTTATGGCGTTTTGAAAGCTCAAAAATCGTTAATTTTGGTGCCCCATGTTATGTCAATGAGAAAAAAGATTTTTTTGAAGTGTAAAATACCAGATAAAGACTGAGTACAGCTTAAGATTCTGAAAGTCTATAAAAGAAGTGGACCTCGAAGGCTATCTAGCTTTAAAATTTGGACACCAAAATCCCTAGGTCAAAATCTAGGTCAAATACATAGTTTTTCCTTATTTTTGCGATTCTGGCACTACACTTTTAGGATTTGCTTCAAAATTTTGTATACAGGTAGCAAAGAGTGGGCTAATAGTGTTATCCTTTTGCCGTCAGAGAGTATTTTGACCCACTTTTGAGATATGGTGTCCGAAATGTAGGTCAAAATAAAAAATTCTCCAAATTTTACATATGAGTTATGAATTAAAAGTAGAATTTTCTCAGGAATCCGAATCTGCAAACCAAATTTCGATCCGACTACCGGTTCCAAAGTTATGGCGTGTCCGAAAAGTAGGTCAAAATAAAAATTCGCCAAATTTAACGTATGAGTTATGAATAAGGGGTAGAATTTTGTCAGGAATCCGAATCTTTAAATCAAATTTCGATTCGACTTCCGGTTTGAAAGTTATGGCGTTTTGAAATTTCGAGAAAAATCGATCTGATGTTATCCTGATAGAAAGTCAAGGAAAAAAGATTTTTTTGAAGTGTAAAATACGAGATATAGATTGAGTACAGCTTAAGATAATGAATTCCTATAAAAGAAGGGGACCTCAAAAGCTACCTAGTTTCAATATTTGGACACCAAAATGCCTAGGTCAAAATCTAGGTCAAATTCATAGTTTTTCCTTATTTTTGCGATTCTGGCACTACACTTTGTATACAGGTAGCAAAGAGTGGGCTAATAGTGTGAGCCTTTTGCCGTCAGAGAGTATTTTGACCCAGCTTACAAGTAATTGGATGACTCAGCTTAAAACAAGTCTTAAATCTGGAGTCTTAAATTGAACTTGTTCAATTTACATGTCTAGTTATTTTTATTATTGATTATGCTAACCTATCAAGTCTTTCTTTGGACTTCCCAAACAGGTCTACAGGGTTTGCCCCCTTGCTCTTTCTGCCATCTATAACTCCGAAGAGTTTGAACTGTCTGGCTGTTGTAATCTGAAAAGACAAATTGAGAGACAAATGTACATAATTATCATTATTATCCCACCGAAGGAAGTTAGATGAAGATATAGAAAGCCGTCCGTCCATTCGTCCGTTTGTCCGTCTGTCCGAACAATAAATGAAATACCGGTTGCTGGATTCGGTTCAAAATTTATAGTCTAATGCCTTATCGGTGTAGAACCTCTGACCTCTTATCAATTTTCAATATGGCGACTCAATTCAAAATGCACGCCATTTTTTTGTAAAATATTAAATCTTTGATAACTCAAATTTTATATGCTGATGCCTCAGGACAATAGAGCTTTGTTGAAGAAGACATTTTGATGATGGCCACTAAATTTCAAAATGGCAGCCATTTTTCATAAAAAATTGTAATCTTTGAAAACTCAAGTACCAGTTGGCGGATTTGGTTCAAATTGATTATATGCTGGTACCACAAGCTTTTTGTTGTTATAACTGATAACAGTTACCTGAAAATATAGTTTTCTATGAATATTCGCAGATTTGCTTACCAATGTAAATTAAAGTTCGAAATAATATCTTTGAACAAAGAATTCAGTTTGCATACACAAATTGTTTCCAATATTTTTACAGGGCCAAAATATAATGCTAGATTATTTTGTCATAGTTAGGGTTGACGTATTTACAATTTTATTATAGCCCTGTGAGGAAGCATAGGCTATTAACATGGGGGTCATTAACAGAACTTTCGTAAAGTTACGAATTCGCAAGTCAATTGTTAATTTTACGAATTTGGTAAATGTGCATTAACAGAACTTTCGTAAAGTTACGAATGATTCGCAAAGTTACGAAAAAATTACGTCACGTATGCTTTCGTTCGTAACTTTAATAGCACCTCAGACCCTTTCATAACTTTGCGAATGGCACATTTCTCATCCAATTCTTATGTTAGGTATACAGGTTGTCAAAAAGAAATTGTTCTCTATACGCATGCTGAGTTTCAAGCTAAAATATCTACCTATTCTTACATTATAAGCAAATATGTTCCTGAGCTGGGAATCTTTGAAATCGCGGAGACAGGTTTGATCACAGCGCGCAATGATATCAAATGACATCATATCTTTATTTGTGCTAAATAATGATATAAGATGACGTCACAATTTTAAATTCGTTTACGAACGATAAAACTTATGAATGACTTACGAAAGTGTTCTGTTAATGGCCGATTCGTAACTTTATGAATTCGTAAATCATTCGTAACTTTTTAAATATTTACGAATTTCATAAAGTTACGAATTACGAATTCGTAACTTTGCGAAAGTTCTGTTAATGACCCCATGTTTAATTGGTGATATGACATGAGGGCATGAATAAGGTTATGAACATGGTAGCATGATGAAATGAATGGTGATATAACATTGGGGCATGATGATATAAAACAAACATGGTGATATAACATGGGAGCAGGTAATATGAAATGAACATGGTGATATAACATGGGAACATGTTGATATGAAATGAACATGGTGATATAACATGGGAACATGGTGATATGAAATGAACATGGTGATATAACATGGGAGCATGGTGATATGAAATGAACATTGTGATATAACATGGGAGCATGGTGATATGAAGTGAACATGGTGATATAACATGGGAGCATGGTGATATGAAATGAACACGGTGATATAACATGGGAGCATGGTGATATGACATGGACATGGTGATGTAACATGGGAACATGGTGATATGAAATGAACATGGTGATATAACATGGAAGCATGGTGATATGAAATGAACATGGTGATATAACATGGGAGCATGGTGATATGAAATGAACACGGTGATATAACATGGGAGCATGGTGATATGACATGGACATGGTGATGTAACATGGGAACATGGTGATATGAAATGAACATGGTGATATAACATGGGAGCATGGTGATATGAAATGAACATGGTGATATAACATGGGAGCATGGTGATATGATATGAACATGGTGATATAACATGGGAGCATGGTGATATGACATGGACATGGTGTTGTAACATTGAAACATGGTGATATGAAATGAACATGGTGATATAACATGGGAGCATGGTGATATGAAATGAACATGGTGATATAACATGGGAGCATGGTGATATGATATGAACATGGTGATATAACATGGGAGCATGGTGATATGACATGGACATGGTGATGTAACATGGAAACATGGTGATATGAAATGAACATGGTGATATAACATGGGAACATGGTGATATGAAATGAACATGGTAATATGACATGGGGGCACGATTCCAACGATACGCTGAATAAGCAAAATAAATTATTATTAGATTTCCTAAAACTGTTAAAACGTTTACTTTACGCACCTAGCCTAAATGGCATAAGTATGTTGCATTCCCGGTTGCATTCCACATTGCTGATACATGGCCCTCCATCCATTGATTATGTATTGTATTCTTTACTGCCTTCACTCCTCATGATATGCCAACATCTGACCAATAGTGCCAACATCAAGTCTATAAAATAATAAAAATGTAGCCTAGAAATGCATTCCCGATAAAAGAAAATGATCTTTTATAAAGAATAAAAAATTGAATTTAAAACTGAAATCACTCAGAAATTACATTTTGGCCAGGATTGGCCCATTTCTGGCTTCATTCAGAGGACGTTATGCATTGCAGATTATAATATATTTTCTTAAAAACTCCAAAGAACTAGCCAGCCTATGCCCTGGACTTTTAAGACAAGACTTTCAGTGACTTTTCAATTTGAATTTTTTTTTCAATTCCTCCTGAATTTTTATCTTTGAATTTCACCCTAGTCTATCCCACAGAGCCTATCTGGTATTTGAAAGTCTTCTATATAATAGGTGCACCTAACATATGCTCATTTATTCATACAAAACAATCAAATATATACTTACAAGTGAAAATTGCAGACAGATGGCAGAGACTGGCACAGAAATCAAAATTTAAAATATGTGGCTTCTCAAACTTCCTGTATGAGTCATAGAATGTGTGACGTCATAGGTCAAAAGTTCAAAGGGATTTCCCAGGGATTTCCCTAAGATGTCAAACTCAATTGAAGAAATCACATTCAAACATGACCGTGCTCTATTCGAATTTCTCAACCAATCAGAATGCAGCATAGCCAATATAGAACGTTCTCTAATTCTCCATAGATGCACGACCATGCTCTATTCAATCTGCAATTTGCATTGTTTTGAGTGACGTCACATCTCAGCTGCACATCTGGGGCTCTGTCCGGGGATACCTGTTCTTTTTTACAGAATCTTGACAGCATGCGTATTCTTCCTTCATGCCCGTTCCACAGACACGGCTTTTACTAATTTTTTATGTTTGAATCGGAATAAATAATGATAGGCCATTCAATATGGTGAAATTCAGCACTCGTTGGACAGAATGTTAGTACAAATGCACTCACCTTCGGTTCGTGCTTTGTACAACATTCTGTCCAACTCGTGCTGAATTTCACCATATTGAATGGCCTATCATTATTTATTCCTTAAATAATGAATGTTATTTATAATAAAATATTTCAAACTCTAAATAAGTAATATCAATATTGCTTAAATCAATCAATAATAATAGTCAGAAAAAATATAAGTTTTGTTAGTGCTAAATCAGCACTAACTTAGCACTAAATTAGCACTGCTAAGTTAGTGCTGATTTCGCACTTACTGAGGTTTGTACTGATTTGGTACTGATTTATTAGCGCTAATTCCACACAAACTTTATTTGTACCAATTCAGTACCAAATCAGCGCTAAATTAGCGCGAAAAAAGATTAGCGCTGATTTAGCATGGAGTTATTTTGGCAGTGTAAATAATAAGAACAATAATACCTGGTTTTCTCATACTGGGCCTCCCGTTTTGAAAACACAAAATTAATGCCTTTTGATAAAAGTGGCCTTTGTAATCAAACATCAGTAACAAAACATAAAATACCCTTGACCCTCTATTATAACAGAATATATTATGATATAATATATTTATCATTTTCAAAGTCAAAAACAGCGCTGTACAGTACTGTTTTTACAGCGCTGTACAGCGCTGTTTATCTTACAGCGCTGTACAGTACTGTTTTTACAGCGCTGTACAGTACTGTTTTAAACAGCGCTGTACAGTACTGTTTTTACAGCGCTGTACAGTACTGTTTTGGAAAACAGCGCTGTACAGCACTGTTTTTACAGCGCTGTACAGTACTGTTTCAAAAACAGCGCTGTACAGTACAGTTTGAGATTGGCTGTGTACCAGCCTCAATGCTTGACTTCATCTCTCATGTCTCTTGTTTCCCTTCATACAATGTAACTCATGCATTGTTTGGCTTAAAAAGTGGTTTCACCTGAAACATACTCTGATATTATGAGGCATATTCTGTAATCTGAGCACATCAGATGAGAGGAGTTTTAACTGTCAATAAGCGTGATAGTATCATGTAATTATTTACCTTAATGTCAATACATTACATAATAGGTATTGTATTTAACAGCAGATATTAGAACAGGCACATTTACACAAGTTTAATGACCCAAATTAGATGACATATGAGCTGGGATGAAAGATCTCAAAAGTCTTCAATTTTGGGCTCTCCTGGATCGCCAAATAAAGCTCATTATATCATGGCATCTCAGGGCTGAGAAGAAATGAGATGTCATGGTTTATCATGATGATTGAAGCAAAAACTGTGATACACGCCTAACCATCGACAACGTACACTGACGTACAATGACAAAATATACGGATGTACAGTTTAGCTGTACGTCGTCATGTATTAACGATTTGAAGCAAAACGTTGATGTAGGTTTTAAAAAATTATCTCAGGAATAAGATGGAGTATTTCTTGTTTAATTCCATGTGCATGCTCTGGGCAAGACGTTTAACCTTATAATTACGTTAACAGATTCTTGAGCAATGCTCGAGTTTTTTATCAGTAATTCCACCCACATAATTGACCGATTTGAAAATGTTGGTTATGTTCACATTTTCAAATAATAATTATTTCTTAGATCATCTTGGTCCAGTACTTCCTCCACCCCCTCAAGGTGATGCTCTTGCCGATGACCTCGAAATCCGTCAAAATGATATTGCAGCCAATGACCGTCGACCCCCTCAAGATGAACTTGCTGCTGATGAACCCCAGTCTCGACAGCAAGTCCCAGGTAATTTGTATCAACTGCCAAACCATTATTTCAACGTTTTACATCAATCAAAAATATTTAAATTCTCAAATAACGTTTGTGGTGTTCCCCAGGGTTCAGTCATGGCCAACGTGTGTTCCTTATCTCTCTTCTTGTCTACTCCAGCATCAGATCCAATGGTGTATAGAACAGTCAAACATATAACATCAAAGAGTAATAAGAACTTATTGTATGTTCTTTGACATTGCCTTGATCTGGTTTTAGTTGACTGTAGTATCAATCTAAATTGTCCATCTTCTGCCCCTTTCTGCTATGGAGGTGCATGCCATATTTGCAACGTCACAAATCATGATGGATGTGAAGACCCTGAGAAACCGATCTGCAAATTGAATGACGTCACAAACTGGCTTGAGTGTGGTGAGATATTTGTTTCTGGCTATAATTTCATTTGGTTTGTACTTCTTTATGTATATAGAGTACAAGTAAGTACTGATGAACTGATTACCACATATTCTATGGATTCAGTATATTCTCTATACTCATATTGAACCATGGTTGATCCGATGTAATCTTTTGCAATATTAACTGTTCTCAGTGACTATAGCATTGCTTGCAATTTTAGGTAATTATGGCTATACAAGGGGCGATCCATATATTCTGATAAAAATGCTCTCAGTTTGTGATATTTTCACATATCCCTCTCATTTTTTCAGAAAATGTAGATTATGTAATTACATATACAATGCTAAAATATTATAGCTATATCTTAAATCATCAATGAGATAAGGTTGCCATGGTATACATGTTTGAAGACCCTGTACTTGTATAACAATTCTGTCATACTTTTACCAAAACATGTAGACTGCTTGAAAAAACATTTTGTAGGTGATCCACATTTTGTTGAGAGTATTACTGGAAGTGACATACCCGTCTGCTATACGTTGTTTGGAAGAGCTGGACAACATTACAAGCTCTTAGAATATGAAACCACAAGTAGGTCAAATACAATATTTTGTAATTGATCTTCAAACTTGTAATCAGTTTTTAAAATCATTTTATACATCTTTCTTGAATATATGTTTTAGGCATCACTGGGACTTTTGCAGACTCCAAGACCCCAAATTTGGCTCATTATCTTGGTGCTCTAACAATAACAGCAGGTACAGAGTAGGACTTTCTATCAATCATTCTAATATAAGTGACCCCAAATTTGGCTCATTATCTTGGTGCTCTAACAATAACAGCAGGTAGAGAGTAGGACTTTCTATCAACCATTCTAATATAAGTGACCCCAAATTTGGCCCATTATCTTGGTGCTCTAACAATAACATCAGGTACAGAGTAGGACTTTCTATCAATCATTCTAATATGATAAGTGACCCCTAATTTGGCTCATTATCTTGGTGCTCTAACAATAACAGCAGGTACAGAGAAGGACTTTCTATCAATCATTCTAATATAAGTGACCCCTAATTTGGCTCATTATCTTGGTGCTCTAACAATAACAGCAGGTACAGAGTAGGACTTTCTATCAATCATTCTAATATAAGTGACCCCTAATTTGGCTCATTATCTTGGTGCTCTAACAATAACAGCAGGTAGAGAGTAGGACTTTCTATCAACCATTCTAATATAAGTGACCCCAAATTTGGCCCATTATCTTGGTGCTCTAACAATAACATCAGGTACAGAGTAGGACTTTCTATCAATCATTCTAATATGATAAGTGACCCCTAATTTGGCTCATTATCTTGGTGCTCTAACAATAACAGCAGGTACAGAGAAGGACTTTCTATCAATCATTCTAATATAAGTGACCCCTAATTTGGCTCATTATCTTGGTGCTCTAACAATAACAGCAGGTAGAGAGTAGGACTTTCTATCAACCATTCTAATATAAGTGACCCCAAATTTGGCCCATTATCTTGGTGCTCTAACAATAACATCAGGTACAGAGTAGGACTTTCTATCAATCATTCTAATATGATAAGTGACCCCTAATTTGGCTCATTATCTTGGTGCTCTAACAATAACAGCAGGTACAGAGAAGGACTTTCTATCAATCATTCTAATATAAGTGACCCCTAATTTGGCTCATTATCTTGGTGCTCTAACAATAACAGCAGGTAGAGAGTAGGACTTTCTATCAACCATTCTAATATAAGTGACCCCTAATTTGGCTCATTATCTTGGTGCTCTAACAATAACAGCAGGTAGAGAGTAGGACTTTCTATCAATCATTCTAATATAAGTGACCCCTAATTTGGCTCATTATCTTGGTGCTCTAACAATAACAGCAGGTAGAGAGTAGGACTTTCTATCAATCATTCTAATATAAGTGACCCCTAATTTGGCTCATTATCTTGGTGCTCTAACAATAACAGCAGGTACAGAGTAGGACTTTCTATCAACCATTCTAATATGATACGTGACGTCATAATAACTAGAACAATTGATTTACTGGTCTATATTGGAGTATGTATGACCACTAATATTCATAAATGCAAATATTTGTTTTTTCTTGTCTGTTTATCATATTAGAATCGTAACAAACACGTCATGATTTATGTCAAAAATATGACCTCAAATTTTATTCTGGCCATTGCCAAAGACCTCAATCGCTACACGATTTCAGTCTTTTAACATTGAACAGAATAAATTTTTCCAATAATGTAATCTATACCCAGGCCTTCCTTGTATGTAATAAAGTGTTATAATTTACAGGTGGTGATGTAATTCATTTTACTGGTCACCATATTGAGATTAATGGAGAGGAGCATGAATGGGAAGTAGCTCCTTCTGTGGGCCTTGAGAGGGGAAATGCAGAAGTGATCTTCATCAACAAACGACAGGTTAGTACAACATTACATTAAGTGAAAATATAAGTGTAGAAATAAAAATATTGATGAGGGAAATGATGATGTGATCTTCAACGACAAAATAGAGGTGAGTAAAATATTATATTTAGTAAAAATATAGGCCTAAATCAAGTGCAGATAAATCAAAATATATTTTTGAAAATGATGTTTTTACTATTTCAGGTAACTTTTGTATCTGCTGTGTCTGGTATAGAAGTTGCAATTTCAAGACGAGGAAGCGAGATGGGTCAAAATTCAAGACTAGACTTAACATTCACTGTTCCCGTAAATATATCAGGAGCTAAAGGAATTATGGGTATAATTTGTTTTAAATGAATAGTACATGTACATTAAGGGTCCTGTGAAATTAAAGAATTATAGAATGAATATAGTGTTGCCCTAATAATATTATCTATTTTAGACTAATATGAGGTGGTTTAATATAAAGTGATGAATAATGTGACTTGCAGGTGATATGAAGAGTGGTACTGTGACATCTAAAGATGACTTGAAAGGAACACTGACAATCGCTGATGCAACTGCAAATGTTCACATTGATGATGTTAAGTATGGAGGCTCAGATGCAAAGTGCTGGAAGTTAAATGGCTACCAATCTGATGTCCATCATAAACTTCTAGCTGATAACCTAATTATGCCAGATAGAAATGATGTCAGTGCATAACATAGCAATGATGTCAGTGCATAACATAGCTATGATGTCAGTGCATAACAAAGAGAGATGCTTGGCAGGACTGGTCCACATATGCTACAGCGCATATTAAATCTGATTTTGAACAACAAATTACATTCAAATAATATATAATAAAACACATGTTTGGTTGATTGCATATCTATCTCCTTTTTGAAATTGGTTAGGCAGAAATGGTTATACGAAATGTTGGCTATGAAATATGCCACTGCTTCATTAGTGATGACATAATAAAATTGTCAAATAATCAATGTTAATCAATTTCATTTTACCATAGGCCTAGCCCTATATATTTATTAGAGATTATTAAACAAATCATACGTTGATAACTTGATAGTATGACAGTCAATTACAAACACCCTAAATTTATGAATGGCTTCCAATGTGTGCATTTTAACATGGTTCTGCTATCTTACACGATGCAAACAAAATACTAGCAACCAAATTTTCTTGTAACAAAGCTCTGGGCATCTAAATACTTAATTTTGACATGATTTCCAAATTCAATTCCAAACAAATTAAATATCCATGGGCATCATTTTAAAAGTACATTGAACATCACACCCCATGGGTATTATTTCAAGACAATCTAGAACAAATCTGATATTCAATGACACAAATACTATCTTAAATGTACATGTACAGACAAGTTTTCTTGAACAATAAATGTACAAACATGTTTTCTTAAACAATACATGTACAGACATGTTTTCTTAAACAATACATGTACAGACATGTTTTCTTAAACAATACATGTACAGACATGTTTTCTTAAACAATACATGTACAGACATGTTTTCTTAAACAATACATGTACAGACATGTTTTCTTAAACAATACATTGACAGACATGTTTTCTTAAACAATAAATGTACGGACATGTTTTCTTAAACAATAAATGTACGGACATGTTTTCTTAAACAATAAATGTACGGACATGTTTTCTTTAACAATACATGTACAGACATGTTTTCTTGAACAATACATGTACAGACATGTTTTCTTGAACAATACATGTACAGACATGTTTTCTTAAACAATAAATGTACGGACATGTTTTCTTGAACAATACATGTACAGACATGTTTTCTTAAACAATACACGTACAGACATGTTTTCTTAAACAATAAATGTACGGACATGTTTTCTTAAACAATAATGTACGGACATGTTTTCTTGAACAATACATGTACAGACATGCTTTCTTAAACAATACACGTACAGACATGTTTTCTTAAACAATAAATGTACGGACATGTTTTCTTAAACAATAAATGTACGGACATGTTTTCTTAAACAATAAATGTACGGACATGTTTTCTTGAACAATACATGTACAGACATGTTTTCTTAAACAATACACGTACAGACATATTTTCTTGAACAATAAATGTACGGACATGTTTTCTTAAACAATACATGAACAGACATGTTTTCTTAAACAATACATGTACAGACATGTTTTCTTGAACAATACATGTACAGACATGTTTTCTTAAACAATTCATTTACAGACATGTTTTCTAAAACAATACATGTTTTCTGAGACAATTCATGTACAGACATGTTTTCTTGAACAATCAAATAATAAGGTCTGAGACAATGAAACATAATGTTAACAGAGTAATATTGTTTATCTTTAAAACAAAACAAATAAACAGAAACATTTTCTTTGCCTAAGAAATTACAAGAACAAAATGGTTGTTATAGTTACAATGAACATTGTTTTTAGCAAAAACACGTCTCATATGTACATCAACAGGAAATAATTGAATTCTGCAGTGAAAGATAACAATGATATAACATATCCTAAGATATTTTAACTAAAGCCTTTTAATTCATATTTCTCAATCAATGACCTAATACATGATATGCAGTGAAAACTGGTTACATTGGCCAGAAGGTTCTGTCCCCACATAATAATCAAATATACAATTATAAAAATAGTTTATTCAATTTGTAAATGTGTCAGCAATTCACTCATTATGATCGTATATTTAAAACCCAAAACCATAAAGTTATATGAGGTATGCTGAAAGCCAGTTAACTAAATCATATGTCAAAATATTGACCTGTTGCCATAGCATATAATCTTATATACTTAACAATTCATTAGTCTCATAGAAATGTAAAAACATTATCAATATGTTTTTTCAGATGCAGTATATGTGTCATAAATACATAAATCCTTGAGAAAATTTATTTTAAGAGTAGCAAATCCCACTGAACAAAACATTTTATATCAAATCACCTAAAAACTTTGAACCAAATTCATCAAATGCTATTTGAGTCATAACCCAGACAGACAAAAAGATCAATGGATGGACTTCTTAATATTTCAAACTTTGTTCAATGGGATAATAATATTTCAACACCAAAATATAACAAGGGTTCCATGACTATGAAAATTTGGACCTATAATCCTTGATATTGCAATACCTTCATTAAATTATACTACATGTCAATAGCACTGGGTCAATATATTCTTTCATAGAATAAGATATAAGCCTGACACCTGAGTACTGCTGATTCATTTGTTTCTCTCACACTTGAATCGCTCACGTAATACCATTTGCCGGATGATGGTTCAATTGTCTGTTCGTCTTCCTGTTCACCATCAATGCTACTCAACTGATGTATCAGGGTATAGATTTTTTCAAGGTTAATCTCATTGATACTGGTATGTTGTAGAAAGTGCTTTATTCTCGGATTTGGTTGACGCATTTTCACATAGGCAGTGTAATGGCCACCAGACAACCGCCCACTGTGTTCAACAACACCATATAAGGAATAGAGGACCTTCTTCTGGCCTGGTTGCACACCCTAGAATTGATGAGTGAATTTTACAGATTTGAGAAAATTCATACATTTTTGGACAAATTAACAAATAATGAATAAAATAAATCTCATACAGTACATTTCAGTTTTGTCAGTTATTAACTGTATTGTGACAAAGTAATGAACATAATAAATCAGGAACCTCAGCATAACTGTAAAACTTATTATTCAATGACATTCCATTGTACATGTAAAATTCAAAAACTGTTAATTATGTCAAGATGGAATGAAAAAGACCAGCTCTGTTACACTCAAAGCTCTGATATACTCAAAGCACTGATATACTCAAAGCTCTGATATACTCAAAGCTCTGATATACTCAAAGCTCTGTTATACTCAAAGCTCTGATATACTCAAAGCTCTGATATACTCAAAGCTCTGGTATACTCAAAGCTCTGATATACTCAAAGCTCTGATATACTGATACCTGTGCCAAAGAGCTGCAAAATGGAGCGATGTCCAAGATAAGAGGGAACTGCACTGGCGCATCTACCTTCCTCAGACGCATCCCAACCTGGTAAATAAACAAATGTATATGTACATATATGTATGAACAATATTAAGGAATAGCGTCTTATAGTTGGTATAGTTCATTCTGAATACATATTCTTTTGTCTTCAATCAATAAGTCACTTATTAATTGAGTACACCAGATATGTGTAGTAAAGGTCATAAGTAGTTAAAGTGCCCGATAAAGTATAAAATGCGCATGCGTCCAGGTGTTGATAAACTATAAATAGCGAAAATCCAGGGTTTGTCACCACAAGGTAAGCCAGGACGTGTTGAGAGAACAGCTAGTGTTGATATTGAATTTATATGTAGCCAGATAAGTTTCCTTATTGAAATTACATATGGTTATTAGCAATACTTTGTAGGTGCTAAATAATAAAATATTTAGAGTATATATGAGAGAAATCGGTCATTTCGAACCTGTTGAAAAGTTTGTGGCTCTCGGCTACACCGGGGAATTTACTTCCATGAGTACACACATAAATGTGGGGTTCCCCAAGAGGTACGCGACAAGGTGACCTGGCATCAAATGTGCGACTAAATGCTACTATCGAGAAGATAAAATAACGAATACGACAATAAGTTATTGCATGTGACAATTCCGAGCCTTCATCTCACTGAAGTATTTTGAAGTGAAAATAGGGTTTTTGTTTTGATACATGGATTCAGATGAACGTAACTTTATTCTGACAACAAATCAAAACTGAACAAAATTGATTGTACGTAACAGACAATTTATTGTTGTCCAATGTTTTGATTGGCTAAACGAATGAAACCAACAAATTATGACATGTAAAATGACAATTTTGAAATGTAAAATTTAAAAGTGACAAACACAACCTCCCTATCCACTCTTCGGGAGCCCTAGTAAATTAGTAATATGTACATGCAGCAGTGGTAGTGTGCAGCTTATTATCACACTACGCTTTGTATTCTAAAGCCTGTTGTTTGTAATTACACTGTTCACTCAACGTATGTTTTGTGTGTGGGCAGTCAACGATAATCATTGTTTTATCCCGGTTATATGACCTCGGCAATTATAACAAAACCGTACTAAACGAAAAAACGCAAGAGAAAGCTTTCACACACATATAAAAAATGAACTAGTCTAATCCGCCAGTATAAACTCTGTGCTATACGTAGTCGGGTCAGGCGCACACTTTAAGGCCAGGTTAATGGTGTTACATTTTTATCATTATTTCATTTTCATCTCTAATGATGGTTTCTATGGTTACCTGTTGGAAACGCTTGAGGTGAAGAGTCAGCACTGCTGGGGGAGAGAACAGTAACAGTTGTTTACTGGCATTGGTGTAGACTCGTTCTTTCTTCACTAAAACAACAAACATACATCAATATTTAAAAAATAGAGGGAGGGAATACTACAATTGTTTACTGGCATTGGTGTAGACTCGTTCTTTCCCTCTAAAACAACAAACATACATCAATATTTAAACAACAGAGGGAGGGAATACTACGATTGTTTACTGGCATTGGTGTAGACTCGTTCTTTCCCTCTAAAACAACAAACATACATCAATATTTAAACAACAGAGGGAGGGAGGGAATACTACAATTGTTTACTGGCATTGGTGTAGACTCGTTCTTTCTTCACTAAAACAACAAACATACATCAATATTTAAACAACAGAGGGAGGGAATACTACAATTGTTTACTGGCATTGGTGTAGACTCGTTCTTTCTTCACTAAAACAACAAACATACATCAATATTTAAAAAATAGAGGGAGGGAATACTACAATTGTTTACTGGCATTGGTGTAGACTCGTTCTTTCCCTCTAAAACAACAAACATACATCAATATTTAAACAACAGAGGGAGGGAATACTACAATTGTTTACTGGCATTGGTGTAGACTCGTTCTTTCTTCACTAAAACAACAAACATACATCAATATTTAAAAAACAGAGGGAGGGAATACTACAAGTGTTTACTGGCATTGGTGTAGACTCGTTCTTTCCCTCTAAAACAACAAACATACATCAATATTTAAACAACAGAGGGAGGGAGGGAATACTACAATTGTTTACTGGCATTGGTGTAGACTCGTTCTTTCCCTCTAAAACAACAAACATACATCAATATTTAAACAACAGAGGGAGGGAATACTACAATTGTTTTATGGCATTGGTGTAGACTCGTTCTTTCTTCACTAAAACAACAAACATACATCAATATTTAAACAACAGAGGGAGGGAGGGAATACTACAATTGTTTACTGGCATTGGTGTAGACTCGTTCTTTCCCTCTAAAACAACAAACATACATCAATATTTAAACAACAGAGGGAGGGAATACTACAATTGTTTTATGGCATTGGTGTAGACACGTTCTTTCTTCCCTAAATCAGCGCTGCATTTTGATAGCATTGATTAAAAGTGAATATCATAAATAAGCAAGATACATCAACTTAATGTTCTTTAGCATCACTGGCTGACAATACTCTCACACATATCGGGGTAACATTCATAATATTTACAGATCTGATGAAAATGAAATCCCGAAGTCAATTTCTCAAAGATTAATTAGATTCAGTTATAATAATTCACAAAATTTTGGTAAAGAAGCCTTAGATGTATATTTGACACATATCACAATGTTTTCATATTGTTATCACAATGTTTTCACATTGTTATTACAATTTATCACATTGTTATCCCAATGTTTTCATAAACAAGTCCCATGGCCTAGAGGTATGTTTGTAATGTACCTGATTCTGGCTGATCCTTATAGCGTTTCCCAGTACAAGTCTCGCAACCAAATTTATTGTTTCCCGTCAACAGCTCAGCTGATATAAACTGATTAAGACATGACGCAACGGAGCATTCAAATGATTTAGTCTGGTATCGCTCTCCTAGCGGCCGCATTGATTCTAACATGGCATCAATGCGTAAACTTGATGAGGCTCCGGACATCTTACAGGGAACTACATTTGAGGCATCTGAACCGGAAGTACTACCACTATTGCTATTTGACACACCATTTTGTATGACATCATCATTCGCAGGAAGTAGTTTGGTTGTATTATTTTTATTTTCTAAATTAGACTGTTTTATAGTCACTTCTTGTAGTTTTTCCGTAATTTCTTTAATGTCTTTGGACTGTTCTATAGTTTTGCTTCCATGCTCCTTATCTACATCTTCAACATGCACCTCATCAATCTGTCCATTGGTGGTTGATATGGCAACAACTACTTCGTTGCTATCTTCACTACTACCTGCTGACCCTTGGCTAACTAATGGACTTTTCCTCTCAGGGCTTTGAGCACTAGTAGTTTGGGGATTGGTCATTTTGTCTTGGTTTTGAGCAGATATCTGACTGTCGTCAAGGTTACTGAATCGATTTTTGGATAAATCACTGTCAAGATTATCTTCAATATCAGCATCTGTAATTAAATTGGAAGATCTTGATATGATTGATATGTCCCAAACCTTCGAATATCACTTCTTCAAATTGACATTCGATGGTTTCAAAAGTGATATTTGATGGTTTCAATATTTTTCAGTTTTTTTTATATTATATCCATCCATGGATATCAATATCTTCCCTCATTTGCTCCCTCATGATAATATCAATATCCACACATGGATATAAATTATATTTTTAAAACCATAGGATATTCCAATAAGTATGCCTATGAATTTTTTCCATTATTTTAAATCACACCTCATACAAATAAAAATATGATATTTGGGCTAGAGGGAATTATAATGATTCTGCACAGAGCAATGGTCTCAATCTTTCCGGTATCAGGCACCTAAGTGCCTCAACAATGAACAAATTGTTTCAAATACCTTTTACTCAGTTCAAATTCAGGATTTCAGAAGTGAATATTTTGACCATTTTAAAACATATCTAATAATCATAAGATAATTGTCTTTGATATGAAGCCGTATTTAACAATACCAACCTAAAACTTATTATGTGTAACCATTCAAAACAAATCTCTTTTTAAGTTAGGCTAAGTTAACTCATTCTACGAGATGTTACTTAAATAAAACACCATAAATAAAACTAAAGATCATACCTGAGATAATTGGTGATTTATTGCCATTAGAAGAGGTCTCTTGCACCTTATCAGTTATTTCCACATCATCAATAGAAGGTTGTGCAGGCATTTCCAAATTTTTCACATTCTTACGTCTCTTCTGTTAATACATACAATGTAGTGCATTGGAATTGGAATTTCATTCAAATAAACATGAAAATATATATTTGTACAACATTAGTCAGATAAAATGAGATCTTCATTACACATAATACACAAGGGCAGAGTCCCAGTACATTAACCTTGTATCATTCTTTGTTGGAAATCTAAAAGCATGAATGCAAGTACTAGCCATTACACATCATGCACAAGGGCAGAGTCCTAGTACATTAACCTTGTATCATTCTTTGTTGGAAATCCAAAAGCATGAATGCAAGTACTAGCCATCACACATAATGCACAAGGACAGAGTCCTACTACATTAACCTTGTATCATTCTTTGTTAGAAATCCAAAAGCATGAATGCAAGTACTAGCCATCACACATAATGCACAAGGACAGAGTCCTACTACATTAACCTTGTATCATTCTTTGTTAGAAATCCAAAAGCATGAATGCAAGTACTAGCCATCACACATAATGCACAAGGACAGAGTCCTACTACATTAACCTTGTATCATTCTTTGTTAGAAATCCAAAAGCATGAATGCAAGTACTAGCCATCACACATAATGCACAAAGGCAGAGTCTTAGTACATTAACCTTGTATCAATCTTTGTTAGAAATCCAAAAGCATGAATGCAAGTACTAGCCATCACACATAATGCACAAGGGCAGAGTCCTAGTACATTAACCTTGTATCATTCTTTGTTGGAAATCCAAAAGCATGAATGCAAGTACTAGCCATCACACATAATGCACAAAGGCAGAGTCCTAGTACATTAACCTTGTATCATTCTTTGTTGGAAATCCAAAAGCATGAATGCAAGTACTAGCCATCACACATAATGCACAAAGGCAGAGTCTTAGTACATTAACCTTGTATCAATCTTTGTTAGAAATCCAAAAGTATGAATGCAAGTACTAGCCATCACACATAATGCACAAGGGCAGAGTCCTAGTACATTAACCTTGTATCATTCTTTGTTAGAAATCCAAAAGCATGAATGCAAGTACTAGCCATCACACATAATGCACAAGAGCAGAGTCCTAGTACATTAACCTTGTATCATTCTTTGTTAGAAATCCAAAAGCATGAATGCAAGTACTAGCCATTACACATAATGCACAAGGGCAGAGTCCTAGTACATTAACCTTGTATCATTCTTTGTTAGAAATCCAAAAGCATGAATGTAAGTACTAGCCATTACACATAATGCACAAGGGCAGAGCCCTGGTACATTATCATGATGAGTTAGTACATGCATGAATACTTGCATGAATCCAATTATTCTTGCAATTTAAATATGCTATCATTCCCTTAAATATAGATTATTTCCACAAACCTTTGAATCTCGCTTTGCTTGTTTCTTTGATTTCTTATCCTGGTATTTTGATTGCCTCGCATTTGTGGAGAAGCCATCTATAGCACCCGCAAGCTCATCCGTCTTCTCCAATCCCATAATCCCTTTGCGGTGAGAGCCATTATTATTGCGTGTTGGCTAAATAAAGCAAGAAAATATCCATGTACTGCCAAAAAAGTAACATGTTAGAAAAAAAGACAAGTAAGTGTTGCCATGGTAATTCTAACAACAGTATCGTAAGAGGATTCCATCATTCAGATAGCCTGTACATGTACTATCAGTTATCACACGTTTCAGCATGTGATACAGGAAATATTCCACGAAAGGTAATACTGTATCATACACGAAAGCGAAGCTTGAGTGGTGATACATTGTTACCCGAGTGGAATATTTCATGTATCACATAAGCTGAAACGTGTGATGACGATTTTATCACATGTCTAGGAATTTTGAGGCATTTTGATTTGGTCAGTTATGATTGTTTTCAGTACTCTGTACTCCTGGTAACTATTATAATTTTTGATTTCGCTTTGAAACAATATGACGTCATACCGTTGTTTTCGTACTTGTTTGTGAAATAGTATGACGTCATATTGTTTTCCTTAGCTAGAAGTGATATAATCAGTGACGTCACATCGTTGCTATTGACTCTGTAGTGATACAGCTCACCGTATCACATGAAAATTAGTCACGTGTCATGTGATACGGAATATACATCATCACAATTGACCAATCAAAATGCGTAGACACTCCTTATCATGTGTTAAACGTACATATTGTACATATAATTATTTCAATGTGATAAATCAAAAATTTTGATAAATCCTAACTATTAGTCAATTATTGATTTCTATTCACCTTTTCAACCACAATTGGTAGTGACAGGTCAAGGAATGCTTCAAAGACTTGGGATGGCTAAAAACAACAAAAAATAAGTGTACATGATTATATGTTGATTAGTCAAAAATGATATCATTAACAAATCAACAAACTCAGCTGAGACCCCTTGAATTTCAGGGGCTCTCCAAATCTGCAGATTTTATCTAGTATCCTACAGATTTTTATAGAAACAGAAAGCATAAAGATATTGTTCCCATATTGCACTTCTCACAGTAGACAAATAGAAAGAATAACTATATCCTTACTGTATTGCACTCCTCGCAGTTGACTGTACTGATGAGGTTGCCCCCAAACACACTGTCAACAAATGTATGTTTACCCTGACGACCATATTCTACAATACAAAAGAAAAGTATAAAACATGACACAAATTAGTACAATTTTATTATCATATAATATCCAATACTATGGTTATTATATAAAGACAATCAATTCAATGAAGAGGGATGAGATTTAAAATGTATTTAAAATGTGTTTTCAAATTTCAAAATAAGGTTTTAAAAACTACTTGTACAACCCTTAGGATGATGAATCTAAATGGACTCGTGGACACAAAGTCCAATATTACAGTTTACACAACGGGAAACACTATTTTGTAAGCACTACTAAGAAAGAATACTTTATGTGTTATCCATAAGTAATAACCACGACTAACTACTAATTCATAGGAATAAAAAGTCCACTCTATTGAGAGATAGATAGAGTTTATCCTTGGACCAGTTACGTCTTATCCGTGTGTCATATGACTACTGACAGTGTTAATTAACTAAGTTAAGTATTCCAATTAAAAAGTGTTGTATGTTTGCATGCAGCAAGCGTTTAATAATTCTTCGCATATATAATATTGTCCATAAAAGAGTCTGATATATAATATTGTCCATAAAAGATCGGTCTGATAATTACAAGTAACTCATGTTTATTTTAAAACTATTCTTTACGAATTTATGATAAGTGTATAATGTTCAATGCTCGCCAGATATGGGGGTAACCAAGATATAATAATACATACAAATCGCAGTCAGTGATTGTTCTCCACACTCACCCCTCCCCCTTCCTGACATGAACTATTTTGTAAAACCATTGACAGTGTGGAAAGGATTCTTACACTCGAGTGTCAAGGGGGGGGGGCAGTTATAAAAAATTTCAAAACTGCTCAACATGGTGAAAACTTCACGTTTTTAAAGAATGCTTGCCCGGCGAGTGGTTTGCTCTGGATTGCGAGAGAACAAAAACTTTGAATTAGGATTTTTCCTAATACTATCATTAATCTAAACAACTTTTTAAACCGTCTCTGATTACATATCATGCCAATTAATACCATTATTGTGTTGACAGGATTAAATATGATATCTATGGAATTATAATTTAATGAACTCAATAGTCTAAATGATAATAAGTTCATAATTTAGTCTTGGCTGACTAGTCTTGCATCATCAGAGTTGGATTGCAAATACCTCCCTAAATCAAATAATTTAAATTTACAAATTTACTAGTGTACGGGGTGGGGAAACAAGTCTCCATCCAACCACTAAAGTTTAAAAGGAAGACTATAGTGTCCCGTGAATTCATTATAATAATCTTAGACAATAGTGAAGCGGTACAATCATGGGAGTGTTAATTAATCGGAATGCAAGTTTGATTTAAAATAACTCCTTTGGATCAAATATTTAAATTCTACTAGAATGCGGGGAGTGGAAACAAGTTTCCATTCAAGCACTAAATATCAAAAGAAAGATTTCAGTACCCCTTAACTTCACTCCCGGACTTCACTATTCACCCCCCCCCCCCTTCCCCAGTTATCCCTTATGACCCCAGAATGTTGGTTTCTGTGCCCCCCCCCCCTGTCCATGGCCAGTAAGTAATCTATGTGTATATTGGCATATTGGCTCCCTCCCAAAGGTGGGAAAACCAGATGCAGGCATAGACATTGACAAGGTGAGGGGATTTAAATATAAAAATAGCCTTGTTTTTGGCTCCGACTTAAATATTTTGGCACTGTTTAACGAAGCCGGTTTAAGGAATGAGAGGCAGAAATAATTCCTAGAAATATGATGGCCTGTCTTTACTGTAATCAAGATGCTACCTAATCGCAGTTATTTTGGGATATTGCTCGAGCTTGAATAACAAATTAAAGGCATTTTCTTATTTCTGTATTTAGTCCTTTGATTGTGTATTAAGTTGAGCTGCACACCAAACGTTAAGATTGTTAAAACGCTTAAAATAAAACTTTATTCCTCTCAATTTACATAAAAATGAAACAGATTAGATTCGAATCTCAGTCACACCAGCCACTGGTCAAGGGAAGTACAAATATCTATATTAATCAAATGTCTGAGAATTTGATAACTGTCTGGGATCCAATGTTAATTTTATTGAATCAAACTAAGAAAAGTATAAAGATGAATTTTAAACGTTTAGAGGGAAAAGTCAAATATGCATTGTAACCCTAAAATAACTCATTAAAGTGTCGTACACATTTCATAACATTTATATAAATAAAACAAATAAAGCACAACCCTAATGCCCTAATGAATTCATATCGGCGCTAAACGGCCTCTGCAATAAAAACGCATCGAAGCAGGGAATGCTTGGGGAATTCTTCCGAGACTGACTTTTGTTATTTCAAAATTGAAATATGCCTAATTCCTATGAAATAATCAAATAACCACGCGATCTTTTTCCCTGGGTTTTACTCTATTTTAGATTTACTAGAAAAATGTTTATATGATGATTGCGTTTGCTTCTCACGAGTTCATTGAAAAGTTCAGTCGTAAAACTTTAGAGATCAAAAGACTAATTAGGCACCTGATTGCGAAAGTTTGATTGCATTTCGATTGCCGGGATTTTACAAACGTATTGTTTAAGTAGCGATCGTGTTCTTGGGATCTTGATAACTTCCTATTTTAAGTTTTGGGTTGAAAGCAATGAGTATGTCGGACTTTCTCAAGTCCATATAATGAAACAATATCCCTTTATATTAGTCCAATCGGAATTTGCATGAACATACCAGTTTTTTATTGCAAAAAGAACTGTAATTAGGCTTTGTATAAAAAACCTCCTACCCACGTACCCTCGTACCCACGTACGTGGGTCCTGACCCAGTCTTTAAAGAGTTAAATTTTTAAATGTTTAAAACATTATTCAATCTCAGTTTATCCTGAATTATAGATGAATTTATGCATCCATAAGTCGGAATTGCACAAATGTTCATTATTTTTGAGCTATTTGATTTATGTTTTTGATATGTCGAAATGTTTTTTGTTGATCGGGCAGTCTTACCTGTTAAACACATCAGTGCTGATTAGCAATCTCCTAGCCTTCGTTCAGTGCAATCCGTGCCTCCTGTTACCTCATGCAGATTGTAAATGTCCCGGGAAGTTTACCCTTGTCCAAAAGTTGACATCTTTTTAAAAATATATTTCTTAGAGTTTCCAACCAATTAAATTCACCACATTTTATTAGATGTTTAGGCTATTTCAAATGTTATTAGAATTCATTCTTACGAATATTATACGTTATTAACGTATGTTAGTCAAAGATTTGGTGTCGTTGTTGTCCATTGTATTCACGTTTTACGCGCAAAAAGCTAGAAACTACAAAGCTGAACTTTTATCATTCAAACCAGTTTTATATCAAATCATTGTCAAAATAAAACTCTACTCTTCATATTACCTAATTATGGATCAAACGGCCATGAATAATGTCGAAGTTTACAAAACCAAACTTACACTCCCCTGCAAAAGTTTGGCAACTCTAACTTTTAATTCCATCTAAATGATCCACTGAACTAGTGCGCACAATTATCCTTAAATTGTGCCAAAAAGCGATAAAAAACGAATATAGCGAATCCTTCTACTTTTCAAATATTTCGTTATTTAATTGCGCCACGGTTAAACAGAAATGCAGCCTTTATTATTCCTTGAGATCGTGTGAATTGATCACTCTATCACTTTGTATCTCCAATTCTGATGTTAAATTAAATAAAAGACATAAGACAAATTACACGTATAGTTCAAATCTGTCGTGCAAACAATGAATACTTGTAATATCGTTTGAAAGAATAAAAAGTATATGTGATAAAAATCGAAACTACAGGGTGTTAAAAAACAGGACCGATGAAAAGTTGAATAACGCTTCGATATATCAAAAACAACACTCAAATAGCTCAAATGAACATTATGCAATGCCGGCTTTATTTTATGACGAGACAGATGTCCGATCTAGAAATAAAGGCATATGGGTACATAAATTCATCCATAATTAAGCATACATTGAGATAGAATAATGTTTAAAAAATGTTAAAGATTTAACTCTTTAAAGACTGGGTCAGGACCCACGTACGTGGGTACGAGGGTACGTGGGTAGGAGGTTTTTTATACAAAGCCCTGTAATTAATAGCCTACATAAAAGCATCATGATAAATAAAACATAAAAGCCTATTTTTATCAAAATCCATAAATCCTCACCATATAAATATAGTTTAATTGATGACCAAAAACAGATATCAAGGGCGTAGCCAGCTTTCAGTCAGGGGGGAGGGGTGCGATCGCCAAAAAGATTTCGGTTTTCAGTCAGGAGGATATGATTGTGGCATTTTAATGCTCCTTTCTTCTTCTTTCTCAGCGTTTTATTTTTATTGTTATGGGGGAGGTTGCTATCGCACCCCCCCCCCCCCTCCTGGCTACGCCTATGGATATTTTGGCAACTTTCACGTTTACCCCGCCCCCTAATAATTTTTGCACCCCCTCTAAATATCAGACCCGTCAGGCGTTGAGGCATGGATTAGAATACCCTGACTCCCAAGCTGTGCGACTTCTGGCAACCGCTACACCTATATTCCCGGGGAAACGCTTTTAAAAAAATTGTCAAATATGGTCGTGTGTGGGCAAACACGGAGGAGGAGGAGAGGGATGCGTGCATTGCGTGCGACCCTTCATCAGTTGTGTACCTTATTTTTGTATGAATCTCTTCCGAATAGTTATGCTAGAGGGGTTCTGATATTTATTTCTGTTTTCAAATGAAATAGTTTCACCCTTGCCCGACTGACGTGTAGATAATGCACGAATCAAATAACATGCAAATGGAGATCAGATAATCAGATTGATTCGTATTTTCGCAATCAGATGAATTAACTTATTGTTTTCTCTGATTAAAAAGCGGTTTGAAGCTACTTTTACAGGATTTGTAAATTCGCAATCAGACTGGCTTATTTTAATATTTAGTCAGTGCAAGAGTAGGGGACTATTAATGTAGAAAATTGTTTTGATTTCGACACTAACTGAATAATTTATCACAATTGTTAAATACGCAAACAGAAACGGGTTTAAAAATGAGAATAGAGGCAAAAAGTCTAGACATAAAAAGTAATTAAAACCCAGGAATTAAAAGCAATTTTAGACTTAGATGATCTCTTCTGTAATCAAGGTGATGTTGGTACACTTCCGCCGTTAGAAAAACAAAGACTAAGACAAAGACTATATAGCAATTAATCCTTTTGTAATCATTAAATGTTGGATTCTTATTATTTTGTTGGACAATGTTTAGACTTCTGACCAAGATTAAATCATTTATGTTTGTATTTAAAAAATAGTATTTCAATCAGACAGACGTGCTAATGAGTTCGAAAAATACATTTGTCCATTTCCTCTCAAGAAGTTTTCAAAGGTAATCAAGTCGATTTGTTTCAGTGTTTAGCATTGTTTTTCATAACTTGACGCTTCCATGAACATAATGACTTTGAAATTAGTTTTTATAATTTTAGCTTTTATACGGGCATGCTTATTGTATATTTCTATATGAACGTTGTAGTTATGTGATGTAACATCGCCCCCCCAAATTACAGGTATACACATTTTGATCGGAATGCATTAACTTGCAATTAAAAGCAATTTTAATTTTAATCTCTTATGTAATCTAGGTGATGTTGGTACACTTCCGCATTTAAGAAAACAAAGACTAAGACAAAGAGAACTAAGCAATTAATCCGTTTGTTATCATTAAATTTTAGATTCTTATTTTTTGATTGGACAATATTAAGACTTCTGTATCCGATTGTTATGCAGGTATGTGTATAAAATCATGTGAACAACATTATTGTAGAAACTCCCATCTTCATTCTCATAATGTCTTACAGCTATTTCGCAAATTACATAATCCTAAACAACATATGGACATAACGATAATATCACTGAGCGAAAAGAACGGTGGAACAAATTAGATTAAGATATTTTCTTTTTCAAATGCACAAAGGGCAACAGTTGAAGAACAAAAGTTAAAGGCGTTTTGAAATAGATCGTGCTTTTATATGATCCCCTCTATAATACCCTACCCTTTGCATTTGTTCGACTTCACTTCTTAAATGAGAGTTTCGTCTTCTCGTAGTTTATAATTAGACTCTGCACGCAGCGTAATAGTGCCCCTATTATCCATGTTCAGGGGCGTAGCCAACTTTCAGTCAGGGGGGGGTGCGATCGCCAAAAAACAATAACGGTTTTCAGTCGGGGGAGGGGGTTGCGATCGTGGCAAAAGCAAGCCAAAAGATGCAACTTCCTTCAAAGTTGAGCTTGAAGCTTCTATCTCTTCTTCTATTTCTTGGTTCTATTTTATTGGTTATGCACCGCAACCTCCCCCCCCCCTGGCTACGCCTATGCCTGTCGAGAGACAAAAAGAGAAGCGAAAAGACTGTTAAAACAAGTACTTCCAATAAATACTTTTACAGTTATATGTGTTTATCAACGACCCTACTTGTCAAATTAATATAATTAATAGAAACGAAATCTAAATTCTTTCATTACGCGAAAACTGTTGAAATATCTACCTGATTCGCTGGAATAGTCATTAGTCACATTATTTCAGAGCAAACAATTAGCATCTACTATAATATTTATTTTTCTATCCGATATACAACTGATATTGATATCTTTCCCCGGACAATGTACTGTGTTATCTCATGATCCGTTGACATCATCAACAATTTGATTTACCACAAGAGAGTAACCAACATTCCTTAATTAAAAAGTTGACATTTCTTGAATTTTATAGCAAAAACACTATGACACAATAACATCGAGGCAAAATCAAAACATGGTGTGGAAATGAAAGGCATACAAAATGGCCATTAAAATGAAATTCTTGTTCATAAAAGTATCAACTTTATTACATTGGACGCAAATACAAAGTATAGAATAAATAAAAATAACGTCTTCCCAGAGATTACAATACGGATCAGTAAGTCAACAAATCTAACTGTTAAATAAACAAACTTAGCCCATGTCTGCAATTGTTCGTCTGCTGGTCAGAACTCGGTATCCTCTTCGGATAATCAATTTCTGTGACTACTGATGTCTTAAATAATTCATAAAGACGACGTTGTCTTTAAATAAGGATCTTTAATCTACAAACTGTAAATAAATAGCCTGAGTCCGGGATTGTAGACAACAACATTGATACCTTGCTGTCCTCTGTTAAATCACGAAACCAGTTTCCCTTAAATTTTTTACTAAGAGACTTATACATGCATAAGTTATCTATCAAATTATTTTTCTTTAAATATTAAATGTCGTCTAAGTTTGTTTTAATGATTAGTCTTCATCTAGATTCATTAATCATCACAATATTTATATATACATATTATGTGATAGACCTATCATATCACGTCCGTAGTTACAAAGTCAACTACATATTAATGCAATAGAATAAGACTCAATAATTAAAAAAATAAACCTCAGTATTCGGGCCTAAAAACACAGATAAGTGTATCAATACCAACGGGTAAGCTCAAATAACCTTCCAGATAAGTGTATCAATAATCAAGGATTGCGAGTACTAAGGACCAGGTAAGATGGTTGTAACATTGGTATTGCTAGTTATTAAACACGATTTTGTCTTGTGTTACAGTTTGCTTATAATGTTCAGTGTACAGGCAACTGACACCCATACGGGTGTATATAGTTACAAATGATTAAACTACATAATTGTATTAATCAAGATGACAAGATATAAAACTGTTTTTTAAAAGATAGAAAATTAGGAGAAAAGTAACAGAAGAGAAAGAAATATACATATATATAAGCACATATAGCTAAATAGTTATACAGTTCAATTTAATACGTGTCCAGATAATACTTTTTCAAATCTAACTTAAATTCATTTCTAGAATTTCGATGTCTAAAAGTTTCAGGTCCATGTTGTCTGTCCTATGTATTTAACCCCTTGAATCCCAGGCTCTAAAATTGGCATGAAACCAGAGAATTTTTCATTTTTTGCCACCTTTTGACATTTTATTACATACCTATACAACTTTAGATGCTCAGCTTAGTAAAATTGGACGACAGAGATCATTTCTACACGTTTTAAAACGATTTTTGTGTAAATTGGATGAAAATTGTTCAAATGAGAGCAATTTTTGTGAAAAATTTTGTGACGGATTTTCTCGTCCCTCTGGGCACCAGTCTTATTTCATTTGTGACGGATATATTTGTCACTCTGGGTATTCAAGAGGTTAATGCTCCTTTGTCCAAATGTGGATTTAAATTGATTAGATCTAAGATTGAATCTATAACATGTCCCTTGTCCATGTGTTTGGGCATTGATATGAAGTAGTCACAGAATAATGTTTAATATTGGAAAACTGCTTTGAACTATATACATTTCTTTTATTGACAATAGTATCAAAACTATATATACCTTTGATTTTTAGCTTAGTCTCTTTGTCAAAGTCTTTAGGAGTAATCCCTGGCCTCTGGAACTCTTGTAGTATCCCACCTTGAATCCTCTAAATGTCAAAAGAAGTATCATATGTATTAGGTTTAACTTATGAACTTGGAAACAATATCTTTGTTGTGTAATCAGAACACTCTATCAACTCCAAATTGTGCAATCAGCTTTAATTTTTGTACATTCAAAAAACTGTCACCCCTTTTTACTAGTCGCCTTTAAACGGTTTCACTGATTTATGATGTGTTTGAGATAATTTTTTGTAAAAGTGATTGGTCATGACATTCATTTACTTAAAATGAGTTTAGTAATTCAAATATTTTCTTACATTTTTGTTAAACAGGCCTATTCATATTTCAGACTAAAGCCAAAGGTTTAACAATTTAGAAAATCATTTTTCAAATATTGTATTGCCCCTATAATTTAAAGCTACAATATTTATCTAGAAAAACAGCAACTCCCAAAAGAAGCAATTCTCAACAGACAAAACATGTATTAACAAATCCCCTCTTATTTTAAACATAACATGGAAGGAATAACCAAACAGTAGTATTAGTCTCCTATCTGAGTAATCAGAAATTCTGTTTCTTCTGAAAAGGGTGGCCATTTTGAATTCAGCGATCATCTTGTAATTTCTTTTTGAGCAGATTGATGACATATGGCATCAGAGCATAAAATCTTAACTTATGTGGCAACTGGTATTCAAGATCAGTCAGCAGTTACTAGAGCAGAAGTTCTACACCAAAAAGGCATGAGCCTATAAAATTTGAACGAGATATGCCAATCAGTACTTGAGTACAGTGCCCAAACAGACAAATGAATGACAGACAATTGGACAGGTGGATACTTGGCTTTTCTCTATAAATCATATCCCTCCCTCACTCATTGGTAAAACAAACCTTTATTTCCTCTGCCCTCATTCCATCTAATAGGTGGCGTAACAGCTCATGGCTATCTTGTTGTTGAAAACCTTTAAATCTTGGAGCTCTGTGAAAGAAAAGAACGGGATGTTTAAATAAGGGGTACATTTAAATATAAAGTGTATAAGATGATTCTTTTTCTAATCTGGTATATGGGGGGGGGGTTAAATACTGAGTTTCTATGACTAGGATTTTATTTTAATGATATTTTGGGGATTGATCTTTAAATGACATTTTGGGCTTTTAATGACATTTTTTCACTAAACATTAACAAATTACATGTATTTCAAAATAAATTCCAAAGTTGTCATTCAAGTGTAATAAACAATTGCAATTGTTCTAAGCCTTAGATTCAATTTATTAGGAAAATGGAGAGGCAAAACCTTATTTAATTTTTTAACCTTTTTATTTTAAATACATTTTTATTCCCATCACTGCACATAATATTTTTCAATCTAAATTCAACTATATAAATAACAAATAATGTACCAATTAGGTACATTGGGACCTTCTCCATATTTGAATTTGAAGATATGTCATGTCATGTACATAGATTTCACAATTTGAATTAAAGTAAAGAGACGTAACTGACCATATATATTATTATTTATAATTCTGTTCAGCTATTAAAAAAGACTTACTTTTTACAAACTTGGCCAAAGAGGGTCGAGGGACTGATGGTTGAATTTTTACTCGATGATGTCATATCATGGATAAATGAGCGCAATGCCATTGTCAAGCCTACGCAGTCTGAGAGGCGAATCTCCATTGGCATCTGTAAGAAGATACATTATGTAATCGTTTAATTTAATCATTTCACAACTTTTCTTAATCAATAAGTCATATCATGAGTAAATGTGCACATCTCAATTGGTATCTACAAAAATACAATTGTTTAATTTTAAATCTTACTGTATTTGATATTTGTATTTTTCAATAGGAATAGTAAAAAGTGAGTCCCATAGACTTATTATGTCCCATACATAAAAATGGGTTTATCTAATTTGCCAACCCCACCCACTATTTAGTAGCTTGATTTCCTCCTACCTACCACCTAGTAGGCTCTTTTGATTTCTCTTGCATGACTAGACTATTCAACCCAGTAAATACAATTGAGAATTTATCATTTATTTACTGTTATCCTACACTTAGTCTTCTAAATGTATAATAACATTAAAAAATAAATTTGATATTTATTGGCAAAATGAATAACCTGAGGATATCGTGATGATATACTCCGGGCGGAGGATATCATGACGATATACTCTGGAAAACCAAATATGCGGAGGATATTGTGACGATATACTCCGCTTGTTGTTTTCCCGCTTGTTGTTTTTTGACTCTATTTGGCATGAAATTCATTCTGCAATGATATCATACATTTAGTACACTCCTTTAAGTGTAGGATGATAAGTACATCCTATGATTTTTTTCAGAATATCATTTTAATCGACTCGGTGATATTGATATATGCACTCATTCACTTTGCTCTCTCGTGCAGATATCAATATCACCTCGTAGATAAAAATGATATTCCTCAAAATCATAGGATATCTTACAAGTATTGCACATTGGTACCTTAAACATAATTTTTCTATTTTCATACACATGGCAGGATAATGAATATGCTTTAATATTCAACTGACATAGTTCTTAACTGTTTCTACTATAATTGACTGATTTGAAGTATTCACAAAAAATCAGACCCGACATGGTATGGTGGGTAGGTGGAAATCTACCAAAGTGGGGTGGCAAATAAGAAAACCTGCAGCAGCCAATGGAATGAAAATGGGATCCATATTAAAGTGTTCACATTACAGAAAGGTGTTCGAATTAAAACTGGATAATATATGTTCATCCTTTATGAAAGTTTATTTAGGAATGACTGAAGAATGATTTACTTCTGTATAAGACACAACATGTTTTTTCCAAGTGCTTTACTTTTTTGTCCTAATGTTAAACCAATGAAAACTCAGTGAGCATCAAAATATTTCAAATTAATACATTTCCCCTATAATCTACAGTTTATTAATTGAGATATATAGTCTAACACACATAACCGAGACAGCTGCATTTGGGATCTTTCATTCATTTTTACAATGAAACTTATAGAGCAGTAGAGTGGAACACTTTTCAGAGTCCCATAAATGAACCTCCATAAGTGGAACACCTCCCAAGTAGAACACTTGATACTAAAGGTGTTCCACTTAGACAGGTTTTACTGTATCTTACTTTGCGCAAATAAGGATATCAATTTCATTATCTCATTGACTAAATAACGCAGAATGTTTCTCAGATATAAATTACAGTACTACTTTTATCAAGTTCAGAGTATATGCTATATAAGGAATGTTTTGTAATCTGAAGTAAAGTCAAAAGAAGAAAAGTGATGACATCTAACTCTATTGTTCCTGTCTTTACAGGACCATTTCCTGCAGAAATTAAAGAAGACATTAGACGCTTAAAGAACTTTGTGAATTTCATTGCATTTAATGCTGATGTGAAGAATAGATACTCACCACAAAAACTTCAAGAACATATTTCATACATTGAGGCTAAGGTACAAACTTTATGTACAAAAGTTGGTGAATATGACTCATGGATGAGCACATCTAAGATTTTGAGACAAGGAAGTAGCTATAAGGGAACTAAGATCTTAAAGCCTGATGAGCTGGACTACATGCCAATCCTGGCAATATTTACTAGAGAGACTGTTGTAGTGGAGGATGTGAAAGAGAATTGTGAGTTGAAAGACAAGGGGTGTGTTTACATCAAAGTGAACAATTCAACCATAAAAGACAATCTAGATGAGTTATGTCATCATACTCCAAGTGGATCATACCTTAAAGGTGGAACAATATATCTAGCTAAACTGAGAGAAGCTGTGAAATGGGCCCTCGGTGAAATAGACTCATTGACATACACAGGTGAGCATAAACATAAGGATGAAGACCAGGATGAGCCTTACCCATTAGGAAATATCAGTGTATGTGAGAAAATACATGGTCCTAGTATAACACTTAAGATGGGTGCCCCTCTGTGCACTGCTAAGGTGGACCTGTGTTTCTCTATAGAAGGTAGAGACACCAACCTCGGACAATGTGCTATGGTATCCGCCAATGCATTTGTTGAAAGTTCCTGCCAGTGTGGCCTTTCCTCCAGCAGACACTGGGATGAATCTCCTATCAATCCTCCTAACAAGTATGAATTGTCAGAATCACATAGAGAACTTTTCCTCACTTTTAAGCTTATCAGTCACATTCTCAATGATACATGTCAACATCTAGGAATAGACACAACATTTTCTGTAGTTCATGCATCCTCCAGTTATAACATCCAGTCACTGGTATGGCAACATCAACAAACATGCCAAGCAACCAATGTGGGGGAATGTTACAGAAATATTGTTCAGATGCTCAACTGTGGAGAACTTGATAAACCAGATGAGTTATATGTTAAAGTACATGATTCTCCACAAGGATATCTTGAAGACATGTTCTTCCCAGAAGTTGAAAGGGAGATTAGCCCCATAAGTATTGTTGGATTTATGTGGTTCTTACAGCAGGTGTGTCATACAGAATCTACAGAGTGGTGGAAAACACTTTTCATTGAGGATGACACAAGGTACAATGACAATGATCATCTGTCTGGTTTATGTGAAGCATCAAACCATTTAAATGAATTAACAGCATGTTTCTCATATCCACCGCCACCACCCATTACATTGATTCAGAAATGGAATAATGAAAGAAACAATCAAATAGCATCATTAACTATCTCTCGCAGGTAGTTAACTGTTCATTGAACATCTAATCAAATGCGATTACTTAGAGGACAAGCACCAATAATTCTACCTTGTTTATTGACAAAAGCTACTTCATCATCTACTATATGCTGTTACAGCAAACATTGGATAATTCGAATTATCATATCATTGCTAGAAATCGTGTGATTTGATTGGCTGATTCAGTACCATGTGATCAAAAAACCATAGTATATTTCACAGCTCCCTCAATTTTGGGATTACAAAAGACGTATTGCCAGGCATATTGCCCGCCCGGGGAATTTTGACAAGAACAAATATTTCATTCTATGTTCGGGCAATACCTGTTGCACTTTCAATGATTTTTGAAGCATGCATTTCCCTCACCCTACTGGCTGCTGGCAATATACACTGCAAAAATCATTGAAAGATGGACAGGTATTGCCCTCCATAGAATGAAATATTTGCTTTATATGTTTACACAGATAGTTTTGCATCAAGCCCCTGTGTTGCTCCACATTTCCAATCAATCAAGTAAAACTAGACAACAGCAACGCCAAAACGTAGCAAATCCCATCGAACAGCAATGGCTGGCATTTTTACAAACGAAATATATAGCAAGTATACTACCTGAAGTGTCATGAGACAGTGTGCAAGGCTCATGAGTATTCACATATCAAATATGGACAAAATCGCTTCACTACTTTTCGAGTTACAGTAAAAAATGTTAAATAACAAACATAAAAATGGCGGCCATTTTTCAAAATGGCCACCTACTACACAAAATATCATTAGACATTGTGCAATGCTTATAGAATTCACATACCAAATATGAAAAAAATAGCTCCACAACTTTTCAAGTTACAGCAAAAATCGTAAAATGACATGCAAAGGCAGCCATTTTTCAAGATGGCTGTATGTACAAAATATGAACAAAATCGGGCGAACGGTATTTGAGTTATTGCCCGGACAGACAGATGGACGGACAGAGGCATTCCCTATATCCCTCCGAACATCGTTCGATGGGATAATAAAGATGTCAGTTAGGGAGGGGACAAATGGGTTTGATGCAAGACTAGCAAATCTCTTTCAGATAATATATTGATTTAGATAGCTGAATGTTGTCAGCTGGGCTTGGGAGGTTCATAATATCATATGCCTTGGAATTGTCAGGCACATTGTTCCTTTCTTATACAAAAGAACACTTAATATTTAAAATATGGATATACATGTATTTAAATATAAATTGTTTCATAACGTGACAAGTTACACTTTGTTTGTTGAGTTGAAATTTTGGCTGTTCAACAATTCACAAAACAGGCAAAAAACAAAAAATACCAAGTAAAGTGAAAAGTTCAAATAACAAGCATTCTGAAACCTGGAAGGTTGTTCCCTAACGTATAAGCAGAACTGTATAAATAGAACTGCTAAACCAAACAGCCACATTTTCTGATTTAGTGATCAAAACTACAAAACTACCTTATCAGAAAACCAGACAATACTGCAGCGCTATGGCAATCATACCAGGTAGCACATCTCACACCAAGAGATTGTACTATGCATGAATAGGTACACAACCTACAATATAGTTATAATATGCACTAACACATTATAACCATTGACCCAACCAAGAATCAACAAATCGCACAATACAAAAGAACACAACCCATTGTCAAATAAACAAAAATGCAACGGGCACAACCAATACCAAACTAGCATAACACAGATTGCCATACAACCACCAATGACAAAACTAACTGTCAAACACAATACAATTGGGCACAATCCAATAATAAACCAAACACGACCCATTGTCAAATTAACAAAGCACAATTGGGCACAACCCATTACCACACCAATATAACTCAACCGGACAAACAGTCACCAAAACTTAACCTTCTGTCAAAATAACACAACACAATCGGGCATAATCCAATAGTTTATCAACACAACCCAAACATAAAATCAAACCAAACATAATCCATTGTTGAATTAACACAACACAATAACCTCACACCAAGCTATCATAACACAATCAGGCAAAATCTAATACATATGCAATAAAATACAACCAAACATGGAAGCTTAGATAAACACATACATAGATACTTGTATGTGTTTCAAGTCAACCCAACCTTAACTTCTGAAGTTTTGATTTATTTTTTCTTGGATTATTGCTATGTTACATTAATGCTAATGCGAGTTCGAGACGCTTGTACTTCTTGTGTTTATTCATTTACAGAATGTTACACATTCTCGTTACCATGGTAACAGATATTGCCAAACATATCTTGAAACTGTGAACTGTGAAAGCTTTGTCAAGAAATCTTGAATTTTGAATCAAACTAGTATGTGAAGGTTAATGATGTTTTAGTTCACAAAATCATACAACAATACTGAAATAAATAACAATTCATTGATAGATGGCGCACTATATTTTGGAATGCTGGGATATTTACAGGAAGTTCAAAATAGAAAAATATTGAAAAAAAAGTTCATGCAATGATTGTATCTTTATGCCTATTCTAAGTGAGTAGCAACCTTAAATTGATAATATTATAAATAAATGAATCTTTATTTAATGATTTCAGATCAAGAACAAATAATTACATGAAAAGTAGCTCATATATAGAGTCTTCCATGATATTTGTTTATTTTTCTGTTTTTCAAAATAATTTTAAACTTTTTGAAATCTAAGCTGAGGGCCTAAATTAGGTAAATTTAGAGCACAAAAAAATGTGCAAGCTCAAAATCACAAAAAGTTCAAAGCAACAGTGTGATATCAATCGTAGAAAATGAAAAAACTGAATAGAAACACGACCTTTTCTCCTTTTTATGACTGCCATTTTTGTTTCAGACAATTTTCTAAAATATTTAAAAGCTTAAGTTATCAGTTAGAGCAATATACTGGGTTATATACTGGGTACACTTTCTGAAAACTTCAAAAGATTCTGTTCAGTGACCTTTCTCAAGGTGCTACTTTTGGCTATTCTTCAGTCACATTTTCAGAGGGCTGAAAAAGTTATTTCATCATGTTTAGGGTCATTCTGACCATGTACATTGTGATCCTGGTCATGTAAATGGGTGCATTAATTCACTTATAATTCATCATAAACTAAGATTTAATAATCTTTAAAACTGAACCCTTCAAAGACTGTATCATGTCCCACATATCATGTATGTGGGTAGGTGGGCACGAGGTATATAGTAGGAGGTTTTTTATACAAAGCCCTTATGATCGGACAAATGTATGATGTGTACTTCAATGTTATGAAGTAACATCATATGTGGATCATAAGTTTTCTAAAAGATATATAAGAAGTTGGTCTATCATATTACCAAATTTGAGGCTTCAACTTATTCATAACGCGATCAATTTGATGATTGTTCACAGATATCACTTTTCTACTGGCTTGTTATAAAGTTTTTTTTTCATTTTTGAATCACAACACGGGTTTGTGTAAAAAACCGAGTGACCAGGTAACCGGCCGACCGGGTACCTAACGCCAAGCAGGGTTACCAACTTTCAAAGTTCCACATTTCCCCCGATATATAGTAGCGAATTGACTTGACAGACTTAGCCTTCCGAGTGCACTGCTGTTCGATATTTTTACCCTATACGAGACGGAGCACTTTTTAAAATAATTGATCCAGCAAAGTAGCATATAAGTTCCTAGAAGACATTGCACATTTTCGTTCTTTACACATGGAGGCAACATAAACATGAGACATCTATTGATGGTATAAAAAGAATGTGTTGTAACATGTCCGCAAAGTTTGTTAGTGTTGAAAACATAACAAACAGGAACGTTTGATTTTTTACTACATTGGTCCATATGTGACGTAACTCAAACGTTAACATTCAACGTTGTCAAAACAGGCTTTTAATATCAAAATATTTGTTGGTGGAAAAAACATGTCAAAAACTTTGTGTTCTCACTAAGTCGGTTCATTTCCGACATATTGTTAACGTTAAAATTTAACGTTGTTGAAACGTTTTTTCGATTTGAAATAACCTCAAAACGTGACTTCAATAATGATGTTCATGGGCCGTATTAACCTGACGTTATTTAAATAATCAGCAAAACGTCGATGGATGGTTGAATTTCAACATTGTGGAAATGGCTTCAAAATATTTGTGAGTTAAGGAAACGTTACAAAGACGTCAATATGTTCTCACTAAATCGGTTCATTACCGACATTATTTTAGCGTTAAAAGTTAACATTGTCAAAATGTTCTTACGATGTGAAATAACCTCAAAACGTGACGTCAAAAATAACGCACATGTGAGTTTTGAGGAAATGGCTTCAAAATATTTGTGAGTTAAGGAAACGTTACAAAGACGTCAATATGTTCTCACTAAATCGGTTCATTACCGACGTTATTTTAACGTTAAAAGTTAACGTTGTCAAAACATTCTTACGATGTGAAGTAACCTCAAAACGTGACGTCGAAAATAACGCACATGGATCGTCCAGATCCAACGTTATAAATAAAAAAAATTCCTAACCCTGCTAGGAATGTTAAGTACCCAGTCACCCAGTTACCCAGTCACCCGGTTTTTTACACAAACCCATCACAACACATTCTTGATATCTTTCCCCATGACACTAAGATATTTATTACTTTCAAGGGTTTCATAAATATATATAAAATGGTTGTATGTTGTTTTTTACTAATTGTGTTTTTTCCGACAGTTCTTGTTCTGTTGATTTTTTCAATGTATCGGTGATACTGTGCCCTCAATTTGTTCTCAAGATTTTAGGTATGTAAGATATTATGTGAACAATCATAATGGGACATCACTGATTGTCTGGGGGAGAAACCGTCCCCTCCCACCCCTCCGTCCCAAATTCATTATTTTCGATTATTTTTTATTTCACATATGGAAACTTATTTTATAAATTCAGCAATGACATTAATTTAGTTATGATAACATCACTTACAAGTATTTATTACAGGTCGTGTAGTCCATTGTTGCTTGATTTATAGCAAAAACGTTGATTTGTGCCTGTTGATGGCCTTGTGCCTTTTTTAATAGATCTCATACCTTAGATGCGTATCGTTTCAGAAAAAATCCCAGAAAACCTAACATATTCTACCATACCGTGCGCCTATCCATTTAGCAATTCAATAGTAAACTTTTTCTTGAAAAAATAAATCTTCCAGATTTGTTGAATTTCCTAGCAGAAATTGCCTGCTCCCCCCCCCCTCCGTCCCATATTCACGATCACCGGGTGTGATAATAAACGAAAATTCAGGACAGAACAAGCAGTTTTATCGATAACAGTGTTTCCCTTTGAAATATGCTTCAATTTAAACAATAACAAAGAACTTCATGGGTGAAAAAGGTAACAACTTAAAATTATTCTCAGATTACAAGTTTTTGGGCAACATGCGCAGCAATCTTATGATGTTCAAAAGATCCGCGCTGCATAAGCATAACCGGAAAAAGATGGAAAATGTAAGTTGTTGAAGTGTTTTAAACTTACCGGTATTAACTATTTTATATTGGTTATGTCCGTCCCATCCCCTCCCGAATGTCCCATCCCGAAATGGATAATTCCCGTCCCATCCCGAAATATTTTTGTCCTGTGACATCCCTAAAGCTTATAGGGTTTTTGTTTCTTTTTTTGTATATATCTATCAATTTTCCACAAAGACATTATATATAGGAGTTGGGAATATCAATTTGTGCAATGGGGAATATCTAGTGGTGTGTCTCTCTTAAGAATTTTCTATGCTACAACAAAGGTAGTACGTTCCACATCATGAGGAGAATTTTTATGTAATTTTATTGATTCTAATTACCATATTCTCTCTAATGAGTGCACAGTTCCAATTAACGCACATACGACTTTTATTTTGTATTTGGCCTCAAGAAGTCACAAAGTTTCATGCATTAGTTCGTTTTGATTATTTACACAAACTCTTGATTGATGATTATATTTAAGGTAGAACGTCAATGTCTACAGACTTTTTTTCTACTATTCAGATTTTCTTGAAAAAATTCTAGGTGAAAGACATACTGATGTGTAAAAAAAATGTGAAAATTAGAAAAATTGACTGTTTAGTTATTTCTAAAAAAAAAGTTTTAATTTAACATTGCTCTCAATTTCTTTTTTTTTTTTAAATTGCGCAATTCAGATTTTCTTCAAACAAATTGTGATTATTCTATGAGAATACAAAAGTATTTAAAATAATATTCATGAAAATTCACCTTACAGATCTTGAGAAAAAAAAACGTTGAATATTATGAATCAGTGGGAGAGATCAAACGGTTTAAAATAAAAAATATAGATTCTGCCGGGTCTCCAACCCAATTTCTTGGAGTTTAAAAACAGTGAAAAACCTGGCGCTTTAATTGATTGCGTCATGTAGCATTTGAACAATCAGAAGAAATTTTTGAAATGAATAAATATCTACATTTTATTCAGTCCTCGTTTTTTGGCATTAGAGATGCACGAACTGATTGCAAATAGACATTGAAGTTCTACCTTAATGTATAGAAAAAAATACAGGAGCTTTGGAGTAGAAACCTTAGTGATGACAACTATTTCTAATTTTTTTGTGTGTGTGCTTATTGGAATCTCTCAATATTCTACCCCTTTAAACTTCAGTATGGTAACCCAACTCTGCACTCATTAGAGAGAATACAGTTCTAAGAATTAATGAAATAATAATTTTTCACATTTTATGTGGATATTTACAATTTTATTTTCAAATACTGTACTCCCAGTATTTTTCATGTGCTATTTATTTTCGCATAATTTGCGATGGTAGTAAAATTTATTTATTTACATAAAACATATTATAATCATTTGTTCCAGATCACAACTGGATGCTGTCCATTTTCACAACCAATTCGAGGGTCCAGCCATTCTACTAAGATGTATGGAGCAGAGATAGACTTGGAGTCGAATAGTTTATGTCTGATAGACAGTGCCATTACCAGTCTACAAGATGTTCCCCTTAGACCACACCTGACCAATCTCAACCTCCATTCTAACCACATAGAAAGAATAGAGAAACTCTCTCATTTAACATTATTAAAACATTTAGATTTGTCTTCAAATCAAATCTCAAGAATAGAAGGACTCAATGGACTAGTGTCGTTAAAAAGTCTAAACCTTGCGTGTAATCACATCTCAAGAGTTGAGGGATTGGAGCGTCTAAACAATCTTGAAAGACTTAATTTATCATACAACAATCTAACAGACATAACATGTCTTCAATTAATGTATGAACCCCAATATAAACTTTCACATATTGATCTCCATGGCAACAACATCCAGTCAATTGACATGGTAACACAGAGTTTAGCAGGATGTACATCACTACGCCACCTTTACCTACAGTATGAATCTGCTGATAATCCAGTATGTTATGTTCCCAATTACCATAAACATGTCATGACTGTCTTGCCTCAGCTGATCTCGCTTGATGGCTTAGATCAACATGAGCGACCAATGGCTGTCACCGTCGACAATGTATTAGCAGATATCCCAGGAATTGAAGATTTTATGGATGTGTTAAAACCACCATCCAGTACAGATGCAAAGGATGTCATAAAACTAGCAACTCCTAATATCGACACAGTTCTTGAGAAGTTTCGTTCTCGTGGTGCATCAACTCCAGAGTTAACAAGCAATACATCTTTTGGAAATACCACATCCTCTGTTACTTCTGATGGTAGAGGTCTATCAGGTGCTACAACATCAAGTTCAAACGATCTCATTCATACACCACCAGAAAAACTAAAGAAAACTGATCATGAAGAAAGACTGGAAAAACTAGAGCAGCAACTTGCTGAATATCTGACATCTAATGATAAGAAAGGTATTGAGTCAGCAGAAGAAAAAACCAAAAAGTCTAATACAATTGAGAAAAGACCAGTAAGGAGTAGATATGTAGCAAAAAGAGATTGTGATGTCACAGATGAAAGTGATGTTGATAGTGCACAGAGTCAAAGAACTTTGAAAAACAAAAAGACAACTGGCATTCCCAGTCTACAAAAAGGTGGTAGAGGTAGTCAAAGAACAGCCAAACCAACTCAATCTATGAGCGAACCTCAATATAATACAAGACAACCAAATAAATACACAAATGGACCCCAACAAAATAAAAGACAACCAATTAGCACAAAAGTAAACACAATGGATTCACCATCAGCAATAGCTCAAGATGACCAACAGCGCAGAGATATTGAAGACACATATGTACAGCTCATGAAGGAAGTTGAAAGTGAAAGAGAAAGAAGGTGGAAGGCAGAACAAGCTGCAAGGAAACTTGTAGAGCATATACAGAAGCTACAAACATCAGCAAAGGAAGAACATGACGTACAGGATATTGCCATTCAAGCCACTACAAGACTCAAACATGCACTCACCAATGAGAGAGAAGCAAAACTGAGACTTCAAGATGACCTAGATGCAACTAAAAAGCAATTAGAAGATGTTTCAGAACAACTTAAAGCAAGCCAGAAACACGAGGAAGAACAAAGAAGGGCATTAAGAGCTTTAGAGACAACATCAGTGCAATTTGAGACAAAGAGAATACAAGAGTCATCGGAGCAAGCCAAGAAGGTTCAACAGGCACAGTTACAGAACAGTGCTACACAGAGGGAAGCTGAACTACTGCGAACATCAGTCAAATCACTTAAAGGACAATTACAGCAGATGCAAGAACTATTGGCTGATAGAGAACAGGAACACAGGAAGGAGCTGTCACAAAGATACAGTCTTGGAAGCCCAGAGCTACAGGGTCTTATAAGCAAAGAGGTCGCCAGAGTAGAATCCAGACACATACAAGAACTGCAAGCCAATCAGAACAAGATCGCCAACCTAACACAGCAGTATAATGAGCTGGAAGATGAGTTTAGGATGGGCCTACAAGTAGAGGCAAACAGATTCAATGAGCTACAAACAGCATACAAAGCATCAAGTACAGAAGCAGCAGAGAACAGACAAGCTTTAGTTGCTGCACAGAAAAAGGATGAAAAGACAAGTAATATTGTAACAGAGCTGACTGCATTGGTAAAAGAGCAAAAAGCAAGGATAACTGAACTGGCTAAGACTAAACAGGAGCAGGTTGCTGATATGAAAGAACGCCTTAATCAGCAGGATGCCCATTTGGAAGAGGCTAGGAAGAGACTGTCGCAAATGGAATTTCTGAAACAGGAAAATAAAAAGTTGGTTTCAAAGAACCATGCTTTAGAGTCAGTCATAGAAGGTCTGAGATCAGAAAGAAAACTATGGAGTGAGGAATTAGCTCAACAGGGGTCATCACTTGCCCAGGATAGAGGGCGCTTGGAGTCAAAGATAGAGGCTCTTACACAGGAAACGCAAACACTCAGGAAACAGTTAGATAGAGAAGTAGATGGGATGAAAATCAAATCAAAAATGATAGATGACCAGACTGAAACTATAAGAAAACTCAAAGAGGGACTTTCAGAGAGGGATAACGATGTTAAAAAGGCACGTGAAGAAAGCCTTAAGATTCAACAAGATCTCGAAGCACAACTAGCTGAGGAGAGCACTGCGTACCAAGATGCCCAAAACACAATAGAAAAGCTACAGCAGAGGAAAGAAGACCTTAAGGAACAACTTATGGAGCTCCAGGCCCAGTTGGAAGATTCACAAAAGGCACATGGGATACTCAACAAGAAGTGGACTGACAAGTCTTCCTTGATTGGGAGACTAGAGGAACAGGTACGGTTCTCATTAGTTCAACTACCTCATGTTATCCCAAGGTGTACCAGAGAATTCTATGATTTCCATGGTTACAGTTGTGAAATTACCAATTTTTAAAGCTGGGAATATTCTGCTACACTACCACAGAACGTTTACTCTTTAGGCTGTAAAATTGCTTTATTTTACATTTTGCTTGGATACAAAATATCAGAAACGAGTCAAAACTTTCATTTGAGTTTTCATTTTGGACATGAGATATTTCAACTGAGTGCTAGGTTATTATTAAGGTTTCACATAGATATAGTACCTGGTTTTGATTATCCGGTTTGAATTATGATTTTAATGTTATAACTGTTATTCCAGGTGCAAGGAATGAAGACTACATGGGAGAATAAGGAGAAGACTCTTACAGAGGAGAGAGACAAGGCTGTACAAGCAGCTGAGTAAGTAATCCACAAGACACACACTAGTGATAAATATCACTTTTTAATAGTAAATCCAAAATGACCACAAACTAATCTAAAGCATGGGGCTGATCTGTACATTTTGAAGGGCACTTGTATATGAGCATGGATACTTATGGCCCTCTAGGATTAAGTCTCCCCTTCGTAGAATTCATTGGCCCAATTGAGTATAAAGAAAATAGTTGTCATTAGGTCCCTGGAAAACATATTGAGAGGGAGACAGTAATGGGACATAAAATTACACATTCACATTTTTTTAATATATAATATAGAACTATTCTTACTTATTTCTCACATATTGATAAAACAATTGCAGCTTGAAACTTGTGCAAGTCTATATATATCTGTCACAGAGCTTTATGATTTTACATTGATTATTCCATGAGATAAAGGTCATTAAAATATACAGTAAAACATGTTTATCTGGTTCTCTTATACCTGTATTAACCAGTACATTGATTTCACTTTCAGATCTGCAGTTGAAAAGTTGAAATCATTGGACAATGCATTCCGTAAACAACTTGATGCCAAGGAATCTAGTCACCAGATCGAACTTGATAAACTGACCAATCAGAAGCAAGAAGAGCTTAATGAGGCATATCGCCGCATAATGGAGGTTGAGGATGAAATGCGAGCACTTCTAGCTGAGAATGAATCTAATAAGAAAGCAATGGACGACAGGATTAGGAAATTGACTCAAGGTTTTACTGAGCTCCAACAAGACCTCATTAGATGATACTGGGCTAGTAATAAATGTGATACTTAGGCAATAATAATAGATTGAAGTGAATATACAGTTTACAATACTATCAGGATTGTTCCTCTTTAGAACGATTTTTGCAAATGATCTCTCAAATACCAGCTAGAGTTGGCCAGGATTGTGTTTAATTATTAATTGTGTTTAAATGTTTGTATTTATGTTCTTAAAATAAATTTAGTTTTTTAAAAAATATATTTATATATTTTTTTGGTAATTACTGGATCGACAGTGGACACCCTTGATTCATGAAAAGCTGAAAAAGTTACATTAATATTAATATTTACTAGTACCTTCAACACATTCATGTCTCAGGTCTTGGAATATTCATAATGAAGTGCATGTATGACATGTATTTGTGGATAAAGTATAATATTATATAGAGTTTATTCCATTAGTACTTAAATAGGTGGGATGTCAATTTCTGTCACCAACTTGACCATATTTGGGCAGAACTTGACCATATTTGGGCAGAACTTGACCATACTTGAGTGGAACTTGACCATATTTGAGCAGAACTTGACCATATTTGGGCAGAACTTGACCATATTTGGGCAGAACTTGACCATACTTGAGTGGAACTTGACCATATTTGAGCAGAACTTGACCATATTTGGGCAAAACCTGACCATATTTGGGCAGAACTTTAAAATATTTGAGCAGAACTTGACCATATTTGGGCAGAACTTGACCATATTTGAGCAGAACTTGACCATATTTGGGAAGTCTTGACCTTATTCAAGTTATCAGGCCCATGATGCCTCATAGATGTTCATGGGTTTCATTTAACATCACTCAGATGTAAATTAGTGAGAAACTGTTGTAGAAAGAGACATTTTCCTCTGGTTTCTCTTACAAAAATTGTAGAAATATTACAACTTGGTTTTACAAATTCTTTTAAAAGAATATTTCTGAAAAATGTGCCAGTTTTCATTCATTTTGTCTGTTGTCTAATGAAACCCCTCTAATGAAACCCCTGATTGCTATAATGTACATACTACATGTACTTCATGTACCGTGTTTGTAAGATGTGTGTGCTAATTAAATGAAAACTTACAAGTTTAGGTAGCATGACGTCATCATCATCGTCACATTTGATGGCCTCACGTCCTGGCAATGTCATTTTGACATCTTTGCTGCATTGCAATAACTGCTGCTCAAGAATATGGGTCTGGCTAAGATTCTAAAACACATCAATTAAATAACAATGAAAAATAGTCATAAGATTGTTCATGTCTAAAATTAAGAAGATTAGACAATTTTTTACATTTTTTGTAACTTTAGTTTAAACTTTTATAATACAGATAAAACTGTAAAGCAAAACACCTAGTGGAACAGTCTTAAAGTCCAGTAACCCATCTAATGTGAAATAAATCTCTTTGGAACATTTCTCAAATAGAAATGACTCATTCATTCAATGTGGCATGAAAGTTGAAAGTAAATAAGATTTCAATTTCAGCCAAACAAGATTTAAGATTAAGTACACATACAAAGTATTAGGATCCATCATAGTTTGGTTTGGTTGATGACAAACACTAGGCATCTACATGTGTACTTCAAAACTGATAGATCTTTCTGACCCAAGTCATTACTAAATAATTAGTCACTTCAGAATAACAAGATATATGTCATCCACTGCATTCTAACATGTTCATCTGAGAGCCAAAACTGACTGGCCCTACTCAATAACTTATGTGACAGTCAGCAATAACTCTGAAGGAATACCTGTTAGAGACCTACCTGCATAACTGCATTGAAGAAACATGTGTTTCCAAGATTGCTTAGGCCCTGAAATATAGAAAATATTTTATAACATGATATTACCAGATTTTCTCGCATATACGCCCCCCTAAATTTAGGCCCATGGGCCAAAAATCGAATATAGTACGCTTATACGCCCATGGGCCTATAAAAAATGACTATTTATTGATTTTTTCAATAAATTCAAGAGTATTTTGTCACTGGCAGATCGTTCTGTCGTACTTTGTTTCATTGTATTAACATTCATTAACAACTTAACATTCCATTGTATTCATCAGCTCTTCTCACCTTTACGCCCACTGGGCCAAAAATCGAAAGTAGTACACTTCTACGCCCATGGGCGAAAAATAAGAGGTAAAATAACAGACGAAATTGCCCCTTCTTTCAGTTATACGCCCAGGGCTTATATGCGAGAAAATCCGGTAGCCTGTCTCTTAATTCTAAAATAAGTACATAAAATAATACGATTTTCTCACTCTTCTGCCCACTGGGCATTTATTTGGAAATACATTAGAATGAATTCTCATGGGCATTCATTAAGACAGAAATATTGATTTATAAGGTTAGATTATCTTTTCCAATGGCAATTTTCATTGAAATTATTCGAAACAGGACTTCTTCATGATTACTGAAAATACTGCAAACAATTTTTTAACACAGTCTGAAGCCAAACATTCGACACCCAAAACAAAACTAATGTAACAGGCAATCAAATAGTGTTATGTTTAATCATTGTATAAGTAAACAGAATGAGTAAACTGTGTGTTCACTTATGACACTCTAAAATGAGTGGAACACATATGATTAACATCAATACAGTAAAACTTGTATTGAACAACTCCTTACACCAAACATCTCTCATTACACTTAATTAGTGACAATAGCATTTGAATCAAGACAGGTTTCACTGAATGTAGCATACACTTGCTTTGGAATCTTTTTCAATATTTCACCCACTGAATCTTTATTTGAAAAATCAATGAAAAAGTAAAATGACCATGACGGGCTCACCTTGACTTTTGGCAGAATACTGTTGTTTGGCTGCTTAGTGGCAGATTTAGCAGCAACTGCTTCAACAGCTTCATTGGCACTGGGCTCACTTCCTTCAATCCCTGCCTTTTTGCCTGGATGTAAAACATTGCGAATTCAATGACAATGAAGTATCCATAAGATGAATTAAGGTTGATGTGTACATGAGCCTAGATGCTAGTGGCAATAATCTCAACCAAATATTCAAGAATTAGTGAATATTACCTGGTATTTGTGTTGCCTGCTGGGTAGATGCTGAAGAGAGCGCTTTACGTAAAAAATCGACACATTCTAAGAGACGTTTGCTACTCCCAGAATTCACCTCATCATCGCAGTCATAACACCTAGAATAATAGAGTCGTGAGATTTAATAATCATAACACCTAAAAAGATAATCATTGATCTCCCAAGGGTGCTATATATAAATTCTAATTTTACCTTTATTTTGGAATGATTGGAATGGGGTAGCATGTAATTTTTAGATTTTCAAGCAGTTGCTATTTTAATGCTGATTGATACATTGGTTAAATAGCCATTTCATGTTAACTGCACTAGTTATTGCAAATGTATACAAGAACACAAATGTGTACAAAATGTCCCCACCAATGGGTGATCCCATCAAATGGTTATCCTGAAAATGAGTAGACAAGACTTTACCAACACAATTTGAGGACGGAAAATCCAAAATGGCCACCTTAAAATTTACCCAGAATGCCAAATTTTAGTCAGTTATAGATTTTCAAACTAAGAACCACCCCTGAAAATTTTTAATTGACCGTCACACAGTTAACCAGAAAACATGTAAACAAGACTTTACAGACAAGATTTTAGGATGGAAAATCCAAAATGGCTGCCTTGAAATTTACCCAGAATGTCAAAAAACTTTTCATACTAAGAATCATCCCTGAAAATATGACATTGATCTACCAAATAATTCACCTGAAAACCAGACGGTTCACCTAAAAACGCGTAGACAAGACTTTACAGGCAAGATTTTAAGACGGAAAATCTAAAATGGCTGCCTTGACATTTATCCAGAATGCCAATAAACTAATCAGATCTAGATTTTCATACTAAGAATCATCCCTGAAAATTTGAAATTGATCTACAGAACGGTTCACCTGGAAATGCGTAGACAAGACTTTACAGACAAGATTTTAGGACGGAAAATCCAAAATGGCTGCCTTGACATTTACCCAGAATGCAAAAAAACTGATCAGTTCTACATTTTTATACTAAGAATCATCCCTGAAAATTTGAAATTGATCTACCAAATGGTTCACCTGAAAACGCGTAGACAAGACTTTACAGACAAGATTTTAGGACGGAAAATCCAAAACGGCTGCCTTGACATTTACCAAGAATGCCAAAAAACTAATCAGATCTAGATTTTTTTACTAAGAATCATCCCTGAAAATTTAGAATTGATCCACCAAACGGTTCACCTGAAAACACGTAAACAAGACTTCACAGACAAGATTTAAGGACGGAAAAATCCAAAATGGCCGACAATAAAAAAGTGATTATGAGTTTTTGCTGATTTCTTTTTACAAAATTATCACATATAACTACTGTTAACAATAACATAGGCTTTTACAACAAAGTACATCTGAAACTATTTATAAAGCTACTAAATAGTTAAAGTATGAAAACTCAAAAACACCATTCAATATGATACAAAGTATTATCGTGCGCTAACTTTTATTAAGACATTCAAAATGGCTGACATGACTGAGCTAACAGGTCCAAAACCTAATCAGATCTAGAATGAAGTGAGCTGAACAAGATGTTAAAGTTTTAAAAGCAACTATGAAGCCGTTTTTCTTAAAGTTTGCAGACAAGGATTTTAGCATTTGACTTCAAAATGGCCGACAAGAAGTAGGTATCGAGTTAAATTTTTTTCATCCACATCTGTATGCACATATAAGTTATCCCTGAAAATTTGAAGGTGATATCTGTAGCGGTTTTGGAGAAAACTCCCGGACGTACGGACGGACAGACGGATAGACAAACGGACGCGCCTAGGCCGACAATATGGCCCCACACTATGTGGTGGGGACATAAAAAGAGTACAGCATGGATGGATGCATTTCTAACCAGAACAACGGCAACGCCAAAGCGTAGCGAATCCCATCGAACAGAAATCGCTGGCATTTTTACAAACGAAATATATAGCAAATATCATAAAACAACACACCAGAAAGGCCACCATTTTCAAAATGGTTGCTCACTAGCCAAGTTGTCATCAGAAGAAATAATATGCTTTTAAGTAGCCATCTATAAAATTTTTGAAAAATCGCACACATGTACTTGTAAAATAACATAAAAATGGTGGCCATTTTTCAAAATGGCCGACTACTCCCCAAAGTTTTAATAGACAATGTGCCATGCTAAGAGTATTCACATATCAAATATGAACAAAATCGCTCCACTACTTTTCGAGTTATAGTAAAAAATGTAAAAATGACAGCCATTTTTTAAAATGGCCACCTACTATCTGAAGTGTCATGATACAGTGTGCAAGGTTCATGAGTATTCACATATCAAACATGAACAAAATCGCTTCACTACTTTTCAAGTTACAGTAAAAAACCTAAAAATGATGACCATTTTTCAAAATGGCTGCCTACTACCCAAAGTGTCATTAGACAGTGCGCCATGCTTATAGTATTCACATATAAAATATGAGACATACCAAATATGAACAAAATCGCTGAACTACTTTTCGATTTAAATTAAAAAAAGTTAAAATGGCGGCCATTTTTCAAAATGGCCGCCTTCTACCAAAAGTGTCATAGGACAGTGTGGCATGCTTATAGTATTCACATACCAAATATGAACAAAATCGCTCCACTACTTTTTGAGTAATAGTAAAATACGTTAAAATGGCGGCCATTTTTCAAAATGGCCGCCTTCTACCAAAAGTGTCTTTAGACAGTGTGCAATGTTTATAGTATTCACATACCAAATATGAACAAAATCGCTCCACTACTTTTTGAGTTACAGCAAAAATCGTAAAATAACGAGTAAAGGCCGCCATTTTTCAAGATGGCTGCCATGTGCTTTTTTAATATCTACATTTGAAGCTTTATTAATGTCCTTTATAATTTTTTTACATTTTAAACATATTGCTATTACAGTTTTACATATTGCACCTAAATTACTGTAAAATCGTCACTAAAATGGCCGCCATTTTGAAATGAGCGGCCATTTTGAAAATCTGCTTTCGAGCAGAACTTCTACCCCCATAGGGTATATGTGTACAAAATATGAACAAAATCGAGCCAACGGTATTTGAGTTATTGCCCGGACGGACGGACGGACGGACGGACGGACGTACGTACGGACGGACAGACGTACGTACGGACGGACGGACATACGTACGGACGGACGGACGGAGGCGTTCCCTATATCCCTCCGAACTTCGTTCGATGGGATAATAATTTTGTTAATTCTCCATACATACCAATGAGCCAATATTTGTAGCAGGTAATCAGGGATAAGGGGGCTAAATTGAACAAAATTACTCACAATATAAGTAAACTCTTGAGGTTCATGACCAAGGAATGTGAGGCTAAACTAAACAATATTACTCACAATATAAGCCAACTGTTGAGATTGATGACCAAGGAATGTGGGGCTAAACTGAACAATATTACTCACCATATAAGCCAACTGTTGAGTTTGATGACCAAGGAATGTGAGGCTAAACTGAACAATATTACTCACCATATAAGCCAACTGTTGAGCTTGATAACCAAGGATTGTGAGGCTAAACTGAACAATATTACTCACCATATAAGCCAACTTTTGAGGTTGATGACCAAGGAATCTGAGGCTAAACTGAACAATATTACTCACCATATAAGCCAACTGTTGAGTTTGATGACCAAGGAATGTGAGGCTAAACTGAACAATATTACTCACCATATAAGCCAACTTTTGAGGTTGATGACCAAGGAATGTGAGGCTAAACTGAACAATATTACTCACCATATAAGCCAACTTTTGAGGTTCATGACCAAGGAATGTGAGGCTAAACTGAACAATATTACTCACCTTATAAGCCAACTGTTGAGGTCAATGACCAAGGAATGTGAGGTTAAACTGAACAATATTACTCACAATATAAGCCAACTGTCGAGGTTCATGACCAAGGTATGTGAGGCTAAACTGAACAATATTACTCACAATATAAGCCAACTGTTGAGGTTGATGACCAAGGTATGTGAGGCTGAAATGAACAATATTACTCACCTTATAAGCCAACTTTTGAGGTTGATGACCAAGGTATGTGAGGCTAAACTGAACAATATTACTCACCATATAAGCCAACTTTTGAGGTTGATGACCAAGGTATGTGAGGCTAAACTGAACAATATTACTCACCATATAAGCCAACTGTTGAGATTGATGACCAAGGAATGTGGGGCTAAACTGAACAATATTACTCACCATATAAGCCAACTGTTGAGTTTGATGACCAAGGAATGTGAGGCTAAACTGAACAATATTACTCACCATATAAGCCAACTGTTGAGCTTGATAACCAAGGATTGTGAGGCTAAACTGAACAATATTACTCACCATATAAGCCAACTGTTGAGGTCAATGACCAAGGAATGTCAGGCTGAAATGAACAATATTCCTCACCATATAAGCCAACTTTTGAGGTTGATGAACAAGGAATCTGAGGCTTAACTGAACAATGTTACTCACCAAATAAGCCAACTTTTGAGGTTGATGACCAAGGTATGTGAGGCTAAACTGAACAATATTACTCACCATATAAGCCAACTGTTGAGGTTGATGACCAAGGAATGTGAGGCTAAACTGAACAATATTACTCACCATATAAGCCAACTGTTGAGCTTGATGACCAAGGAATGTGAGATTAAACTGAACAATATTACTCACCATATAAGCCAACTTTTGAGGTAGATGACCAAGGAATGTGAGGCTAAACTGAACAATATTACTCACCATATAAGCCAACTTTTGAGGTAGATGACCAAGGAATGTGAGGCTAAACTGAACAATATTACTCACCATATAAGCCAACTTTTGAGGTTGATGACCAAGGAATCTGAGGCTAAACTGAACAATATTCCTCACCATATAAGCCAACTGTTGAGGTTGATGACCAAGGAATGTGAGGCTAAACTGAACAATATTACTCACCATATAAGCCAACTGTTGAGGTTGATGACCAAGGAATGTGAGGCTGAAATGAACAATATTACTCACCTTATAAGCCAACTGTTGAGGTTGATGACCAAGGAATGTGAGGCTAAACTGAACAATATTACTCACCATATAAGCCAACTGTTGAGCTTGATGACCAAGGAATGTGAGATTAAACTGAACAATATTACTCACCATATAAGCCAACTTTTGAGGTAGATGACCAAGGAATGTGAGGCTAAACTGAACAATATTACTCACCATATAAGCCAACTTTTGAGGTTGATGACCAAGGAATCTGAGGCTAAACTGAACAATATTCCTCACCATATAAGCCAACTGTTGAGGTTGATGACCAAGGAATGTGAGGCTAAACTGAACAATATTACTCACCATATAAGCCAACTTTTGAGGTTGATGAACAAGGAATCTGAGGCTTAACTGAACAATATTACTCACCATATAAGCCAACTTTTGAGGTTGATGACCAAGGAATCTGAGGCTAAACTGAACAATATTGCTCACCATATAAGCCAACTGTTGAGGTTGATGACCAAGGAATGTGAGGTTAAACTGAACAATATTACTCATCATATAAGCCAACTTTTGAGGTTGATGACCAAGGAATCTGAGGCTAAACTGAACAATATTACTCACCATATAAGCCAACTTTTGAGGTTGATGACCAAGGAATCTGAGGCTAAACTGAACAATATTCCTCACCATATAAGCCAACTGTTGAGGTTGATGACCAAGGAATGTGAGGCTAAACTGAACAATATTACTCACCATATAAGCCAACTTTTGAGGTTGATGAACAAGGAATCTGAGGCTTAACTGAACAATATTACTCACCATATAAGCCAACTTTTGAGGTTGATGACCAAGGAATCTGAGGCTAAACTGAACAATATTACTCACCATATAAGCCAACTGTTGAGGTTGATGACCAAGGAATGTGAGGTTAAACTGAACAATATTACTCATCATATAAGCCAACTTTTGAGGTTGATGACCAAGGAATCTGAGGCTAAACTGAACAATATTACTCACCATATAAGCCAACTGTTGAGGTCGATGACCAAGGAATGTGAGGTTAAACTGAACAATATTACTCACCATATAAGCCAACTTTTGAGGTTGATGACCAAGGAATGTGGGGCTAAACTGAACAATATTACTCACCATATAAGCCAACTTTTGAGGTTCATGACCAAGGAATGTGAGACTAAACTGAACAATATTACTCACCATATAAGCCAACTGTTGAGATTGATGACCAAGGAATGTGAGGCTAAACTGAACAGTATTACTCACCATATAAGCCAACTTTTGAGGTTGATGAACAAGGAATCTGAGGCTTAACTGAACAATGTTACTCACCAAATAAGCCAACTTTTGAGGTTGATGACCAAGGTATGTGAGGCTAAACTGAACAATATTACTCACCATATAAGCCAACTGTTGAGATTGATGACCAAGGAATGTGAGACTAAACTGAACAATATTACTCACCATATAAGCCAACTGTCGAGGTTCATGACCAAGGAATGTGAGGCTAAACTGAACAATATTACTCACCATATAAGCCAACTTTTGAGGTTGATGACCAAGGAATGTGAGGCTAAACTGAACAATATTACTCACCTTATAAGCCAACTGTAGAGGTTGATGACCAAGGAATGTGAGGCTAAACTGAACAATATTACTCACCATATAAGCCAACTTTTGAGGTAGATGACCAAGGAATGTGAGGCTAAACTGAACAATATTACTCACCATATAAGCCAACTTTTGAGGTTGATGACCAAGGTATGTGAGGCTAAACTGAACAATATTACTCACCATATAAGCCAACTTTTGAGATTGATGACCAAGGTATGTGAGGCTAAACTGAACAATATTACTCACCATATAAGCCAACTTTTGAGGTTGATGACCAAGGTATGTGAGGCTAAACTGAACAATATTACTCACAATATAAGCCAACTGTTGAGGTTGATGACCAAGGAATGTGAGGCTAAACTGAACAATATTACTCACCATATACGCCAACTTTTGAGGTTGATGACCAAGGAATGTGAGGCTAAACTGAAAAATATTACTCACCATATAAGTAAACTTTTGAGGTTGATGACCAAGGAATGTGAGGCTAAACTGAACAATATTACTCACCATATAAGCCAACTGTTGAGCTTGATGACCAAGGAATGTGAGGCTAAACTGAACAATATTACTCACCATATAAGCCAACTGTTGAGGTTGATGACCAAGGAATGTGAGGTTGACCGAGGCTGCATATAATGTTGCACTGCATGACGTTCCTTAGAGTAACGATCACATCCCTAAAATGTAAAAATATTGATATCATGATAAAATATTTTGATAGCCATCGATGAATGTTATTGGCTTAGCTAATATAAAGTATAATCATCATGGAATGGCCCTCTCTTCTTGCATCATAGATTGCCATGGAATATGGTATAGGGATTTAGAATTGGTGAAATAGACTGACGAATCAAATTTGTAATAACAAACGTGTGATTTGAAACGTCACTGCATAGACAAGTGTAATAAACAATTTCCGATTGCAAACGGTCAATTCCTTGCAAAGTACTAAGTGGGTCTAGAGATAAAATTCATTCATGCCGGTTATAGATCACGTGAGAATGCTGCTATAGCTAGTCCTCTTTGGAATTTCCCAATGCAGTGTAGATACATTACCTGATTTCCACATTGAAGGCAAACAATTATGCCAACATCCTCGTCTGAGGGGGACATGACTGGCTTGGCTCCACCTTTGCTGGCATTCTTTACACATGTCTGCAATTAAATAAATAAATTTGGTTGATCAGCGTATGAACTTTTTTCTTTTTCAACATATTTCATGTCATTTTTTCACATTTAAACACAATTTAATGTACTTTATGATTTTTATTTCCATGCTCAAAGCAACCATTGATGGACTGAAAAGTATTAGATCAATTATATGCATATTTGAAACTGATAGCATCTGACCTTAAAAAGAACAAAGTGTGTGAAACATAACTGAACACTACAGTTATGAAAATAATTGAGTATCCCACACTACAGTTATGAAAATAACTAAGTATCCCAGAGATTCGTTAATCTTACCACACATTCTCCAATTGCACCTTGTTGTTTCAATGACTTCTTCATTGCATTAAGGTTGACAGACTTATTGATGTGGGGGCATGTCTGACCTACAATACAATAAAGAAAACAATTGACATAACATTATCAAATTAAAGCCAAATGTTATTTCCTTGTAAGGGCAGGGTTGACATCATTTTCCTTGGTAATATCTAGTCTATTAAAAGCCAACCTTTGATAACAGTGAAATTATAACATATTGTATGAAGTGAGAACCAAGGTCTATAAATTATTCTTAAAGTGTGTTAGAAATGGTCTCATTCTTTATTCTTTGTACAATAACTGTCTGGTTTTATAATATCAAATGATTCTTTTACGTAAGCGTTGAGATAGTCAGACAGGAGGACAAGTGGATGATTCCATAGGCTAAGCAAGCAAGTCACAAATATATCAGACAGAAACCTCACATACATGTAGTCAGACAGGAGGACAAGTGGGTGATTCCATAGGCTAAGCAACAAGTCATAAATATATCAGACAGAAACCTCACATACCTGTAGCTTGAAGGCCCTCATCCGAAGACTCACTATTCAAGTCAATGTCCTTCTTTCCATGACGCAACTTGTGCTTTTTCTTGCCCATACTAACTGTTTGACTCGTCCCTGTCTCTAGTACACGCATTGAGATGGACTGCTACTGGAGGCCTATCACAACATAGACGCGTTGTCTTGAAATTTCAATGTCTTATAAACACTGATGAATCTAAAAAGGACCCAAATTGTGCAATAATAAAATCTATAAAACAGGTCCAATAAAGAACTAGAAAAAAAGCAACTCCATGGAGAAGCAAATCCCACCGAACAAAACATATTTTGATTTTTAGTTGCCATCTTGAAAATTCCTTGTTTGTCCCTAGGCATGGTAAAGATTAAAAGGTGGATTGGATCGAGTGGATTGGATTCATGTAAAAGGTGGATTGGATTGGATTTCTTCAAAATATGGATTTTCCCTTAAAAATTTCTATTGATCTTCCTTTAGGAAGATTGGTGCTCTCTTCACTTGCACAATGTCAAAAAATAGATGTAATATTATTTTGCTTGGGTGGGCTAGAAGGATGACCTGGTACCCGCTTTCTGATACACGATCTTATTCATTCCAAGTGTAATTTGAGACCTTTCATAAATCATAAAGCAGACTGGTTTGAAGATCCATATCCAGGGCTGTGGGGGGTAGGTACGAAAAATTTCGAACGGAATGCGTGACATATACGTAATTCACGTGAAAAGTCCGAACGAAATGCGTACGTTTTTTTCCGGCGTTCGTATTTTTGCTGGGTAGACGATCTTTTTTAGAAATTTTTCTACAGAAATATTTTTGCTTGACAATTACCAGGTAAAATGCGTATTTGCGTGACATTTTCTGTCACGCAAAAATAACTGGCGTGACTTCAAATTCTTCAGCAAATGCGTGACAAATACGCAAATTGCGGGACAGTTGACAGGCCTGCCTAAGTCCAAATCTGAACACTTTTGTCCAAATTTTGAACACCTTTGGCCAACTTTTAAACACCTTTGGCCAAAGTTTGAGCACCTTTGCCAAACTTTTATCACCTCAAATTTTTCGCGCTCGCTACGCTCGCGGTGTCGTCAACGGGGGAGGGAGGGGTAGTTACGAAAATTTCAAATGAACATGCGTGACATATACGGGATTCGCGTGACAAATCCGAACAAATTGCGTTCGGTTTTTTCTGACGCTCGTATATTTACCGTATCGTAAACATATTTCGAAAAATTTTCTACAGAAATATATTTGCTTGACAATTACCAGGTAAAATGCGTATTTGCGTGACATTTTCTGTCACGCAAAAAAAACTGGCGTGACTTCAAATTCTTCAGCAAATGCATGACAAATACGCAAATTGCGGGACAGTTGACAGGCCTGCATATCATCTGTTTTCAATCCAAACTGAACATACCAGAAATGTTTTGTGAACATTCACACATCAATTTGAATGACAGGTTTTCTTTTTCTAAAGATCTATGTCTTACAAAAGTTGATTTACAAGGGAAAGCGGTTAAATACTTAAGAGTGTCCATGAACTAATTGTAGTATGTATTTGTCATTGCTTTGTTCTGATTTCTCAAAAGGGACCTGTAATACTGTTAGTAGAGGGAAATTGTTTAGAGGGAGATCAACAGAAATTTTTTATAAGAAATTCCACATTTTGAAGATTCCCGATCCAATCCACCTTTTACATGAATCCAATCCACTCGATCCAATCCACCTTTTAATCTCTACCCTAGGCATATATATAAAATGTAAACCATATCCGTAAATTAACATTTGAGTTATCAAATATCATATTCCTCTTTTACGAAAATGGCAGCCATTTTGAAATTCAGCCCCCATTTTGAAAATCTTTCTCGAACAGAGCTACTGTGTCCTTAGGCATCAGCATATAAAATTTGAACAAAATCCATTCACTGCTGTTTGAGTCATCAATTACATTTTTTTACGAAAAATAGTGGCCATTTTTAAATCCAGCTGCCATCTTGAAAATTCTTTGTGAAACAGAAGTACTGTGTCTCTAGGCATCACCATACAAAATTTGATATAAATGTGTTCACTGGTATTTGAGTTATCAAACATTTCTTTTTTTTACGAAAATGGCCCCCATTTTGATATCTAGCAGCCAATCTAAAAATCTCGTTTCAGTGTAGCTCCTTTGTCCCTAGGCATCAGCATATAAAATTTGAACCAAATCCGTCAACTAGTTTTTGAGTTATCAAAGATTACATATTTTTATGAAAAATGGCGGCCATTTTGAAATTCAGCCGCCATCTTGAAAATTCTTTCTTGAGCAAATCGACTTTTTCCCTAGGCATCATCATATAAATTTTAACCAAATCTGTTCACTGGTATTTGAGTTATCAAAGATAATGTTTTTTATGAAAAATGGCCACCATTTTTCAGTCGATATGTTATGACATGGGCAAAGCTCTATTTAGTGATACTTTCATTTCAAATATGGCGGCCAATCCGATGTCTGACAACCCTTGACTTACCTTCTAAAGGTTAGAACCCGAATCTTAATGAAACCATATCACCTTTGTTCCGTCATTGATGATGCAAAAACACAGCATTTGATAGAAATTAGTGTACAGTTGGGGACATAAATAAATGACAGGTGGATTTGCTGAAGTGAGGATTTCCCATGTTAAAAATAAGAGAATTTACAAGAGGCCATAAATCAGTGGATGAGATTATACAAAATGTAAAATATACAAATTTTAAGGGATATGTATCTAGACAATATTGGAAATTATGGGCTTTCAGACCACCATAATTAGGAAATGGTGATCGAAAATCGACCTGTCATTTATTTTTGTCCCCAACTGTAAATGCTTTTCCGACTCTTTATTTTTCATTAATGTTGACTTCCGGGAAGGCGTTGTAGTTATCACGAAATAACGCATTGACCCTTGAACTTTACTTTGTTGACGTGTCAACCAAGCATGTCTGGTGTGAAAATTAAAAGAATATTAAGCAATGTTCTACATCCGCCAAGCTAAGTGAAGTAGCCAATATTTAAAATTACCAATTTCAAGTGAAGTACGCAACGAACGAAACTGCGTGATCTGCACTCCCACTATTGGTCTGAACGAAATGCTATGTAGAAATATGAGCCGTCTGCTGTATTAGTCGATTAATAGAGTAAGACCTGTTGGTGATGCTTTATAATTTAGACCAAAACATTGGAGAACAAACGAACCTGTAAATCGTGAAAACAACGAACAAATATTCGGTTTTTACATATGTTCGGTAATTTTTCGTATTGAAACTTCCGGAACTGTCATGTGATACAAACATGAGCCTTTAATTTAGTTTCATAAGTCACCGATAGGTGTCTCTAGTTGTATTGTACTTGATGACGTCACGAATAGCTTCTCAATAAAGTTGTACTTTCTCTAAGTCAATTGCTCCTGTTTTATCTATCATTACTGATCAACGGACATGGTGGCAGTGGAAACGTTATTAACATGTTGTATTGGAAGCGCCAAAGATCATTTTGACACTAAAATCGACAAGATTGATGACTGTTTTGATAGAGAAATCCGGGTGCAGATGTTGAGACTGAAAGAATAAAATTGCTGAATTTTGTCTTTCGCGTGAAGACAGAAGATCTCTATTGCGCATGTGCAAGACATTTTGACTGTAAACATCCGGTCAAAAAGGAAAATTTTCACGGAGACTTAAAATATCCTGTGTGGAACATATATCCTGTGTGGAACAAATATCCTGTGTGGAGAATATATATCCTGTGTGGAACAAATATCCTGTGTGGAAATTTCGTGGAAATATTGTGTAACTATTTTGATAAAGCTATTTAGTCATTACAAGCTGTGTGAGTACCGTTTGAATACATTTGATAATTGATATCTTATGTACATTTACTGTGCGACTTCATCCTGTGTGGATATTATACGTACATAAACGACAATTACTGTGTGATTACATCCTGTGTGGATATATTATCTGATAATTGCTGTGTGAACTATATTGTATACATAGACTATGGCTAAATTTCATCCTCCAGATAAGTTTGCGTTTGATAAGCCAAACGATTGGCCTGAATGGAAAACACAATTCCTGAGATTTAGAATAGCGACAAAGCTACATAAGGAGGATAATGACGTGCAAGTGTCGGCACTGATATATGCTATGGGTCCAGATGCGGAAAAGATCTACAAGACTTTACAATTTACTGATGTTGGTCCCCAGGAGGAAGGCCAGCCTGTGCCAGATCCTCGATCGTTTGAGCGGGTTATAGAAGCGTATGATACTTACTTCATTCCGAAAATAAACCTGTTCAGTGAAGAGATCAAATTCGATAGTCGATCTCAACATGAAGGAGAGTCGGCAGAATCTTTCATTCGTGATCTATACCATTTAAGTGAAAGATGTGATTTCGATAATCGTGATAGGCGCATAAAGATTCGATTAGTGAATGGTATGCTGGACAAGAAGCTGTCTATGGAGTTACAGTTAAAAACATTATCATTAGAACAATGTATTCAGAAAATACGTCAACATGAGTTGGTGAAAAACCAAATGTCATCAGAATCAGAGTTGGATTCAGTGAAATTCAAACATAGGCCTAAGCCTAAACATCCCAAAGGGAAATCTGCTAAGAGTGATAAATGTAGCAGATGTGGAAATGATTTTCATCAAGGAGGGATAACGACTTGTCCTGCTATGGGGCGCAAATGTTTTAAGTGCCAGGGCAGAGATCATTTCGCAACGTGCTGTAGAACAACGACAAAACAAAACAGTGGTGAACAAAAACCTACACGAAACAACAAGAACAAGAAAGTACTAACAGAGGTTGTGGTAGAACCTGATACTGTTGTATATCCTGTGGACTATTGTATTGATAATGTTGATTTTAGTGATAAGGTTGACATTGAGCCTCCGTGGCGAGTTTTATTACCACTTGAAAAGAATTATGTAAATTTCAAAATAGATACTGGGGCTGATGTTTCTGTTATAGGTGTAGACCAATATAAGCAACTTAAAAACCCACCCAGTCTACGTCCAGTAACAAACATGTTATCGAGTCCAGGTGGTAAATTACATGCAAAAGGTCAGTTTGTGGCAAAGCTTACAGATCGTCAAAACATGTATATACGTGTGTATGTTGTTGATGAAAAATGTGATAATCTGCTTAGCAGAAATGCAGCACACAAACTGGGCTTGGTGAA